TATTTGCATTACAGTTTTTGATTTTGCAGATCCAGTAAATCTTCGTTAATGTCTGTTTGTTGCTTTTATAAATAAAACCTTCTTTTACCAACATAGGATTACCTTTGTTAGAAGAAACAAATGACATGGTATCAACAGCATCAGACATCGTACAGTGAACGTCAAATAGGTAAGATGGAAAAATTGTACGTATAAAATCGTCGAACGTGTATATAGGCGATCATAAGAGAATGTGTTATTTGTACTCTTTGTTTTCATATATCCTCTATATTTCTATTATTCTAGAATGTCCGCTATTAGAACGACGAATTCGAAATAAGTGTTATACAGTACATAAAGCCTGGACAGAGATTACAGACGAAAAAGAAATCGATATTATTTGTGTTCGATATCTCAAAATTTTCGACATTTAATTTTTCGGTGTTTCGACAGTAAGTCTTGTAGTTTATTTAGATTCGCCCTGTTAACTATCGTTTATGATCTTAATCCATGCATATGTAAAACACAAAACAGACTTAAATCAATATAAACATTTCGGATTTTATTCGAAAGTTAGATAGACTGCAAAAAATGTATCAGATGCAAAACAAAAACAAAACGCAGAGAATTATCGATATTTTCCCAATAATTCCGGAGTCAGATATCCAATCAGTCTGATCTTCGAGTTCCGGTAAGATTCTGACGTAACAATACGTCATTGGAATTCCATCACAATCAAATAAGCCTTTCAGCAGTTATATTCTAGACCGACAATGGAGCACAGTGAGTGATTCCACTAATACACTCGCTTTCTCAGTATATATGACGTGAAAATGTTTTTAATCTGTTGCGACCAACATATTAGTGTTACTTTAGCTCCTCGAAATCACCTTTGGGCGGATTTTCGGGCTATACAGCATCTAGCACATCGTGGATGGCTTTCTTAGTGTTAACGGACACAAAGATAGTTTGGGTGAGTATCACCCTCAACCACACCCTAGGTGGCCGACCAGAGGCAGGCTGACGAACAGCTAGGCGTTTTATTTGAATTGCTTAGATGAGATAATATAAGTGAAAATAAACTGAGTTTTTATTCAGAATAGTCTGAAGAGAGTCGATGAATAAATTTTTATAAACGGTGTTCGTTTTGTTTACGTCTCTGGACAAATGAATTGAAAATAATCTGACATGAATGAAGCAGAATATGAAAGAATGAGCATAAAAGTAACTTCAATTCGAACCCAATTAGATTGAGATCTAAGTGAGAGCGTTTATCTACTAGTTTTCTGATAATTTCAGAAAAGGGTCAGCGAATCCAACGGATGAGCGCTACTTGTTTAACTCAAACAGGAAGAACGCGAATACAACCAAAAAAATCGATCTCCCAAGTACATTCGATACCTGCTAGATGTAACCGCCATACAAACAAATAGTAATCAAACTTCTTCGTTCACTCACTCTTGCTGTCAAGATGTGCCCACGTGTCCTTGCGCTCTTGTGAGTGATATACTCAATCAATACATTTCCATATTTTTATTTACGTTTTTGTGTTTTCAGCCACACAGTCGACTCGTACCTTTATTTATGGAGAAAATGTCTCGATATAATAGCATCATCCCAACAATATCAAGTTCAAATATTCAACGAAAACACCGATGTGTACAAAACTATTCACGATTCTGAAGTATTCGTGGTCGTCGACGAAATAATCCACGACGAATGGTTGGACTTTCGCCACCAAATAACGAATCAACAACAGCTGAAGAAACATCTGAGAAAGTAGGATCTTTGCATCAACGTTTTTCATTGCCTTCTTCTATCTTTTTAGGCGACAACAACAACAACCGATATGGATAAACAGATTGAAAACGACTTTTTCAAAGCGTACTTCAATCAAAACTGGTCAACTGAAACACTCAACATCAAATTCTGAAACACTATTGATAACTATGAATACAAATCAGCAATTTACATCAAATGCGACATCGATCACAGGCACGATAACAAATAGAATTGAAATATTCATTCGTAGGAGTCGAAGTCAATGAATGAAAGCGACAAGATCTTTATTTTAGCATCGATCTATCGACTATATGAACACATCTATCATAATATTCGATAAATACTCAGGAAAAGAAGAAGGAAATGAACATTGATTAGTGTACTATTGGATATTTTAATGACAGTTACGAGTAATTCGCTCCTTGGCTTGATTTGTTTTGTTGATAACGATCTTTGAATTGATCATTGGTTTGTTTAGGGTTTTCTCGTCGAAGAACTACACCGGTCAATATCTTCGATGGTATGTAAGCTTCTCTTTTCTGTTGTTATGTATTTGTAAACATCACCATTTCATCTTTACTGATTCTTTCTACATGTCGTTCTTTGACTTGTGAACCAATCGATTATTAACTTCTATTTCTCGTTTTGAAAATTGTCTTTTGTCTTTTCAGATAAGTAATTCCGAAGAAAATCCAACCGCGGGTAATCTGCATGCATTGCATGCGGATGGAACAACCACAACAACAGATCTGGATGCACTCGATAATCGAACAGATGATTTCTATTCAACTTTGCATAGTTTCCACGGAACAACAAGACCAGTGAATCAAAATATGAGGTGAGAAAACATCAAAAGAGCTATTTTGCTTAGTGAATTTGTTTAATTGAAACATATTTTACATTGATCTTTTTGTTCTAGTTCTTGTTGTGGACGCAGCAAGGGGGAAAAAGCGAGACTTCATTTACTTCACACTATATGTGAAGTAAAACGAAGTATGACTGAAGTACCAGCGAAGTACGACTGAAGTACCATTGAAGTATCAGCGAAGTACCAGTGAAGTACTATTGAAGTATCGGTGAAGTACCAGTGAAGTACTAGTGAAGTACCGGTGAAGTATTAGTGAAGTACCGGTGAAGTATGACTGAAGTACAGATGAAGTACGACTGAAGTAGTTGAAGTCTGAAGTCTCGCTTTTTCCCCCTTGGGACGCAGTCATTGCCTTTATCGTATTAATCGCTGTTCACCCATGGAAGAAATGAGTGAATCTTCATTATTTCTTTGGGTGAAAAGATAAAGTACTATCCCTAAAAATTGATCTTCTAATACGATTTTGTAACGATAGATTTTTTAATGAAAGAAATAAAATAAAACAAAATAAACTAAAACGAGAGAAAGTTTGCAAAAATAAACCTGTAAAATCAATTATAAATTGGAAATGATGCCGGTGCTCGTGCCGTCGCCAAGAAGTGTTTCCATCTTTGCATTGTCATACGGTGGACCAGGCGATTAGAACAGATTTTAACAAACACCACAAGAACAATAAAAAAGATCAAGCTAGGTACGTATATCCCAGGTTGATGAATCTGGTCCGGATCCGACCGGTTCCGGAATATGCAGGTCATTTCATGGAAGCAGTATCCCTGAAAACGGATCCGGTGACTGGATTTAGCGAGTTTCACCTGGAACCGATCAGAAGCTGCCATAAACGGTAGTCGGATACAGTCACAGAAATTTCCTGCTGGATGCGGAGTACTTGAGGGGCGTTTCCGCCCGGAAAATAATAGATTTCCTGCAGGGCTTCATCCCATATTAGTGGAATATTGCTTTCGAAATCGTCGTGCTGAATAATTCTTGATCTTTGAAAAAAATTGCAGTGGCGAAAACTCCAGCCAAGATGTTCAATGCAAATTCCAAAAACGAAACTAAAATAAAAAATATCTCTACAATTTTCATTGGTCGAACCGAAGTCATGAAAGATTCCCATAAATGAAGTTGATTTCCAATGAAATTTTTGTTCATTTTCGATCGTACAGTGGGACCTAAGTTGTTGACTACGAAAATATCTTTTCTTTTAAGGCCATTGATGGCAATTCTTCGAATGGGTCTGGCACATTTTGCCGACAGATCTTTATGCAAAAAGTCCACTACATAAAGTTTTTGTCACCAAATCTTGAGAGTATCGATGAGAAAGTGACTTTCAACCAGACCTACCCACTGATACAATACCCTCTTCTCCACTCTCATCCTCACACCCACCCCGAACATGGTTTCTGTATTTGGCTATTTTTCTTTTCGAAACGTTTTGTTGAAGTTGATTTTCGTGAATGATATTCGAGTTTTAGTGGGACAACAACAGTTGACATTCCAAAAGAAAAAATTAACTTTCGAAGTGATCCAAGCCATTGAAAATATAATAATCTTGTCCTCGGCATAGTGACCCCTCCTATATTGCAGGAATTATTTGTAACGAATAAATAGTTCATTTCAATACGTATGCTTCAGACACACAAATCTGATAGGATTTTGTCCGATCGTTGGACTCCGACAGAATCCAACAGAGGATCCGATCGGATCGGATCGAAGTATAAGATCGAGTAGACTTGGGCCGATAATTTGTTCGTTCTCAGCTAATTTGCAGTTGTATCAAGAGCCTTCTCTCTAAAAAAAACCGGGCGATATTGAACCATAAAAAGTTTTAGCTAGCGTCTAAAACCTTTTCTAGTTCGGCACATTTGGCTAAAACCATTTTAGGTTCTAGACTTTTTCGCTAAAACCAAAAAAGGTTCAGTATGACCTGATTTTTTTTACAGAGTTGGGAAATATCAACACTCGATGCTTCCTTTACTTTTATTAGTTATGAAATCATGCAAAGCATATTTTACAAAAACAGCAGCAAAAGCAAGCGTTATAAGGTAATTCAAACACGAAAGGGAGAATATACAGAGGTCCTGATGTTGGTTCAACGAGTTTCGTTGACAACGAAAAAAGCATTAATCCTTTTTTTCTGATTTAGAAAAAGGGTTTAATTCTAGAAGAAAAAGACAGAATCAACACTAAAAATTTACAGTTACACAAATCTATCACTGAACGTCGATTCAATTTTGGTTTCTCACTATTTCGATCAAGAGTCGGTACTATAACCTCAGTCTATGAATAGATTTACACGTAGATGTGTTCCTATTAAGATTTAAGGAAAAATAACAGCTCACCTTGCCAACTAATGAAATTCATATTATGTTTTCTTAGGAAAGAGTTTCTCACGAAGCATAAGTCATCGAATGTAATTCTCGATGGCAGTCTCGAAAAGTAGATCTATTTTCGTCAAGAACTAAAGCGTATTATGATTGAAAATCTTGTCAAGTATGTCTTGTTCAATATTCGTATATGTATTTTTCTGGATCACTTACTGAGAAATGGCATGAAATATTTATCGAATGCTTGCTTCCAATTTGTATCATCGTAATTACCATGACCTGTAAAGAAAGAAACATAGTCTTAATTACAACAAGTAACGCTCGTCTAGCGACTCGCTCAGCTCTTTCTCGTAGAAATCGTGCTTTCAGATATTACACTTTAAAGCTATTATTGTGTATATTAATTTATTTTTAGTGTAGATTAGATATTTTCACAAAAGTAGTAATAGATATTTATACCAAATATCAAATCGAGAACCAGATATTCNACCACCGTCCAAACGACGCGAGTGTAGCCCAAAGTATTCACATTGGACAGCTCGACATACCGTAGAGCAAGAGAAAAGAGAACGAAACCACCGGCACCAGTCAAGGCACAAATAATCTGTAGAAATACTTGTAAACCTGTTCCACTGAGGAGTGTGTATTTTTTGTGTAACGCAAATGAGAGTGTCAATAGAAGTTGAATCGAAAAACGTATGAGTAACGCATCGAGTAAGTCAACACCCAGTTGTCTGATTGTAAATGTTGAAAAGGTGAAGAGAAAGGACGAAAACAGAGCATAGAAAACACCGGAAAATTGATGAATTCCACGCGGTTGTTTTTTATTAGTAATCGTCGGAGAAAGAATAAGCGGATCTGTAGGAGTTATTTTCACCTCAGTTTCGACTTCTTGTACGGACATGATTTCAAGATAGGTTTTCACAAAAGAGTATGAATTTATTTTTATCGTTTGAATATTTATTGAAAAAGTCGTAAAAAAACCAAATTTCACGTGTGTTAATCGTCTTCACAAACGAATAATGGCGGTTAGATTAGAGAAGGATATGAGCGATTTATGAGAGCACTTTAAAAACGACAATCGGATACTGATTTAGAAGTGACTCATGATGTTTTCTTTGGACATCGTTCATTGTTAACGAACACGTGCTGTCTCTTGCGTTCTTAGTCGATTTGGATGGAAGAGATATTTTCTTTTCGGCTGTTCACTCGAACATCTTATGTACGAAAGTAAGTTTGCCGTTCAACTATTTTGATAACTATGAGACATTTTTAGACGCTGATATTCCGATTTCAACACCATCGCGAACTATCTATCAATATGAAACAATTGCTTCACCTTTTCGAACATTCTATCAAAACACCAGCCAACAGCCTGCTTATGTTTCATTCGAATCGATCCCGCCATCGATTGATAAAGACAATTCGTTGACACCACCATTCCAGAAGAAACTACCGATCATTCCTGTGATTATTCTCGGTTTTTGTGAAATCCTCGGTGGATTGATTGTTCTCACACTTGAAGTACTTGTCTTCGATCTTGCTGTTGGACTCTGGTGTGGATTTATCTATGCACTCGCTGGCATTGCTGCTCTTGTACTTGGTTTGTTTCCTAGACACGAAACTTTTCTGATTATTTTTTCATTTTCTTCAGCAATCGGAACCGATCGTGAACGTCATCAAGCAACAGCTGTCTTGATTTTTCAATTAGTTGGTATGGACGAAGCAAAATGTTTTTTACATCTCATACGAATTGAAATCTCCTTTTATTTAGCATTGATGTTTTCGATTACGGAGATCATCCTGCATGCTGATTTCTATCGAAAACGTTGTTTAACAAAACCTCATGAACCATCACGTGAAGCATTCTATCAGTGTCAAATTCTTCTCATTCAAATCGGTGTGGCAGCATTTGTTTTGATTCATACAATTGTATTTGCGGTGATATATTTTCGCACAACAATCGTTGTGCTTAAACAACCACATGGAACGTTCAATCTATCGAATGCGATCAATTTCACTTGTTAATTGTGTGTGTGTAGAATAACGTTTCCTTTTTATGATTGAAAATTGAAATAGATTCCTTCAGAAGATATGGTATACGCGAAATAAGAAAATCAGTTCAAATAACTTTCGAAGATAGATAATCTAAAAAAGAATAAAATGTTATAATTCGTTTGTACCAGCTGCTGATTAAAACTTGCGAGATGAACATCTTGTCAAAAACAATTTAATTCTTTCACACGGAACTACAAATTCGTCTTCAAAATATTTTCCTATCAAGTGTTCCCGATGAACTTTTTCTATACACTGACCTGGAAAATAGTGCAGAACGCGAAAAGAAAACCAAACTATTCTACACATTACAGGCATACTTGACTGAATTCAGTCAACATTTCGAATCGAAAACAAAGAATAAAACACTGCTGCTGTTTTATATAAACTACTTCTATACCCACATATCACCTTACATAAATTCATCAAAAATGCCTCGAAACAATAAAAGCAAACCATGTCCAAAGCCAACTCCAGAAAACAGCATATCACAAGCCACACCACCGCTACAAAAAACAACAAGCACCCAAACAGAGTACGTATCCAAAAAGACCGAGTGCAGACGAATACAACTGAGCATAGAAAAAAACGTTTTCCGATATTTAATCAATACGTACTTGTCATAAATTCTTCTCACTCTGCGCTCTCTTCGATCGCCTTCTTAACCTGAAAAGAAGTGGAAATTTATTTTTCTTCATCAAAAAAACATTCGTACTTTGAATCACACCTTCTGACTGTTCACGGACGATTAATTGATTTAAAACGAAATGGAAATCTGTCTTCTTTTCGACAAAAAATGGTCCTTGTGATAGATTCCGCGAAAAACAGCTACCCTGTTCCGCTTAACTAAAAATCATGTAAAAGAACATATTTTTTAATTCTTTGATTTTTTTTAGTTCACCGGAGGATCTTCGTTTTGTGTGCTTTACTTCGCTTCTCCTGATGGTCGTTTCGTCGATTTTTGTCTACCATTTATGGACAATTCCACCGATCGATACATGGGCGGTAAACACGAATCCGATGGGTTTTATGTACAGTGCTGCTGAGGTGTTGCCAGGTCCCAGGCTGATCATTCCGACGACTGGGTGCGTTAAAATCTGAGTTGGTTCCGGTACAGCTCTTCTCGATTCCGGCAGGTTCCTTGCCGCCGGATTCCGGTCGGAATTGCACCAGAAATATCCGATCAGTTCCTGACCGTGCCATTATAACCTGGGTTGTGGCTATCCCGGGCTTTACGACTGGCTCGAAAAATCTGTCTTTTTTGTTGTTTCGTGTTTTATGTGCCTGAAGTACATGATGAATCGAGCAAAAGTGTTTTTTGAAAGCCAGCTTACCCATTTCCTCTGTTTGTCCTTGTTTTTTTGAGTATGTATGTGTGCGTGTTTGCCTTCATTCATGTATGCATTCCGTGAAACGTACACCTTTCATTTGTTCATATGTTGGGCATGTGTGTGTATTTCTGGTTTGTGGTCGTTCGTCACAGACTTTTGTGAGAAAGTGGTTGATTTTGTGCTGTGTTTTTGACCAAAAGAAGAGTGAACATCTTTTCAATTTTTTTTCTTCCATACCTACCAGACTTCTTCACATTTCGAGAAAAGACAAACACGCATTTAACAAAAGAATTAGGAACATGACCGAAATACAGAAATTATGACGTAAACAAGCAAAATAATCAACAAAGCATTTCATTTTCATATACGAAATCGTCTACAACAGAACAGAAAATGGCAGTTATTGACGAGAAAAAGAGAAAATCTCAACGTGCTTAGGCGCTACAGCTGGACTTTAGGCGAGACGAAGATGATACCAAGAGATTAAAAATAATCTAGCAGCGAATATGCCCACACTTGCTATAGATGTAGATTAGCAAAAAGCCAAGGGGGAAACAGCCAACTCCAGATTTGAAACTGAAGATATACGGCTGCTGAAGTAATGGAGTACAGTCGAATGTGTTCGGAGAAAATTTAATTTATCGGAGGCCGAAGTGGAGTATCCTCCGGAGTACGGGAGTATCCCTGGAGTACGGGAGTATCATTCGGAGTACGGGAGTACCGGGATCCGGGAGTGTCGTTTCCCCCTTGCAAAAAGCCCACGACAAAGTGTGGCATGATGGCTTAATAGTAAAACTTCGAGATCTAGGAATTCCGATAAACTTGCTCATGATGATTGTATCCTGGTTAAGCTGCCGAGAAGCATATATTAATCTAGGAGACAATAAATCAGGAAAATTTAATATTAACATAGGACTACCACAAGATAGTAGCTTAAGTCCATACCTTTTTATTGTGTATCATTGCGACTTGATTCAATGTTTAGATGCCCACTCAGGGCATGTATTTACCGATGATTTGAGTGTGCTAGTAAGCGTACCAATTATGACATCCCTAAGCCCTATAGTAGCGCACTTAGAAAAAGAAGGAAATAAAGTATGTAGTAGAATTGCAGAGTATGCAAAGAAGTGGAAACAGCCAATAAATGTCCAGAAATCAGTCGCTCAAATCTTCTACTCGCAAATCACGTGTCTCAGTATAACTATCCTTATGGACGGAATAAAACTAAATGTAGTTAAGGAATTTAAATATCTAGGCTTTACTTGGACCAGTAAATTGTCCTTAAAACCAACGATAGATCACTGCTTGACGAAAGCTCAAAGAGCCGTAACCAAACTAAAATGGTTGCGAAAAGGCAGAAACATCACGGTGCCAGTCCTAAGACAATGTATGTTTGCCTATGTATTCCCGCATCTAGCGTGGGTTTTTCCTTTTTACTCTGTCCTACCACCATCTCAAAGAGAAGCGCTTGATAGAGAATTTCGAGTAGCAATTAGACTAGTTCACCACTGTTCCTATGTCTCAGCAGCTGATTTACACGTGGTAACGAAAGAAGAACCATTACAAGCATATGCGCAACGATTTATAAAGAAAAGATTGAGAAAAATCGATCGATCGGATCTCGGTCGATCGCCCTTTTTATTCGATATTTTCTACTGGGATAAGCTCAAAAAAAAGAAAAGAATGATACTTTAGGCCATTTTTTCAGACTGCGAAGAGTGAAAAGGCCGCTGAGCAGACAAGAAACAATTTTAATCAAATTGATAGATTTTGCACTAGAAAAATAGCAAATTAAAGATACAGATCAATCAAGTTAAGGTACCCACGAATGGAGACCTAACACAACAAGTAGAGGAGTAAACCCAATTATGACTAGATGAGACATTCTCTAAAGGAATTACTCTCTTTGTGTTGTCCTATCTTCTTGGCCATGCATGGTACGTTTTTCCTTAAGTCTCTTTTTTTTCCTATGTAAGCACCTCAGGGTGTCACATAAATGAATAACGCATAGACGAAATGCGAGACGAAGATGATAGTGTATTTCTTCAGATTACTTTTTACAAAATTCTTTCTTCACTTTGACATCGTTTATGCATGTTTAATGGATCTGGTGATGATGTACATGTTAACCAATCGATACAGTTGAAAATAGCATTCACATCACCAGTACTCGATGGAAGAACATCACCATAATCAAAACAAACATCAAAATGCTCCATCTTTTACACAAAATTTACTTGAACAAAGTCAGTGACGATTTCACCGTGTACACCAAGATTTTGATGTATCAAAACATATTTTGTTGTTCGAATAATTTCAGCTTCTGCTGGTGCTTGTTGTGTACATAGTTATTTGTGAAGTTTCGGATGAAGCAGAGTTTCTAGGTTGATCAACAAACAATTTCATTATTCTATGAAGATTAAAATCGAATGAAAGAAACCTATTTCAACTGTTCCTTATGATCGATGTTTCAACGAAACTTTACTCAATGATCTTGATCGTCGATGTTGTTGTCGAGGATGTACAACAACTGCATGTCCCTTACTATGATCAACATGTACTGGTTCAGTATTTGGTGTATGTGGATGAAGACGTTGTGACGGTGTTATTTTCTTGTATGAGAACAAGGTTCTATATCTATTTACTTAACTATAAAACCGAGTATATATAGTGATCAACTGATCCCTTGACATGACTCTATGGAAATTTACCAGATGACTGAGATCGAAAAGGATAAATCCATCATTTGAAATGAAGAAGAAAGGAGCAGAAAAGTCGTCATATATGCATATGTGTATATGACGAGCGAGAAAGAGAACATGTATATGGGTAGTTCCACCGGAAATCTCCCACCATCACAATGACCCCCTGCGATCAGGCTGAAACTTCCAGCATTTGGACCTGTCGGATCTTATTGGAATCCGACGAAATCCGATAGGATTCCTGGTGACGGAATTGCTTCGGATTGCGTCGAATCCGAAACACGGATTTTATGGATTTTCTAAGGGCCATCATAGAACATAGCTAAAAAAAACGCTCATAAAATTTGCAACAAATGACTGGATTTTTCCAGTCGGAATCCGACGCCATTCCGTCACCAGGAATCCTATCGGATATCATCGGATGCTCGGATCCAACGTCGGATTTGTTGACCTGGGAATGAGTTAGGAGGCTGATTTTTTTATCATATAAATAAGTTAACGAGAAGCCCAAATGCTGGAAGTTTCAGCCTGATCGCAGAGGGTCACTGTAATCGTGGGAGATTTCTGGTGCAACTAACCATACAAGTAACGCTCGTCTAGCGACTCGCTCAGCTCTTTCTCGTAGAAATCGTGCTTTCAGATATTACACTTTAAAGCTATTATTGTGTATATTAATTTATTTTTAGTGTAGATTAGATATTTTCACAAAAGTAGTAATAGATATTTATACCAAATATCAAATCGAGAACCAGATATTCTAAATAAGGATCAATGCAATTAAGTAGATTATGAGTTATTACATGAAAAGCTTTCAGCGCAATCCGTAACGGGATTAAAAGTGTGAAACACGACCCAACTGGAGAAACTTTCAACACATAGAATGGTCAATTTACTTCCCAGTGTGCATTCCTATTTATTTAAACTTAAGCTGTTGAAAATAACATATCATTCTCAATAGTGATGTCCGCTGCTTTTTAAAAGATCTTCGTTTCATCGGTCGCAATATGTGATGCTTCTTATTGCGCTTCCATTAACAGATCACGATCTGTGCTGAGATCTACGTGGGTCGACGTAACGAAGTTGAGAGTCACCCTGTCTGTGAGACAATGATATAGAGTTTATTTGCCTTTTCACATAACAACCTCTCTCTCTCTCTCTCTTCATTTTTTAGGTGCACGTTTTACAGAAAACAGTGAATAACAGTCAAGGCCAGTCGGTAACGGTTTGTCACGGGTTTTGGGCTTGTTTATAACGGTATTTGACTGGTTTTTGGGCCTGTCTGTAACGTCTGTGGGGGGGGGGGACCAAATTTCTACCCCTACACACTTCAACACTCTCTTTCAGATCGTGTTTCACAAAAAGAAAATAAGAAAACACGATAGGAAATATCTGCTACAATGAAAGAAAGGAAACGATTACTACAATAATTAAGATAAATGTAAAGAGGAAGGTAAAAAAATGAATATATACGATTTATTATTTTAAGATAGTTTGAAAAATGATAATACATTTTACATGCTTGTAATAACACTAAACTCTTAACAGTGTATCGATTTATACACGTTCAAAAAGCGGAAGAGGTACATTCTCGTTTTCTCTTTTTTGTCAAGTTCATCTAGTCGTTTCTGTTCAGCGTCTTGAGCACGAGAGGGTCGAACTCGTAAATAAGATATAAATGTTTTTCTGAAAATCGGTATCCTTGGTTTGCAAAATGTTTTTAGTTCTCAAAAAAGTAACATAAGATTTGTCCTCTCCGATCCCAAAATGCCTTCTGTAGATTTTTACAAAAAAAAACTGTTTTTTACAAAAAAGTCGCCCTTTGCATAAAGAAACTAATCCATGCAAACATTAAAAAAAAATAACGCCAGATTCTAATTCGTCGACCCAAATAACTCCTTAGGGATATTTTATAAAAAAAAATTTTTTGTAAAAAATTGGGCCTTTGTCTCAAAAAAACTTTTTTTATGGAAAATTTCCAAAAAATAACATCAGATTCGAAGTCTCCGCATCGAAATACATCTATAAATGTCTTTTCGGAAAAATCGATTTTCAATGTTTTTTTGACCCTGCGGACATACAAGCAAGCAAGCAAGCAAACAATTTATGTTTCTAAGACTCTTCTCTACGAGAAAGAGAATAAATATGTTGAATCAAAGTAGTGCTTCTTTTTACAATGGATCACAATATAATATTGACTAAGTATCAAATTGAAGTATAACTAATTAATGGAATCTTTGAAAAAAAGTTTATCAGAACGATCGTGAAAGGAAATATTATTGATTCAAGTCAAGAGAATATACATGCTATCATTATTGCAATCAATGCCAGTTAAAATTTGTTAGACTTGAAAAATCTGTTTTTGGTCATTGATGACACATGAAATCTAGTCACAGTGAGGTTTTTCCTGCGTAATATGAATTGAATTAGATAAAAATGAGCATGAGAGTGATGAAAACATGTCGTTCTAATCGAAACCTTCATATATCCTTTTATTCCGCACAAGATAAAGTGGTTTGCTCTGTTCTAAATCGGAGTAACTCGGAAAATATACTAGAAACATGTAGTCTAAGACTCAGATATTATTTCATTACGCAATTTATGGGCAAAAAGACCAAGAGAACATCTTTCTATTGTTGCATGCATGTTTATAGCTTTTTTACCTTCAGCGATAACTTTGTATTTTGGAATAGCTTCACTTGTACACGCAAGTAAATCACCAAAGCGTAATGGTCGAATAACTTCACCGAGATTGACATTCATCAGCACAATTGTTTTAGCCATATCAATTCCAAAATATACTTTCACATCTTGAACAAGGTATTGGTACTCCAGATCTTGATGAAAGCAAAATGTTTGTGCTGTTTTTCCATATTCGAAGATTATTTCCTTCACTCCATTATTTCCTGTTGGTTCTAAGTGAACAAAGGAGGAAATGTATTATTTTACTAGAATCACAAACATCTGGTTTGCAAACATTGATTCTTCTGGGTCAAGAATTGCAGTGTTATTTAACGAACGAAATTCGAACAGACTTACCCATTGAAGATAGATTTCATATCTTAAAATGAAAGAATATTTGAAAAATTTCGAACTAAAATATAGAAATATTTAGCACAGCACAACGTGTATATCACATCAATCAACTGTATAATACAAGAATATCCTGGGAATGTCAAACTCGATCTAGACCCAATGCTCAATCAAACAAAAACAGATTGGCTTCATACACAATAAATAAGAAGCATCACAAGCAGATGGCGCCACGCATAAATCATACCAGAATATTTGTTTGTTTCAGAATAAATACTTACATAGCTAATCGATAATGAAAGCGTTCCAACACATCAGTCTTCATATTTCTTCAGATCGATTTCGCTTTTTTGAACACAACAAAATCTATGCAATAACCGAAAGCCAAAAATCTGAATTCAACCGACTTTTTAAGATGAGAAATTGATTTCAATAACATATAATTTCTCATCGGCTTTTCACCGCTTTTTTAAGAGAAGAAACATCACTGAAAATTAACCAATTTCAAAAGAATCTATTTTGATTGATTTAACTTGATTCCTATTTAGCGTCAGTGAGTAAACATTAAACTGATGCATACATAAGAGTATTTTACATAGCGAAGAAGAATTTTGTCAAACAACAACGTGACGTCAATATATGGCAAGGCAAGACAGATCTATCGAATGAAACGTTACGAGGAAATACTCCATGAATTATTCAAAAAAGGCGAACAGATTCCAAAGTTCATTTTATCCGACGTGACAAAGACAATCATCGCTTAAAAGAAGATTAGAATGAGGAAGGAATAGACAGAATTTCTTCTATGTCATCGCTGTCCAATATGTACGAATGTGACGCTGTCTGCTGCGAATAGATTGAGACAGTAGTCATTCACATCGTTGATCGTATGATCAGTGATGAGCCCCAGGTCAACAAATCCGACGTTGGATCCGATGAGAACCGATCGGATCCGACGAAATCCGATAGGATTCCTAGTGACAGAATTGCATCGGATTCCGATAAGATCCGACAGAAACCGATATAGGATCTGATCGGATCCGAGTATGGGATTTGTCCACCTGGGAGCGGTAAAAAGAATAGAGTTCGATTTCACATTCATCTACATTCACTTGCTTCAAGATGAATCCAAATAACCTTTCCTTGACGAGTACGTAGGTTTCTCTTTTAGTGGAGCTTCTCATTTCTTCCTAGGACAGCTTTTAACATTAATTGGGATCTATTAAAAGTTTTAATGTGACATTCGATGATTTTAACTCCTTTCAACGAACAAAAAACTATGTGGAACTCATGCAAGCGCTCTCATATTATCAGACTGCCGTTTTGCCTTTGTTTATAAGCAACTTAAGCGTATCGTGTCATCACACCAAACTTTGCTTTTTCTTCATAATCCAAGCACGCCTGATATTCAAGCGTTCTTTAGTCCCTGATGACGACAACTGAAACATTGTGCTTCGTTTCTCAACAATTGAATATTTATTGGGACTTGTCCATGTTCATTCTTGGTATTATTGGTGCTATATGGATTATTCTAGCTTTCCATCATCACACTCTTCGTTCCAGTTCATATTGGACCTATCTACGATTTGCCGCTGTTGCTAGTTTGATACAAATCCTATTCAGTCTATCCGATCGGATCATTTATGCTGGGTTTGACATTCATTGGACAGCGACTAATGTAGCATGGTGCAAAATTCACTATTTCGCTGCACATTGTACATCGTTGAATGCTCTATCCTTTCTGGTCTATTCAGCTATCGATCGATTCTTTTCGACATGTGCTTCTACTGCCAAACGCGCTTGTACGTTTACAATAGTATTCTGGACGATACTGACTATTCCAACGTTAGTCTATGCAAAGCCAGTACAAATCAAACTGAATGGATATTCGTGTGAAAACACATTTCAGATTTGGTCACAAATCGTCGTTTTCTTTTTCAGTCTTTGTTGCTACGGGATATTTCCATGGCTTTTCATGAGCTTATTCGGATTTTTAACCTGGAAAAATCTTCGTCGGATTCATCATCGTCGAATATGTATTACATCTTCGGTTATCCTCACTCATAAAGCACGTATCGACGATGACCTTACATCGATGTTATTCCTCCAAATCTCCTCTTGTATTTTATCATCCATTCCATTTTGTAGTCAGAATATTTACTCCATTGTAACTCAAACGATGAATAAGACTGAATTGCGTCAAGCACAGGAGTACCTGTATCTTCGAATAGCTCGTCTAGCATTCTATTTCAATTATATCTCCACGTTTTATATCAACTATTTGTCCTCGGCAATCTTTCGGCAAGTATCAAGACAAGTTCTTCGAAATTTATTTAAAAACAAAGAGAACTTATCTCGACAAGCGACTATGGTTAATCATCAAGAGCCGAAAACACAATGATTCATAATGCGCGAAACTTTTATCAGTTCGATTTCTTAATCTTATTTGATAGCATTATATCCGGAGGACAGAGCAAAAGATTGAATATCGAACAGCAATGATTGGTTTTTATTCGATTTTCTTGATTAGGATCGTCTCATTTTGTAATTTGATCATCCACTTGATGTTTCTGTCAATTGTGTTGTCGAGCGAATTTTTCTTCTCAATGTATTACTCTGATTTCGCAAGTCAAATTTATCTCGATCAATTTGACACTTCTACACTGTATCATTCACTAATAGTAAATATTGATTGATATGCCTTCAGACATCGACGTTTGACACGAATAAACAGAATCTGTGCTAAAGCAAATAGGATAACGTATATTTTCGAAAGAACATAATTGTTCGATTATATAAGATTAAAGTTTCTTTCATATGTACCTGAATTGGATTTAACACATAATGTAGAACAATAACTAATGATACTGAACTGATAAGAGGAGGACAAGATACGTGAGATGCCTTCGTTTTATCTCATTCGTAGACTTTCGACTCATTCTGTGCATTTGTATTAGCCAGTGAAGAGTTCCCTCTATCGAGAAAAGAACACAAAAGATATGAGATAGAATGAGACCCAAGATAAAGTATCATGGCATCGACAATGACGCATACCATTGTGTATATATATTATGTGTATTTATTCATCATTTCTTCTATGGCCGCAGCTTGTAGGCACTGAGAATAAGCAAATAAAACAAATCATTTCTCTTTTCTTTTCTTTCAAGTGCTGGTATTGTTGTTTAGTGTGACTTTGAAGAAATTCTCCAACGAATTTATCTTAACATCTAATTAGTGGTATCTACACATCTAGTTAATCAATGTTAGGCATTAATAACAACAGCAGTATCGATATCTTCCTACACACATTTGGCTATTTACTTATTCTTGGTTGGTCTCTCTTAGCAACATTCCATATACTTGGTCTGTTTTACGGGTAAGATAAATTTTACATCGTTTTAAATACGACGCAGAAAGAGAGTTTAATTGAGCAGAACGCTTGCGAATGAAGGTGTTCGGCATGTGGGATGTGATATGACACAGACTCCCATATAAAATAGCCGAACGACGAAAAAAAAAGAAAAGTACACGTAATCGATATGATTGAAGACATGATATTTATATATACTAAAATATGACTGAATATTCGTGTATCTAGTAAGAAAATATTCCTACACAAACAATGTGATAAATCATACCTTGATAAGGGAAGTCTAGGAAAAATCATTCAAAACAGCTTCGATCACTCTGCTCAAATTAATCATGAGCCTATTGATAGTCAGAGTATACCCTGGTTGTATTCAATACGATTAGGATATGTACGCATGCTGATGACGAAAGAGCTAACTAAACCGCAAGAAAAAGACGAAAAACTCTCGAGGTTTCCAGCTCGACGAATTCATTTGGGAAATTTTATTCAACCAATCACATACATTTCATTTGTTAATGATAATGTTCTATTAATGTGAATGAAGATGAAAATGCGTTGATACTAGTAATTGCATTTTGCCTTGTAGCAGTCATATTTTGTGGGAAGAACGAATGATGTGATAGTTTCAGGCTTTCAAAAAAGCAATCACACATACCAGAATAGGTTGGCTCGTTTCCACAAATTCATAGCATAGTTTACGGCGAAAAATATTAAGCGAATATGTTCCACTGTCGTTGCTATGCTGTATTAGTAATCGGTTTTGAGAAAAGTCGATAGCATCAGCATTTGTTTGTTGTTGTTGATGGAAAAAACAATCCCGAATGAAATCATAGTTGTCGTGGCTAGCTTTGTCCCTATCTTCTTTTCCTTTTCCTTTTCCTTCCTTTCACTTTTTTTTCACTCCATTCAATCGAGGCGAGAGAGGTGTACTACTTCTCCCTCATTCTCCTCTTCCTCTTCTCTACCTCTATTTTTCTTCTACTCGCTCCTTTCTATCGATTATTAAGAAATCGCTACTCGCTGTTTTTACTTCGTTCTTTTGCTCAGTTTTGTTCGCCTTGTTCTTCATCATTATACTTCGTCATTCATTCATCCATTCATTCTTTCGTGTGTGTGTGTCATCTCTCTTTTCTTTTGCTTCTTCATCCTTTTACGCCTCCATATTCGTAAAAGTACAGACAAATAGTCATACGTAAAATGCAGTGTCGGTGACAAAGTCTGTTCGGGTGCCATCTGCTACGATTATTGTTGGACATGTTCTTCTTACATATAGCATATACAATTGCGCTCTCCATAACTCTGGTTTTAGCACTGTTAATCATAATTTTGGTATGGTTATTTCATATTAGCGGAATGAGCTATGGGTAAGATTGATTTCTACTTTATTTGGCGGGAAAATGCTATCGAGTAAATTCAAAACAGACGCTACCTTTGTTTTCCTATTTTCCACTTTGTTGTTTTTTGTTTGGTCGTTACAAAACCAATGCACAGATGAAAATACTCCCATTTTATTTTACCTGTCGTCTAGATTAAGTGTGTCGCTAGAATGACTACTGATGAGAAAGTTACCGAGCATTCATGTCCACATGTTTGCATGCTACCTTAACAGGTAAACAATTTAGATACATGAATATTCTTTCGTTTCTCCTTTCTCTCTCTCTCCCTCGCGCATGCTTTTTTTGTTCACTCTTGTTGACCGTTTCCGTTTGGCCTTAAGCCAATGTTTCTTTTCTTCGTCCTTCTTTCGCGTACGTTTTAATTGTTGATCTGTCAGAACATTGGACGAAACGAGATTATCAGATGCTCTAGAATAACAACTTGCCCACATCTGTCTGTTCGCTGCTTTTTTTCGCCTCCCAGAGGATATTCATCATCATTACAATAACAAGTACAGAAACCAATCAGATATATCAAAACAATGATAAATTCATTTGATCAAACACGCCAAAGATAGATATTATTAATACATGCATATATTTCTTTTGTTTTTGTTCGAGTTGCCCTTCGTATGCCCGAGAATAACAATGCAGGAGCTTAATTTCAAAGCAGCAAAAGGAATTAAATTGCTCTTTTTCTTTCTGTCTACAAAAAACGACAAAATAACAACAACTATAATCAGAATAGCTTGCTTAGATCAATAGGAAAGTCTATTTTCGTGACACTAGTAACAAGCAATTAAAGTTTTTTTTTTATAGAAAATGCACACCTGCTAAGCAAATAGTATGATTGATTGTTGTTATTATTGTTTCATTCAAGAGTGAAAAACTAACCGACGTTATATAAGATAGACTGAAGAGTAACTTGACAGACAGTGAAGAGGAAACGAATTTCTCAAGATATGATTTAACTATTGTTTAGATTATACAAATTCCATCGAAAACCATCACATAGTAATCTCAAAGAATTACCAGGTGTTTCAATAATTAAACCATTGACGGGCATTGATACAAATCTCTATGAAAATTTAAAAACCTTTTTCAATCTTCAATACCCTCGGGTAAGTCTTGACTCAAACGAATTTGTTTTCCCTCTAATTGACTCTTTTGTCGAATAGTATGAAATACTTTTCTGTGTGCAAGAACACGATAAAGAATTGATCGATTTACTCGAGCGATTACGGGAACAATATCCACATGTCGAATCGCAATTATTTGTTGGTAAGTAAAATGAATGTGCCGAATGACTGCAAGTCGTTTTCTTCTTATTCTTCCTCTCGGATGAGTAATTCATCTAATTAAAACCTCTTCATCGAATGACTAGCAGGAAGTGATTTTGAAGTGAAAATACACGAGAACGATATCGATGAAGAACAAGGAAGCGATCGGACACCGTTGGTAACTGGTTCGACTGAGGATCTGTCACGACGACAACGAAGGTCGATATGGAAACGACTTTTCTGTTGCGGTATACATCTCTATCACCCATTCACACGCTTGCAGATAACAGATTCTCTAACGCACGGAATAGATCTTAACGTGTAAGAATGACATGAAAAAGAGATAGCAGTCTGGATAATTTGCTCATTAACATTGATATTTGTCGCTTTCATTCTGTAAATAGAAATAATTACAAATAATTTCTTTTTTATTAGGTTCACTTTCGCAAAAGTTATCCGGTGATAAATCATCCAAAAGTGGAGTTACGGAAATTCGAAATCCAAAAATATTTAATATGCTCCCTGCTTATGAAAAAGCCCAATATCCGTACATATTAATATCAGATAGCGGTTTGATGATGCATGAAAATACTTTATATGATATGGTTATGTGTATGACTGATACAGTTGGTCTTGTTCATCAAATGCCATTTACTTGTGATAGAAAAGGTTTTGCTGGGTCTGTTGAAAAGGTATGTAGGCTAGAAATGAGATTTGATCTTGCCATTAAAATGAGTACATTGCTAGTAAATATTTATATCAAAATATTTGCTACGAAATCGAAGTAAAACGGGGGTTTTTCATTTACCATTAGAGAACAAATATGTACTTACCAGATTTTTTAATTATTCGAAATTCATGACAAAGACAACAGTCAAAGTTTAACTTCGTCTCTTCCTTTAGGTCTATTTCGGTACTCAACATGCTCGTATGTATATGACAATCAATTTAATTGGGATTAATTGTGTTACTGGAATGTCTTGTTTAATACGCAAAGAATGTATTGATCATGTAGGTGGTCTACGTGCTTTTGGCCATTATATAGCAGAAGATTATTACATTGCATACGAGGTTGCTAAACAAGGTTGGCAACTACGTGTGGCATCTTCGCCTGCTCAACAAAACTCGGGCGAATATTCTGTATCAACATGGATCGACCGAATGGTTCGATGGTGTAAATTAAGAATGCGCTTGAGCCCATTGGCATATTTAGAGCCTCTCCAAGAATGTTTTTCGTCCGCTATCTTGGCAGGTTTAGTAACAAACTATTTATTTGAATGGAATGCGCTCGTTGTTGCTGCCTGCCATATCCTTATCTGGTTTATCCTTGATTATTTGATGCTTCGAATAACTCAAGTATGTTTTGTTTCCTGTGACATGAAATGAATAGTGATTTGTTGGATGTCATTTGTCTAGGGCGGTGCACTTCCATTTTCGAAATTTGAATTCGCAATAGCATGGCTTGTGAGAGAACTTTCTTCGTTTTACATATATTTCAAAGCATTCACGGGCTCATCCACGGTCAAATGGCGTGGAAAAGAGTATCGTCTCGGTTCTGGTACACGAGCTGAAGAACTGACTCCTACACCTTCCCCTCCACCTGCCCCATCCCTTCTTGTCGAATCATCTTCATCATCTATGTCAACTTCCTCTTCATCGTCTTCCTCCTCATCGACTAATTCCATATCACCTGTGGCTGGCCCACACATTCTTTCATCGTCCCTATCTACGAAACAACCATCTCAGATTGTCTAGGAACTATTCTTCCACTTTGTTTTCAAATGTCTTTCTCTTTCTCACATCTTTTTTGTTGTCCATTTGTTTTTCGATTTTCTCAATTACGTGCCGGTCACAATCTACTCAAATCGTTCAAACCAATGATGAAGATATTTAGTCGAACGCTTATTTCTCTGGAGCCGACTTGAACCGAGATCGCAATCAGAAGTTTAGCATTTACAATCCATCTAACAGTGTTTTTTGTTTGGTTTCTTCTGCTATTTTGTATCTACGTCTCTCACTTGTTTTTTTTCTCTTGTCTATAAGAATGATTCGTGTTTGTTTGTCTGTTTGTCCTTGTCTCCTTTCTCTCTTCTCCTCTCTTTCCATATTGGTCTTACTTACTTTTCCTTTCTCTATAGGTCTTCGTCTATTTAGTGTTCATTGTTGTTATACGCAGAAAAAAGTAAAGAAGAATGGAGTACTGAACATCGTGAATCACTATCGATGAAAAAGAAAGCTAATTTAGAACAAATAGAAGCAATAGAATAAACGTATTCGTGTATGTCCCACTACTTCATAAGTTTGATGACTAGCAAACATATTTTGAAGTTGACAGAGCCTATTCGATGATAGATGTTTTTCATTGAGAATCTATGCAATTCAAATGTCAATTGATATAACATCAATACAACGTCCAGAATGAATGCTATTCATTGCTTGCACATTCTTTGTTCATACATTTTCATCACTAATGATTCTTTGTCTTTGTTAACCTTGTCCTAATGCAACGTTCAATGTCAACGGTACAATATAGGAAGAGGAAATGACTAGTCAAACATTAAATAGGGAAATAAAATAAACAATACAATTACGAATTCATTGACATGAAAATGATCGAGCTTACCGTTACACATCTATCAGAATTCTTTTGTCTATTGAGAAATTTAAGACGATACGATCGAAACTTTGTTCATGTTACATGCATGAAAAAAAAACTGACCATGAAATAATCCACTGTTGATAGAGTATGTACTGTTGTGTATCAATAGATATTATCCTAGCTGATATTGTATACTTGGTAATGCAATACCGAAGTTTAAATTGGAGCACATCTCGATTATGTAGTTTCTCGAACGTAAGTTTGCTAAAACTATCATTGATGTCTCATCGTATATTATAAATTTACTACCTAAATCATTCACGTACATGGAATAAATGATTGTACGAAAAGCCTAGAACGACACAATATTGAATAAGTTGAATATGGAATAAATGTTAACGGAATAAATGAGAATAAAAATGGAAACGGTCTTTTCTATGCTTGATTTGTCGATGCGTCATTTTTTGTAATAGGATAACAACATTTATTTATGATTGCCAATTTCGTCTGTAATACCAGTAATTGTTGACGAAGCACTACTTGTTGCATCAGTTAAATTGTTCAGGATACTGATGCGATGGTTTTGACCGTTTGAAGTGTCTTGATTATCAATGTGAAAGACATCTGAGACGATTCCATTTTGAGTGTCAGCAGGTGGAACATGTTCGATATGGTTCTCTGCTACTCCAGTACATATTTTATCATCAACCAATTGTTCGCTGAATAACGATACTGGCAGTATACAATTTTCTGTATTCGTACTTTTGTCGATCTTTGCTGTGTCCAGTTTGGATTTTTTCTTCTTCGTTTGTTTACTATTGCTTTCCGTTGTTGATAACTGAACATGCTTGTTCGTATTTTCAGCACTTGTTAAGGTTTCCTCTTGATCTTCATTCGTTCGAACGATGATCAAACTTTGATTTTTTCTGGTTAGTTTCGCACCCATTCTCAATATCGATGGCAGTGTGTGAAGTTAAAGTGAAGATAACTGATGTACGAATATACCAGAAATCGACAACAACAACAAGAACACCGAATATGTACGCGAATAGTGAATCAAGTATGTCTGAGAACAGAGAGCTGCGAGCAAATACTGATACGAACATGAAGATGGCATCGAGATAACAATGGAATGTACACTCTCGATATGTGTATGTATTCGACGTTATTGTTATTCAAGTGTTATCGGATAGATGTCTTGTCTGTAATGAGTAGCAATATTGGTCATCATTAATAATGATAATATAACAAGAAAGAAAAGGCAGAAGATATCGCTCGATTCGATTATCATTTACAGAATCTTTCATAGCATAGTTTAGAACTGAACGGGGCATAAGATGATTTACGTCTTAGACGAATTATTTGTTGTCGTACGAATGAGGGTAATCCCGAGTTTCTCTTACATTCTCGACTATATTTTACAGTCACTTCAGTGTATGAGACTAGATAAGATAGAATATCAATCTGTAGTCAAAGATACGTGATGATGGACGTACAAAGGCGATCATAAATCACATTCTGATAGTATTGCCAAACGTAGTATTTGCATTATTCGATAGTACATCAAAGTAATGATTTTATGTATATTGAATAAAAGTATATATCAGCTTGACTAAATATATATATATGTTCATCTCTTTTATTCTTCAGCTGAAGAGACAAAAATACATATACGAAAGATATCAGCAAATTGCTATCGAACAGAAATGACCTGTAGTCTCATTGTTTGACACATATAAGAAGAAGGAAAACAACAACAAAAAAAGCTTTAGTTCACAAGAAAGTTAAACCAGTTGAGGGTAAAGGGGAAAAGCAGTTGTCTGATTATCATGAGATAAAATGCACAACATTTATGATCAATCACGATATTCTTCATATTCCGGCCAGCGACTGTTGGTTTGCGTACCTATGCAAGACAGAAGACATTGCATCTACTGAGAAGACTATTATTAAACATACCATAATTTTGATCCCACCACGATAAGTCTTCATTGGAATCATGTGCAGTTATACTTGTTTTGTAGTCTTCATTCATTTTCTTTAGCGTTGGACTGGAAAAGATCAAATATAAGATGTGTCATCATCATCATCATCAAGGTCAACATACTTGTCTTCCGTGGCTGTCTCTAATACTTTCGAGAATTCTTCGAACGTTTCTTTGAAGAAATCCAGACGTTTCTTTTCGAACGCTTGAGTTCGTTCAAATACCTCTTTCATTGCTGATTCATAACGAGGCCTTTGTTCTCTTGCCTCGTTCACTGCTTGTTCGTATTTGGCTTTAGCAGATCCAACTTCTCGCCTGGCAACTTCAGCTTTATCTGCCAATTTTCGTCGTTGTTCTTCGGATGCCGAACGTTCGGCATCATCGGCTAATTTCGCCGCTTTGCAAGCTGCATAATAAGCAGATTTGTATTCCGAGATTTTATCTAATAATTTCGACCAGGACTTTTGCGCATCCATAAATTCTTTTTCGAATTCTTTTGTTTTTTTATAATGAATACGTGATTTCTCGTAATTATCTTTTCGCCATTGACGAAGTTTAGGTATTAAACTATCCGTTAGCGAGGACGACAGTGCTCCATGAACTTCAGCCATCTGTTCACCTAAAATAATTTTTGTTCAGTGAGGGGAATCCAAGAAAATCAAATCTAATTACCTGCTGTTGCAGTTTGATCCCAAAGCTTTTTATTTGTTCCGTATTCTTGTGATTTAACTAATTCGGTATGCCATTTTCTCGACCAAGCACGTAATTGATTCGTGTACACAGATTCGAGTTGTGCACGTTCTTCGAACATATCTGCAAGTTGTTGAGCAAGATCGTGTCCGTTTTCACATCGTTTCAAAGCAACTGAATAAGCGCCTGGTTCGAAAAAGCCTCGACCATACGCTGAATTATTCGCGAATGCTTCTGGACCAGCCGTAGCTGCATTAGAAATCGATGGTTGTGAACTGAGTGATGGAGGTGGGACAACACTTTTACGACTGAATAAATTCATCTTCGAAAGAGAAATGAAAATTTTTGACTTATGCGACAAAAACAATCAGTTTTAGTATAGATATATATATTCGTTTAAATCCTTGGTATGTCTGTGTGAATCATGCATGCAGAAAAACAAAAATAGATGCGCAGAAACGCGTCAGTCGCTCTTCTCTGCGCCCACTCGATTGTTCGTTCTTTTTGGGCGAATCATTCGTCTCGTCACTCGCTGTGCAGAGAAAAGAAGAAACGAGAACGAATCAACGATCATAGAAGGAAAGAGAAAAACAAGTATGACCAAGATCACTGATTCATCTTGTATACTCTGTGGAGGTTGATGAATTGTCCATTGTAGGAAAAATAAATGTCGTGAAAAGAGAATCCTATCATTATCATAAAAAGCAATAATTTCTCTTTCGGCTGTCAGCTAATTTAACAAATATCAGCATGTTCTTAGACGGTATACAATAAGACAAGAATGTCGATAATTCACTGATTCATATTTGATTGCAAACATGTTTCTTTATCTGATTGATTGAGTCATGGAGATTAAAATGCGTATAGGCAAACTCCAATCTGCAACGTCTGACTAATATCTGCACAAAAAACACATTAAACATGTTAATAGACTGTGCCAAATTTTGAGCTGGTTTAAAAGTAAAAGGAGTACAAGTATAAAATTATGGTACAAGGATCTGAAAGTGATCGCAAGATCGTGTGAGCGTTATTGCTCACTGCGAATGTTCACCTTCAGTCATCCCATCTAATAACATTTGCGTCATTTAACTTTTTCACAAAATTTATGGAGATCGGCAACAATTATATATAGTGACAGTTAATATATGAATAGACAGATTTGGTTGCGCCTCATATATCTGTTTTTTTGTAAGACAAACTGCACATTTCTGTCGCCTATGAATTGGTAGGATGCTCATTAACACACATTCGTACTATTCATGTCAGATTTAGTATCTAATTAGTAGTTGTTCGAAATCTGTACTTTGATCAAATTTATTTTCACACGGCCAAGCATGATCAATTCGAATATTATCTCTTTCTTTTTAATAAAACGATAGCACAGTCATTCGTTCTTTTCTCTTCACTATGTTGGAAATTTAGGTCGATAATTTGGCAAGTAATGCTTCCTGGTTTTTTCCTGCTTCCCTTAGCGTATTTTATATATTGAATCGTTAAAGTAAAGGAACATAATACATTTTATACGTACATCCCTATTCCTAGGAGAATCCTCAAAGTTTTCGATTGATACCCCACACAATCTTGAGGGTGGAACGACTCCATTCTGTTTTCATTATGGTTTTACGTAACTCATCCCACCATGATGTTAACACACTTTTGTTTGTAGAATGATGCTTCCATTGAAACAATTCATAGAAGCGTGAAATAATGAATTTTTTTTTATTTGTAGTATTGTATGACGTACCAAGCCAATTTTCTTCATAAGAAGGTTTACTCGACTTAGACTAACAGAGAGGAACGCATTGTCACAGAATCCTTCTGTCATAGATCAATCGCTCGATTATATTCCTCTCACTCCCATTCCGCAGAGCATTGCCTGAAAGGCAATGTAAGTTAAGGTTCCCGTCTTCTTTTTAAACCTCGTGTAAAGGTGAAATTCTTCTCATCTAATAGTACAGACTTTGAAAATTGTAGACTCGCCATTTCAATCTGACGTCAGAACATGTTCGTCTAATTTTAACATGAATAGGAATGCAAGAAACTACGATAATTAAAGATAAAAGTGTTCAGAGAGTCAGTCTGAGGCATATATATATATATAACAGATTTCAGTGCTATCGTGATTCTGTTTTTTGAGAGCTGGGGACGTTGACTGGTTCCTGTTTGGAATCTTCACATATTTAAGCTATACTCCAAAAACTTTTCGGTACACAGTTAAGAAAGTATCAAGTATAGTAAGAAGACATTAATGTACTTCGTTAAACGAATGTATTTTCTATTTAGATTTGTATTCGAATCTCAAGTGTCAACACAATTCATGCATTGCATCATTACCATCATAGCTTTGCTCTTAATGATAATATCAATTAAAAGTCAAACTGTGTCCGATCGTTCCTATTCGGAAACGCTTCAACGTTTAGCATCACAATATTGTTCCATTCACGACATGAAACTATGGGAGCAGCGAGGGGCCATTTTGGAATTGATAATAAAAAGTGTTAGACGGGCTCGAAATCCTATTGATAAAATCATCAAAGATTATGAACAATATCGAACTGAAAAAGAATGTTTAAAACTTGTAGAATACATGCCAATTTTGATTGGGCATGGATGAAAGATGATCTGTTTTTGTTTCATAGAGAAGTTTTTTTCCTAATATCAATAAAAACAAACAAAACGCAAACAGAATTCAGACATTATTTAGTAGTGGCACTCGCAGGTAGTGTTGTTTGCCTTTTTACTGGCATATTACAGTCTAGTTTACCACGAACTACTTTGTAATGAACACCAGGCAGATCCTTCGTTCGGCCACCTCGCACTAGCACACTATGATGCTCTTGAAGATTGTGTCCTTCACCCGGAATATGTGCAATCACTTCGAGACCGTTAGCCAGACGAACACGGCAACATTTACGATTGGCTGAGTTGGGTTTTCTGGGTTTTCGAATTAGAGTCTTCAGGACAATGCCTAGAATAATAAAATAGCCTTATCGAATTTCTTTTAATATGCGAATGTCATGTTGATTAAAGAATCCAAAAATAGTATATAAAGACGTAGGCCTGATGAACACATCAGTCTTTTGGCAAAGGAGTACACATCTGGAATCGATCAGACCGTTTTTGTCATTCATCAATACCTAGTGCCAGTGTTCTTTGCATGACTTTGTAGTCGAAAAGTAATCCAGTATAAATGTAGTTCTTTCAGCACTCACCTCGCATAGTTGGTTGTTCGTCCATTTTACTTTTCGGCAGTGGGCGTACGCCTGTTATCCACAGAGTATTCGTATGCATATGCCAGAGTGTATTGAACGAACGATGAATAGTCAATGTTGATGTCATCGAGCTCGCTGTTGTGGCGCATGTTTTCAATAAATTTGCCCACATTCTTATTCAGCGTCTTTGATTATTATCTAAAACGCATACCTGGTATAAGTTGAATAAAAGAACACAAAACAGAACAGAAAAAAGTTTAAAGAATTGTTTTCTTTTTCAGTTTTAATCAACAATTAAATGTCGAGTCAAATACCAAATGAAGAATGGTTGAAGAATAACAACAAGAAGTAATAAATATATACGACGCTTATTTCCGTTAGAACCGTACGGCTGAGATCCACCTGTATCTGGTAAGATTTGTAAACGAAGGCATTTAACCTAGAAAATCGTACTGTTTAGAAAAACGAAAGTTTCCGATCAATTTACGTACAAGAAAGTAGGATAGTGATAAACTAACGTAGAGTAATGAACAACGATAAACAAATAATGAATGAGTTAATAAATATGATGATAATGCAGCTATCATTCCAACGTATTTATAACCACAATAAGCGATTAGATCCAGTGTACGTAATTTCGATTGAACATTGAAGATGTAAAATGTAAAGCATAAAACGCATATTTCAATTACGTTCCAGACCATTACAGACGATGCATGCATACCCAACTGTTCCGGTGTAAACCTAAGGAGATAGTAATGATATTGAGCATAAAATGCATAATATCTATTTACCTGTCTTGAGTACCCAAGACTAGACCAGCGACAAGAACGTATGTGATAGCACTCATTACTAAAATATGAAGATGCAGATAAACATTAACTTGACAAACCAAGAAATAGTCATGCTTACAGGGAATATAGTAGTCCGGTGCATTCGTGTCAACACGTGGTGGGACTGGTTCATCCGCACTGTAACCTAAAGACCAGTTCTATGAAGAAAGATAATGTAATTGTATGTGAATGAACCGTTTTTAGCCTTACTCGTGGTCGAAATGGAAACAGAAGTAGACAAAGTTTCTTAAAAACATAAGCTTGATCAACAGCGAAATAGTACTTGATTGACGAGATGGACTTTTTCATCTAAACGCGAACGTTCACATTTCTGAAAATATTTAAACCAACCACTATTACTTCATTGGGTAACATATTCACAGTCTTGCCAGTAAAATCTTTCATGCCCTGTTCAACAACATTTAAGCCAACGTTAAAAAGTGGATTGCTAGAGAGATATTCCATTCCTGGCATAGCTTGATTAGACGGTATTTGTTGTTGAGATGGCGGTGCATAGAAAGCAGTTTGCGGCGAGAAGAAAGCATTGTGAGAAGGAGCTGGTGGAGGCTGAGGAACATTAAAATCACCTCCGTACGATGGAGGAATTTGAGGTTGAGGCATACCAAAATCACCTGCATAATTGTTTGCTGCTGCTAGATAAAACAAAGAGAAAATAGACAAATAGTTTCGAAATGGAGATGATACGAACGGTATGGAGCTGTGGGTTGATAGAATTGAGATGGTGGCTGTTGCTGCTGCTGTGGTTGCTGTTGTTGTGATGGTGGATGGGGATAATTTTTCCCGAGACGCATTGGACCACCTACATGAGATTGATTGAGTGAATAAATTTGTCGATAAAATTATAAGACAAAAACTCACGTGAACTCATGATGTTAGAATGTTCTACCGCACGAGAAAATCAACGAAATAGTTACGTTCCGAGTAGCCACCTCACTACATGACGAATTTATTGGTCGATATCTTCGACAAAACAGAAGAATTTAGCATATATGCATATAATAATCAACTAACGACCTCTATCTCTTCCACACATGATGAATGTAGTTGTTTCATTCAGAATATTTAGCGTAGAACAAATTCGAGAGCAAATATGATCTGTAAACATCTCTGTTATATTAAAAATACGACCGAGCTACATGTTTATTTTTTATTCTTATAAGAAAAATGCTCTCTACTGTAATAAAAGTGTATTTGAATCACTAGTCCTAACTAAAAGTTGCAACTGATCCGTTTTTAAAACATTGAATCAGGCCTTTCGCTAAGCCATTTCTTGATTTCGGGTGTTTGTTCCACTTTGTCATGGATGGCTTTCAATGCTGCACATTCTTCCAACGCCTTTTGCACACTTTGTTGATCATCGAAGAAGTGTATTAAATTGTAAAGTTGAATATCAAACAATGATAAACGTGAACCAATCCAATAGCCAGATTTATCTTTGCCTGCTTGTTTTTCAAAAATGGCGAATGTCTTCGTTAAATCATTTTCGAAAAACTGTTTGACAGCGTCACCACCGGTTGTTTTAGCTTTGTTGTAAGCTTGTTTGATATCAAGAATTTGCTCACCGGCCGCATCTATTCTCGAGAAAATTGATGTGATCACAGTATTAAGAAAAGGCTTCTCTTACCGATCAAAGCTGCTTCGATATCATTGCTACCGAACATATTAAAACGACGAGCTAAGAATCGTTCAATTGCTTTTGATTGCGCAATTGTGTATTTACCGCCGTCAATTTCGAGTACAGGTATTTTTTCGTACGTATATTTTGGCTTATCAGCGTCCCATTCTGGTCGAATATATTGCCCATCTTTGATTGTTATTGGATAGCGAAAATCTTCGAAGTCTTGACCAGCCGCTTTGAACAACATGCGTGATGTTTCAGCCAAACCTCGGCCGGCGAAATAAATCAATTTATAGTTCGACGATGATGACATATCTAAAACCTGAATCTATTGCGCGTAGTAAAGTTTGCTTTCCCCGAATAATATATTCAGCAGAGCGTGAAAGCCTTTGTTTTCAATTTATACTAATATAGGACACAAAAAGGATTCATACTGCCTAACCTTATGCTTTGAACCACACAGGAATTATTTTTTGTTAAAAACAACAATATAGGATTAAAACATATTCCTACTATATTATTTTGTTCATCAATATATCAGAATTTAAACAGCGTATTAAAGAAGAAGAAGAAGAAAGAAAAAAACAAAAATTCTGTACACATAAAGAGTGAACACGCAGAGAGATATTGTATCAGAACAAGTGTTGCTGTTTTTATAGAAATCAAACATAAAAAAGAAACAAACTAATTATTAGATGTTATTCATGGTCATTATCGATCGAAATGCGCTTAGCCACTGTTGCTTATCATACATATCACGAGCTTGTAGTAGCATAGACGTATTACGACTATTATTGTTATCAAATGACGACGACGAAGAACATCGAAACACGTTTCGAGCTAGAAAAGGAAGAAAAATCATCGAATCATTTTGTTCGTTTACATCCATGGAGGCATGAGCAAGACATACCAGGTTTCGATCCAGCCAATGTACGTGAAAAACTACCAGATGATAGTTCAGGAATTTTAACGCCATCTTCAATATCTTCAACAATTAGAGATAGAACAGGTATAGGATAGTTGGTTAGCTGGTAAGATTTTAAACCATTTCGCGTAGCGAAACGTGTGAAAAGCAAGATTTCATCGAATAGAAATACGTGGAGTTTCTAATGAAAATCGATTTGAATTTGTATCTCGTATCGAAAGGAGTTTTCTTACTTGGCCACGATTGTTTTTAAGTTCACCTTGACACAATATTCGTGTTTGTTTTTCGATCAATGAATGTTTCTATCGAAGACAGATTCATTTTCTAAAGAAAAAATCGTCCTGTTGAACTTACTTGATCATCGCTCATATAAACCAGTCGTGCAATCACATTGGAACAAAGTTGCGCCGATGTTGCTTGACTAACATCATTGATAAGTTCTTCAACAAAATTAATCTAAACGGAATGAAACAATGATTTGTTTTACTAATCAAAGTATTGATTAGTTACTTACAGTATCAAGTAAAACTCGTTTATCTTCATGGCCATCTTTCGTCTAAATACACGAAACAAAAACAGAATTATAAGTCCTACATGTAAGGATATTTCCTCGAGTGAAGTAGAAAAAGATCAATACATATGATAATCAAGATCGTATCTTGATTGCAGATACCCTTCTTTCCACTTAATTCGAAAATAAAAAATGTTTGTGTCAAGGAATCAGATGATCAGAGCTTCAGAAAGATTATTAGTACAGATACCGGCCTTTTTCCTATTGATATGACTTGACATTGAACTACCGTGAGCATATAACATCGATATTGAAACTGTAGGAACAGAGTTCGTCCTTCATTTTTATTCTCGGGTGAAGATCCTCGGTTTTGAACTTACTCGCTTTTGAATACGTTTGAATAGGATTGGATATTTCATTAAACGACTTCGCGGTTGATCTGTAAATAGAAAATTACATCTGATAGATGAACTTTCGAAGATATTCACATACCAAGAAAATCCCAGAGATCAAGTTTTCGACTAAAACCAGAATCTGTACAACGTTTGAGATAATCATCGACACGGCCATTTTCTTCACAACGTTTGGCATCTAATAGTTCTTTTGCGTTTATCAAATTCGAGCAATAGGATACGTAAGATAAACGGATACGTTGAAACTAAATCGAACAACAAATTTGTCATTGCGGAGGAGAAATCTTTTGAGAATATTTTACCCAATCCAGGTAGATTTGACCGACGGCATCGATCGAGGAGCTGCCTTTTGGTTTTAAACGATACAAGAGATCTATTCGAGCGAGAAACATCATGAAATCTGTCGAAGTAAAGTACTTTTACCTTCATGCAACGGTAGAATATCTTCAAGTGGTCCAAATATTTGTTTTAATTCCGAATCTGTCAAGATATTCAATGTTTTCATTCCATTACGATAGACCTATATAAGAAGAAATACGATTTTGGATCAATCAACATCTTCTTTTACTCGTTGTGCTAAACCCAAATTTTCAATCATTTGCTGTTCTTCGGAAAGTAGCTCGTAGAGAACGTTTTGCCGTTCGATCTCAGTAGCTGTCATCGTTTGTTTCAACTTCTCTCCGTCACATGTTTCTGACCAAGCGGCACGAAATTTCTTCACTGTATTCGGCGATGGAACATGATTCGACGCTTGCTGCGATGATGGTTTACGACGCACGTGAACATTCGCATGTGTATTATGATTAATTAGATTTAACAAATTCGCTGATGACGATTGTTTTGTTGTTTGAAGCATGTTGATGACACGATCACACATTGGACTTAGCAATTCCGACACAGAAGATAAACGTGGAAGAGATAAACGCTTTTTTCGTTGGAAATGATCGCCAACAATGTCTTCGAGTGAACGAAGTGAGACTGTATCCGAATCAAGTTTTCGTTTTCGTTTTTTCTGAAAAGAAAAAGGCAGATATTTGAGGTAAAGTATTACGAAATTGTTGGTCGAATTTACTTTAAATCGAAGTGAAACTGAATTTGTTGGTGTTGTCGTTGTGCTTAGCCGATTGGAAATTGTTAAATCATCATTCAGTGATAGGATTGATGATGCTGATGGCGGTGGTGGCATTTCATCCATCAATTCGATATCGCATGATGAAGATGTTGGTGAGAGATGTGGATGTTCACAAGAAGCAAACATTCTCGTCACCAAAATACTGATCTACAAGTGAATACAAATATCAGTTATTTATCGGTGTTTGCGAAGAGAACTACAGCGAGAGAGCGAGATGGAGAGAGAGAGAAAGAAAAAACGAGCAAAAAAGTGTCTCAGGGTCAGTAAAGAGTAACAGCTGTCACACTCTGTTCATCCAATAACTATTAGTTTGATCTCTATCTGCGAGCTGACCTCTCATGTTCGCATGATGCAATCGAACTATCTTCGCCAGTCTGTAATGATGATTGATCACTATGATACAAGTGGATGTAGTAGACAACGAATGACCAATGATGATGGCGATCATCCTTTGTTCAATCTCGGTGTCTGGACAGAAAAGTAATCAACATAATTAGATTATGATAAATTGATCGATAATGGCGGGAATGAAGACGATCATGTACAAAATTCATTAATATAAAACTTAGATTAAAAGAAAAAAATAGAACAGTGAGAGAACAAGTGCACAATCGTATCGTTTAATATCAGATTCTTTCTTCCTTCGATTCAAGCAATATACACATGTATACATATGATCTATATATCAAAGGGGTAGAGGCATATTGAAAGCTTATTAATGACATGACAAAATAGACAGGATCATTTGTATAAACAAATCTTAATCTGAGAGAACGACCTTATTTCTTCTGACATAATGAAGGTAACAAACACGACAATGATGCTAACGGACTTGTAATCTTATATGTCATAAGAGTTAGAAACTTGTGTCAACCTCGAACTGTCTACTGTATAAATACATTGCTATTATTCATTTCTATTACACAATAATCTCTCTCTCTCTTTAAACACATTTATCTCGAATCAAATGAGGTTATAAAATACACGAGCAAAAGTCTCTCGCCATCTCTTTCTTTCCTAAGCACAAAAAAAGTACGCGAATAAACTCTGTCCTATTATCGATCAAATGGCGTACCAACTGGTGGTTTAAATCAAGATGATACAAAACCTTGAATGTACAAGCAAGAAGTGTGGGACTAGGAGAGAGAGAAAGACAAAGTTATGTGCTACTGTCATATCATCGTTCTTTGTGCTCAGAAAGAAATCAATTTATTGGTTGATTGAACTTGCCATTTGAATTACCTCGTTTTATTTCTATAGAAAAGAAAAATTTCATAGAGGTCTATTACCGAGACATCGAACAATTTGAATGGTCTTGAAAGCTTAAAATAAAATAAAATAAAGAAAGAAAGAACGGCAAGTGAACTTGTTTCTTTAAAATCATTTTATTTATTAATTGGTTGGATTGGTTCTTTCACAGGTAAGAAGTTCAGCTTAATTATAATTGAATCGAACGAAGGACTGGTATCGTCATTGAAATAATGCTTGAATAGCCTAATAGCCATGAAATTGTTCGTGTCGGTTGAGGTAATGGAACCTAATATTGATAAAGGAGAACAAGGTTCACGTTTCTTACTCGACGTACCTGATAAGCGATGGTATGAAGGAGGCGAGAGAGAAGAAATATTCGAAAATGCCATAGAGCACAGTCGAATTTGGGCCGTGTTCCGATATAGAAAAGGCCAGCCAAGACGAATGGAACGATGTTCTCCAAATCGTTCAAATGATTCTCTCGTGATCGCTCAACCAGATCGCTTTTAGTTCCTACCATATTGCCATGAGATAAACCTAACTGATTTATAATTTTTTTGTAAATATCATCTTCGGGCGTTATAAAGCTTCCCGTGCGAAAGCGTTGAATGATTGTATAGGCTGACATGCCTAACATTTTCAATAATGCCAATGATGAATAGCCAGCTAATGAAGCGAAAGCAGGATTACAGAATGAATATGATCCATTGGAAATGAAATTGTTCAACGTGTTGCCACTGCTTCCGTACTGCATGAATGAGTTTTAGTTTTCAAGTTTCTTATTTTTTTGCGCAATATATCAAAAACAAGAATGAAAATGAATGATTTACGCGCGTGATCAGTCATTCAGTCGCTGATACTCTTCTTCTTCTTTCAGAATAATACTCAAAATGATGGCCTTAGTACCAACGTCAACTAGTAACCGAGGCAGTAATCCTGGCACAGAGAAAGTGTGCGATATGCTGCAGGAAGTAATCGAGAATCACTTAGTTTCTACCTCTTTTTGATCATCGATATTATTTTCGAAGATTCGTGATGAGTTTCACACACTTAAAACATTCATCTCTCAACAACAGCATGAGAACAGTTCTGATCTGAATAATTTATCTGAAATGCTTACTCGAGCCGAACATAACATCAAGGTATGGATAACCAACACTCATTTGTGATGCAAATGAATCTTCTTTGTAGGAAAGAACTGATAACGTTTTGAATATGCTCAATGGAAATACAGTGACGACGTTATCTTTTAATCAAGTACAAAATGCTCAACAACGTTATCAAAATAATTCAATATCTGATCAATATCAACAGCGGATCGACAGTGGTGCGGTGTCACGAGGCAGATTGCATGTGAATACCGCAATAGGTGGAACGTAAGTGTAGCTCTTCTTTTGATTGTAGGGAAAGAAAACTGAGCTTCTTTTGCCAGTCGACAAAGATACGCTGAAACTATACCAATCATATCTATTGGTGCTCAACAACATCGACCTGTTGCACCAGGTGCTGTTGCTCGTCATGAGTATCAATCGAAAATTATACGAAATCCATTTAATAAACGTAATCGTGAAGTCATGCATGATAATTACGGTGTACAGCTACCGCTGATTGAAAAGCAACAACAGCATCGAACGGTAATGTTCTTTGAAATTTCATCTAACGACCACAACATCTTGTATATAGCCGGCATCGCGAAATATTTTGTCAGGGAAAACAACCGAGCCAGTTGGTATTTTACCATATAAAAGTCGACGTAATCCTATTGTAAGAATTATCCGTCTTCGTTCTTCTTCTTCTTCACTCTTATTATAAATAATTCATCATAGGATTATCCAGTTCCACTCACAGCTGAAGATGCCAAACGAGGAATAATAAGTTTAGTAGAGCGTGGTATCATTCCACAAGGTGCTAATATAACATTAGACCCTCCTGCTATCCAACCGAAAAAATCCAGTTTAAATGATCCAACCGCCCGCATGCGAGCATTCATCAGAGGTAAAATGCATCTTTCTCTTCGTATAAAACAATATAATGTTCTAGACGATTCGAATATATCCGTCTATCATCTTCAACCGGCGACAGGTCAACTACTAGCTATAGCTGATAAGCCAGCCGTACCACCGGCAATATTAGAACATACTTCAAGTGGATTATTAAGCGACCCAAGTGAACAGAATATGAATAGAATAGGATCATCAACAAAATTTCATGCATCAACACTAGTTGAATCGCGAAAATCCTCGGGTAATCGAATGCAAAAAGGTACTCTGACAACATCAGCAACAAATAGTGGTATAGCTGCTCGTCCAGTATCGACACCGGCATCGAATGTTGAATATAAAAAAACTGTTCATTTGACTATACAGAATGGCTTGACGAAAGATCAAACTGATGAATTCTTACGATTTCGACAACTTCATTGTTTAATGTGGGGAAACATTGTGACTGTATTTCGAATGTTAGAAAAACTCATGTACGACTATGCTATACCAGTTGCGTTCATCAGCGGAGAAAGGTAAGAGATGTTAGCCTCCATATTCGACAGTCAATCTAGTTTTGATTAGAGTTGTCGAATTGGCACAAACCGTTGAGCTGGAACATAAACCTACTCTTGATGAACTTCTCAGTGCTGTTCTCAATCGAGAAGAAGTTGAAGAATTAGTAAAACGAATAGTGAGTTCACGTTGATTTCCACTGTTTTGAAATCTTGTTTCAACACAAATGCTTCTTTAGGGACGTCGATTCGTCGGCAGTGGCGGAAAAGAACGTGCAGCGGTCGCAATTCAAGCGTATTGGCGTCGTTTTCGTGATCGTCGAGCTTACATTCGTTTGCGAAAACGTAAATGGGCAGCGGGTGTTATTGCTCTTTCTTGGTTAATGACTGTCAAACTAGCGAAAGCACGGTACCAGTTGAAGCTCAGTCGTCAACGTCAGATCGAATTCTTTAAAGCAAAACAAAATGATCTACGACAACGTTGGGCAACAATCACTAGTAGTCGTCGTGTGATCGTTCATATACCCTCGTTAGGCATATCGCAACGTGTTCGACGAAGACTAAATACTTTGCCCATACGAGAAAATCATCAAATAGGGCGCTTATGCGAATTAGATGATCCCAATGTTGATGTTATTTACGTCTCACCTATGCCTATCAATGAAGAGTTTCTACAATATTATAATAAATTAGTAAGAAAACTCGATAAAAAAAAAAGATCACTTGATTGTTTTTCTTCGATTAGATCAATTTACGAAGCACTATCCAACAGGATAGCGAACAAATAGTACCTCCCACAGCAGCTGACTACATTTGTGATCGGTATATGATCGTTGTGCCTGAAGCATTACATAGTTTTCCCGTATGTACACGATTAGCTCTTAGCATATTCGAAATCTTCTGTTTCTGATTTCTATCATTTCAGACCCATAATATGTGTTTGGCGACATTACTTAAATACAGTCCGAAGGCGCTGAAAAGGTAAATGACTTGATTTCAATAAAAGAAACTTTTTTACACGATCGTCCTTACATATTAGGATTAGAAATTTAATCAAAGGTCGTGAAGCATATATGGTGACTGGTGTTTCACATTGCGATGATCTTTACATAGCTGATTTTCTAAATATTCCAATATTTGGTTTGTTCGAGCTTGTTCTGTCTTGATTGACCATGTTTACTCCATTGTTTAGGTTGTGAGCCCGAATTTTCAGATTTATTTTCTACAAAATCAGGTTCCAAACGAATCTTTGGCGCGAGTCAAGTTCCTATGCCATTTGGCGAATTTGATATATACAAAGAGAACCATTTCTTCGAAGCTTTGTCGCAATTAATTATCGAACATTTGGACATTCAACGGTGGGTATTCAAAATCGATGACGATTTCGATGGATTAGGTATTGCCTATTGTGATGTTGTCAAGCATCTTCCCTGCTATAAAAGTACTCTAAAAGAAGCGGCGCGATTCGGTGATAAATGGTCAATACGCTGGGCGCACGTAAGATGCGAGAAGACTGATAAATGTATTATCTATGCTCATCTTTTAGGAACAATCTTACGTCAAGGTTCTTTCTGAATTACCTGCTGTGCTTGAAAAACATACTGTCTGTATCAATAAGAGTTTATATAACGGTTGGCAAACGTATTCGAAAGTCTTCTTCGCTCAAGGTGGGATCATTGAAGCGTATCCACCATCGGACTCTGTGACATCGATAACTGTTGGTTTATCAATCGAACCAAATGGTCATCATTCAATTATTTATTCCGGTGATCATCTACATGCTGAATCTCAGTTTTCTTGTTGGGGCTTGTCATTCCCTCAATCGAGCGTCGAACCTACTGATTTGAATCAATATTGCCATCAGATTGCTGAACAATGCAAACAAAAACAAATCTTCGGCTATGTTGATGTTGATTTCGTCACATTTATCGATTCGAAAACTGACAAACAGCATGTCTGGGCTGTTGATTTATCCATTGGTTATTCAGAACATTTAGCACTGTATCGAATGACACGTTTTATTACAACTGGTCATTTTGATCCTCAAACACATTCGTTTACCGTCAAAGTGAAACAAGTGAAACAACGCATGAGAAATTGGCAAACGGACGCGCCTGAACAACATGTAAATCATCTTTATTTACTATCAATAGATCTAATACTTCATTGTTTTTCTCATTTTAAAATAGATTGTCGAAAAGAATCGCTTTGCTGTGTGGACATCGAGATTGTACCATTCTAACCTGCCTGTTCTTCAACTGAGCGTTTTTTTTCAAATATGTCGTGCGCATGGTGTTGGTTTCGACATTCGCGAAAGACAAGGTAGTATTTTTGCGTTGTTAGAAAGTGAACGGCATGAAAATCTCGGCATGGTGGCAATCGGCGATTCACTTCAAAATACACTATCGAATTTTGCTTATAACCTAAATTCCATTAACCAAGAAATAACAACAACGAATATGCAAGGCAGAAGTAACTTCATGGTAAGCACTTCTCGTCAGACTTTTCTTTGAGTGAACTCGTTATACTTGTTTTCAGTTGGCAATCAACGATATAGAAAGTATTCTTGGTATTACACAAGAAAATGCATCAAGTATTTCGTCAACAACTACGGGTACATCCGCTATCACGGGTACGTCGACAACTGTGGGCGGTACTTGAACTTATTTTCTACTTTTTGCTATCCGAACTAATGTTTAGTCATGTTTAATATCTTTTAAGTATTATTTATTTTTTCATGGACTTAACAATTGCGTTTTTACATACATTTTTTATCACTCGTATCAAATTTTAATGAGAAAAAAAAGTAGATACTCTATATGTGCGATTTTTTCTTGTAATAAAGCAATGAAAAATGGAATAGGAATGACTTCTCGTTATCAGATGACGGATATTGGGTAATAACAACCATTCGGATCTCAATGCCAAACAACGTTTTTCTATTGTCTCGTTGACATTTCCCTCCAGAAATGTCAGTAGACATCTTTCTATTTTTCATTCATTTGTTCCGAACGTATATTACTCTACTCTAATGTAATGCGACACTAATAAGATAAATCACTACGATATGCACGGAAGGAACAACTTTTTCTTTCTTTCAACGTATTTGATCAAAGGCCGTACAGGAAGTATTAATTTTTTGAAGAATGTACAATAAGTACACTATGAATAATCGAAATGTGAAAGAGAAAACCTCTTTTCCTTTCGCGTCCCGTACTCAGAGATAGGCATAGTTCATTTTCATGTTCATTATTGAACTTCAACAAGTCACGCTTAGAGAGTGTTTAAAAATGTTACTCATTTACAACTGATGTTCGTTTGAAATCAATAGTTTTTTCTGACGTCATGCAAATATTTGACTTGTCTTTGACAACAACGCACGTCAGCTCAGCTCTGCTGTCAGTTACGCGAATATTTAGAGAACTTCATATATTTAATTATGATTGTAGTGTTCGAGTTATGTTCGATGCTAATCATAATTCTGTGCTTGATCTGAAAGACGTCATCGGTTTTCCTCGTGATTAAGTACTACGACACTTTATGTTTCGCACTCTCAGTACTATAGCATTTTCTCTCTTTTTTAACAACTCTATAGGCAGATCTTCTTACACATATGACAAGCGGAATTACATGTAATCTCTTTTTTTTTCTATCTCTATCTTCGATCGCTGATAAATAGATATAAACTGCACACGTACGCACACACAGATCATTACACTATTATATTGACACTTGCCAGTAACGAAACTGCACGCGTATCTAAACCCTTATTTTTATTTTTATATCGAATAAATTCAAATGCAACAAATGAAGTTAGTTCAATACTTTTTTCTTCTATTCTTACCACTACTGTTTGCATATCCAAATCCTCCAACAAATGATTACGAACGGTTTTTGAGCATGTACGCGAAACAACGGTCAGCGCATCAAGACACAATGAAACACGGAAATTTGGATGATGAATACGCTATTCGTCAACAACAAATGTTTCCATTTTTTCCGATGCAACACCAACAACCGGGACAATTTCAACAAATGTGTCTCCCACACATCTGGACTTGTGGTCCTAATTTACCACCATGTTGTCCTGGCTTAATGTGCTACGATGGTAATGCAAAACGAGGCCGCCATTGTGTTGCTCGTGGATAAATATTACGGTGCAATACAAAACTAAAAACAGACTTGTGCATTCGCTCGGTTTTAATGTTGTCTAATGGTTCGTTTTGAAATAAATCTTCAGATAAACCCGATTTACAACGAGCATCGAAAAGATTTCGTTTATGAAATATATTGCTAGTAAATATTCTTGTTTTTTGAATATGAATGCAGTAGTATAGAAATATTTGTTCTTGTAAATCAGTGAATACACAATCAATCCATAATTGATGAGAAATATTAATAATACAATGAATTCGAATAGCAATACTGTGATCGATGGCGTCACTGATTATTCGAATCTAAACACAAACAGTCATGCTACTCTTGGAATATAAGTAGGATAAATCTCATAATCATCTAACATAGCTATGCAATGATTTATTGATCGTATGAGATTGGAGATGACAACGCAGCATTACTGTTTGAGATTTCAACATTTCACAAAAGTTAGTATTGTATTGTGGGAGCCATCTGTAGAGTTATCATATCACCGATGGCGTTTCGTCCTTGGAGACGTCGAATGGATTGCTTAATTCGACTTTTCAGTTCGGGTAAAGATACGAAACAGACAAATGGAAGAAAAAGTTGAATAAAATAGATTAAATAAAAGAAAACATTGAATTGTACATCGATCAAGAAAGTTGGAGAGATAAATTGTTGAATCAAACCCGTTACTGATATTGGCAACCAAAAGATCAGAAAAAGTGAAGAAATACCGAGTAATTGAATCGTCATCTTACGATTCTTTTTCATTCGTCGAATATTTACTTGTAGATCCGCAGACCGACATGTCACACGAATGATTAAGATCATATTCGCTATTGCAATTGAAAACGCAGGGATAATTATATTAGCTAACCATGTGATAATGCCAAGAAGTTTATTTTGATAGAAACACGGTGCTGTACAAAGCAATTCATTGTAATCCCAGTGATTGACGCATTCATAGATAAAAATAAAGTAGCCATAAATACTTGGTGCGTACGCAACACTCACAAGTAACGGTATATAATGAAATAGAAGACATTTCCACGGAGTGCGAAGGCTCACATGAGAAAATATGAGAATATGCCGTTCAATCGATGTCCAAAACACTAAATGAAACATCGTAGATTATGCCATTTGAGTAAAATTTAATAAAAACAAATGACTTACTAACATGTAAACTGATACCATTTAATGAGAATTCAAACCAATTGAAGAATGAACAATAACTTGGTGTAGATGGACGCACAACACCTGTATGTAAATAGCTTTCAACCATGGATAACTCTGTTGATACTTGAATGAAACTTGTTATCAATAAAACTGCAATAAAATGGTTTCGGACTGGTCGAAATAGTTTATATGAGCCATATACGACATTCATGAATATGAATAAGGAGAATAAAAGTGACAATACTTGACAAGGCAAGAGAATCGCGAGTTTCACAGAACGATGATTAGCAACAGATGCAGTCATATTTACAGATAAAGTATTGGAATTATTCGGAGCACGTAGAAATATTACGTTGGGATACATTGCCAGTCTTACGTTCAGATAATTCGAAAGGAATAAGCACTTGACGTATTCAGATCTATGAAGACTGAATTGTTTTTATTTAGAGCTATGTTTTTGAAGACGGAAAGGGAACACTTGGATTCTCTCAATAAAATTAGTTTTCTTTACCTGGTATCAAATGAAAATTTAATCGACTTAGTTTACTAGAAGTATCGATAAAAGTCGTTCAGTTCGTGGATAATTTCAGTGCACTTCTCCAAGCCTTATCATGTACCGCAAGTCGTTGTTTTCAAACTATTCTGAGGTTGACTAATTAGAGTTCAGCTGTCCGACCAATGAAACATATGTAGTTTTACTACCCCTGCTAGTGACAGTTCATTCAAGAGAAACTATTAACTATATAGATAAGAATGAATAGATCGAACGTCGCAACTCAGAAATTCACGCGACTGATCAACTCAGTTTTGTGAAGGTATGTAGATTATGGAATAGAGCATGAAGGTTAGAGTTGTTTAAGAAAATACTAGGCTGATAACGTTTGTTCAATAGAGAATAAACAAGAATTAGAGCTCGTTGAATTCGTATAAATCAAGAATAAGGATTTCTTCTCAGTAAATCCACAAACACAATACTGTTTAACATAAGAAAACTTTGTGCGTTCTTCTCGATATGACAACGTCCCACTTTATCGTGAAGAATATGGAAAAATCTTGATTACAAAATAAACTACGGATTTCTTACGGCTTACAATAAGTATAATTATTAACCTCAATGTATTAGACATCCTATTTATTCTACGTTCGTTACAGATAGATTAGAGCATTATTAATCTTCATATAACACAAGAATGCAAACCAGAATGACATAGGTACAGAAATTTTATCTAGTAGTATCGTGTTTGTCGGCTTTAATCGCTATCGAGCACGCGGACTTAAGTACAAAACTTGCTGTGATGTTTGTTAAGCTGATTCTGAAGTGGAAAGTCACTCGCAGGTAAACATCGAAACACACATGACATCAGTGATCGGATTCAACAATTAATTTTATAGTAGGGTATTGTATTTGTGGAGGCATAGGCTGTAAAATAGCGCCTGATGTCGTCAGAATTGAACAAATATTGGCTTGTCGGACTAAAACTATATAAGTTTTTTGTTTTTCAAGGATGTCTACTGATGTGGGCATAGACTCAAGTTCTTCATCCTTGACTGCACACAAATTTCCGGAATTTAGTATGCGTAATCAAGATCAACTTATAAAATGAACGAATTCAAGCTAATGTATAATATTCAACGAGTCAGTTGTAGCCGATAAGTCATTTGTCTGTTTGTGATAGCAAATGGTAATTACGAATGGTGATGCATGATGTTTTTCTTTGATAAGGAAACGAGACAAAATGTCATTAAGAAATATAATTAAAAACGTTCCAAATTGAGTTTACCTGGCCATCCTGACCTGACCATATTTACAGTGCTTTTGAAAAGTATAAAATAAATTCAGCATAGGCTGCACTTCTTACGCCTTTGTACTTACCACCTGACTCTCTCTTATGAACAACATTCATTTTTTGGTTAAGACCAAACCGTCCTGATGAAGCTTCTTTTATTTTCGTACAAAATTCCATCACTTTCTGTTCTCTCGCTTACACAAACGCATATCTAACAAGAATAAACTGATTTCGTTTATATATGTAATCATGTACACATCAATATCAATAAATTGTTATTTTCGGGAGAAAAAAAAACGAACAACAAGTGTTTTTGATAGAAAAGACGAACAATCAAGCATAGGTTAACATACATGCACAATCGTTGGTCTAACAACAATTAGAAAATTGCAATATAAGTGAATATTGATTAGGCTTTAACAATAACGAACAACAATGATTGTACTGATATTGCACAATATAAAGAAAGAGATATAAAATAAAATACGGAATGTCTTCACTTTTTCTTTGATGTATTTCAATTCACTGAAAAAAAAGGCTACTTTACGACATTTTGTCTTCTTCAGCTTCTTTCAGTGGATGCCACTGGGCAATAGGTCGCCGAGGCGAGGCAAGCATATCCGACCAATGACGTAATTCACTTCCGGTTGCACTACAGCCTAATAGAACTTTTCCAATGGGTTCAGACGTCCCAATACGATCATAGTCGACAACAGTAACCAATAATTGAATTTTCTAGTAAAACAAAAGTAGAGTTAAATCAATGTTCTATGTTCGATAATAATCAACTTACTTGAATTTGTTCGAACGGCACTTCAAATGTAAATGATTCATTATAATACGGATTCAATGTACATTTTTTAATGGACGTTTTCTTTTTTTTCAAACGTTTTCCATTCATCATGATTGCTAGTTTCACATACGGATCTAAGCAGCGAAAACGACAAGTTAATTGAATTCGATTTACTCGTTTGATCTTATCTCACCAGAAAGCCCACCCATATCCATCTTTTTGAGATTCTTAGCTTCAAGTATTGTCACTGTCAACTTGCCAGCTGTTGGAACATATCGTAACGAAAAGCAAATGTCACCCAATTTGTTTTCCTAGATAACACGAGATATTTATCAAGAAGAAGCAATAGTCGTTCATCGACGTACCGCGTCTCGTTCGCCGGGTGGAGGAATTAAATCTTTTATTTCTCGAATTATTTTACCTAAATCGACTGTATTTAATGGAATTTGTAATTCACCAATTTGATCATGTCGAGAAAAACGATCGAAATCAAAAACAGCAAAAACCAGTGTTTTCCCACCGATTTCTCCATACGGCAAATTCTATACGAAAAAAACAACTTTCTTCAAGGAAGTTTTCCATGAAATTCTCACCTTGAAAACGAACGTTTCGTTAAAAACTGGATTCAGCGTTTTCCGATGAACTTTGGTTTCGAATTTTTTCTTTTTATCCGGAAAAATATACAATTTAACATACGGATCGGACGTTCCACTCAAATCCATTGCTGGTAACTGCTGAGCTTGAATAACTTCAACTTTCAGCTAAAGAAATCCATTCATATCTATCCAAATAATTTATCGACGCAATTCGTACCTCTTGTTTTTGAAAATCATAATCGAGTGAATACTCCAATTTACCCAAATTTTCAAATTCAACTCGTTTGTATCCACTTCCTTCATTATCTTCCATATTTTGAATTAAATCATCAACATCCGGTTGAACCTGAGAAGAGATTATATCAATGACGACGTATTCATCTACGTCAACAACGCGTGTTTTTATACGCTCGCAACCAATAGGCAAGTAACGACTCATCGTATCGATAATACCTTGAAAATGAATGCCTGACGAATCCTACCTTTTCTTTGTGTAAGCTAAGCGATTTTACAGCTTCGAGATCGATACCTTTGCCAGCCTTCACCCCCTTCTTTTTCCATAGCCTTTTACAGGCACGACGAATGAAACATGTTAGACATATGCTCAATATCATGAGTATAACGATTGCAAGAATGATAACCATCCATGGCGACACTAAAATTCGATAAAAGAAAAACAACTTATACACATTCATCTTATTCTCTCATACAATATCAACATTTTACTACTAGGCTGCTATTCTCAAAATAAAATATAAAATTTCAAATATGCATACTTTTCTGACCTAACGAATCGCTCTGGTTTGAAATGATTGTTTTACCGGACGTCGATGAGTTGACGCGACTAATTTCGACTTTCACGTAAACATTTTTACCTGTATTTTTCATGCACCCAAACGATGGAAAGCATCCAACCTATGTTGTATCTACACTAATGGTAACGTGTTTCGTATTGATACGTATTTCGCTCGTCGCAGTTCTCCAGCTGCGCGGAAAAATTAAACGCGAAAAATAGTTTGTAATAGCGTGCAACAAAACAATACAAGTCGGGTTTCATTTTTCGCTACTGGTCTTCTCGTCTACTATAGTTGTACATCAACGCTCATAACATACTCGAGTAATGTGCTTTGTTTCCGTTCTTTTTATTAATCATTCGATAGCGTCATTTCTAGCCGTGTATTGACTATCACGCATTATTTGACTTGAGAATGTCACCAAGAAACAAGAATGTCCAGACGAACAAGATATTGAAAAGAAAGCAAACAGAAAAGGATGTATATGTATGTAGAGGAAACACAAGAAGAAAAGAAATTCTCCTATACAACAAGTGGGAAAGATGGTGTATATATATATATGTACAGTTCTGTTTTATGTGTTTAATGATCTGTAGATTGACTATGACAGAATGACAAATAAGAGATATTCCCACGCAATTAGATGTATTTAGAGGTTAATTTTCAATGACAAATACTTTATATAGAATTACTTCGTTTGTTTTTGTCAAGTGATAAACGTCAATTAGTACGATGAAATCTTTGTAGCTCGGTATTCTCCAATAGATAGACGACATCTATACGAGAAATCATATCGTGTTGCTAATGTGTTTCTTGCTTTTTTTCACATCGAAGATTTTACTACGGACGAATTATACACTCTTATCTTGGCTTCACGATAATGAAGAATCCGACATTCGAATATATTAGAGATAGTATCATCAAATATGAATGTCTGCGTCTGTCATTAGACTGTCGATGTTATTCTAATCTTTTCTTGTGATAGAATGGCTTCTTAACACTTACTTGGAACTTTTTTTATAACTTCTCCGATTGCTTTGGCCTTGTCATACGAACTTTCCATTGTTGTTATTGATTGATAATCGATTGGTGATAAACTCGTTTCCGATGATTGATAGTCTTCTTCTTCTTCCTTGTCATCATATTCACCATCCTGTTCGTTGCCATTATCATTTAACTCGACTGCTTGCCGTAGACGATTTGAAATACGCATAATTTGCTACTCTATCTTCAAAAAGGCATATAACTCACAGACAGACAAGGATACTAATGATTAGGATTGGTAAGGAAAACAATTTTCTCTATTGACTTTTAATCTTTTCACTTATTTGTTCCTTAGTAAAATATGACGGGTATGTTCTTTATGGCTATGAAGGTTAAACGATATGTTTAGAGTCCTTTTATTGATTTAACAGCTATTCTCAATGAAAATTAGACGTGGAAGATCCTAGATGTCCAAATATAACAATGTGTGAAATCAAGAATATAAAAAAATCTCACCGGAAGCAACAAAGAATAATATATGAGAAAAAGATTAATGATAACCATATCTCTTCCTATTCACAATCATGAGATTGAAGAGGGAGGGGAAAATCCGCTCAGTTTCGATGAAAATTATGCGTCATAGGCCTTTTGGTTCTACTTTGATCTAATAGTAAGTTTTTAAAAGTATGTCAAATCATTAATAGGCATACCTAATCATATTTGCATTATCATTTGTAAAGGAAATTACCGCGATTATGAAAATACAAAGAAATTTCTCACAACTACAAATTCACCTTGAGCGCACAGGTACAGAGATGTGTGTGGGGTGCACGCATATGATGACAGGGGTCATGATGGATTCACCGAGTAAGTTAAAGCACGGAATTCGATCTAATCTGTGCTTTTATTAATAGCAGTGTCAGATGAGAAAAGAAACGGAGAAAGAAATGAACGTTGTTCTTCTGCTTTATACTAGTTTCTTAAAACGACAAGCATGCAACGACTACATAACTCGACAGAAGAAAGCGTGTTTGTTCTTAATGTTGACGTTCTTTCTCTGCCTCCTTCTCTTATTGTAGCACCCACCCACAATTAGTTCTTAGCGGAAAAAGAAACAGAAGAAGTTGCCTTCGTCTTTCTTTTTCTTGTCTTCTCATTATCATTTGTCAGATAACGACTGTAATTCGACGAGCAAATCGGACCGTATTATATCGCTTCTTATGAATACACTAAAGTTCAACGAAGACGAGCAATTTCTCGCTGAATGCGATTTGTTTCTTTTCATTAATCAACTCATAACATTATGATAGAAAAACTAAATTAAAATTGTAAAAAATCTAACCGAATGGAAATAGCATTAAGCGAAGTTGTTTCAGGATGAGGGTTTTTCTAATTATCAACAGAAAACGAAGAATGAAATGTATTTCTTTCATTCTTCCCTTATAATTTGCTCACGACAGTTGCTTTTTTTTATTCAACTTTATATAGAAATTAGACCCTTTCTTTTACAAACACTTATTTTCTTTTTTAAAGGCGTGATTACTGACAAAACTCAATATTGACGTCTGTCAACTCTTATTCATTATATAGAACATTTTAGTATAAATTTATCTCCATTCTGTTCAAGTGCTTTTCATTATTCTAAATATAGATTTTCTGTGAATAAGTGTTGATCATTATCACATGGATACACGTTAACTAAAAGTAGATATACTTTGCGATTAAAAATAAGAGACGTGATGTCCTGTTTTTATTAGAACCTCACAGAAATCTTCTATGAATAGAGAATGTTGAGATTCATTGAATTAGAAACATTCTTTCCCTATACCATAAATGTCGACCTTTTTAACTGTAAATTTTTGTTGATAATCACGACAAAAAACCTCATCCAATTATGTCTTGAAGCAGATGATATTTATCCAGTACCCCAGACAATATATACATCTCTTTATTTCTATTTGAATATCTGAATAGAGGTTTCATAAATATTATATTACGAATATGTGAACTTATAGTCTGATATCGGTTATAACCGAACCGGATGACTTTAAAACTGATAATGTACCCGACGCATCAAATGGTGCTCCGTAGATACGTTCATTCGCCCACCCACCCTTCTTTGATGCACTTAAATAATGTTTCAAATGATCAAGATGATAATCAAAGCCTTCATCGGAATTCATTCGTGGCAAGGGAATATGATTGAATCGATAATCCCAAATGCTGGCATATTGAAAACGATAAGATCCAAGAGCGAACATAATTCCAATAACTGCCCCAGCTAGAATGTCGTACCAATGATGATAATGATCGATGGTTAATGATGCTGCAATAAGAACAGCGCCAAGTATAGGCGCATAGAAGACGATTAACTTCCAATATTGTGGACGATAATTAGCGAAAATTTTCAGTTTACCATTTAGATACAATGAACAGTACAAAAGACCGGCGAATGCTGCTGTTGAATGACCAGATGGCATTGATTCGAGAGCATCGTTAATCTGTTTTCTATCTCCTGTGCAGATTGACCGATCAAACATCATCCCATCAAATCCGGTGCCAGTTCCATAGCTCGACAGATTAATATAAGGTTTACAAACAGAGAAGAAATGTGGGCGTAATCCTCCGATGAGCCATTTGATAAAAACTTGAAAGACAGCAGCTGATATTAATGAAAAGAGGAGACCCATGATTGCTGCATTAGCGTCATTGAAACTACGAAGACGTATTTGCATGATCATAATGAACAGAAATGGAACGATGAATGCGAGCAGTGCGGCTAACCAAATCGGAACGATATTTTTTTGATAGGGATAACCAAATTCTGGATTCACGATTTCACCATTCGTGAAATAAACAGGAAAGACACGATTGGGCACTGGTCGAAGGAAATAAATGCCAAGACCGAGTGCACCCATGATAGCCATCAGAAAATAATCCATCCAAAATGTGTGAAAGTAAACTCGAAATGTCATCGGTTCATTTTCAGATATTGAACAATCGTTCCGAGGATTGTCCAGATCAGTCTGTTGCATCACAACGACAGAATCTTGTGTTTTACTCATAGCCTTATTGTAAAAATAGTATGCTGTATTCTACGTACGATTATCCTTCGTTATGACGATACTGTTCGTTGAGAGATGAGAAAGATGAAGTAAATGCACTTTTTCTCTTTTTGTTTTCGTGAACGAAATGCGATCGATCGTCGATTTTTTTTAACGTGCTACGCCCTCCTTGTCAATAATGGATATTATCGAAAAGTTATGTAGTAGAAATATAGTAAATTACGTTAGATTCTTTTGTTTACCAAGAGATTAAAGTAACAATCATATACGAAAACAAATTGGGCTAATACAATGTCATTGTCTTTTCTTTTCAACTCTACGACAACAATTCACTATTCGTTCATTTATCTGACTCGATTCAATGAGATATGAACTGTTGCTGTTTATGCATTACTAAAAGTTAGAAATTGAAGCAGATTTACATTATAGAAATCTATTATAAAATAGTAGAGTATGACCAGGGCTGTATGAACTTGGCATTTGACCAATAGAATATATTTCTCGGCTGAATATCTTGTTTCTGCAACGAACTCCTACATTATATGATCTTTCGAACCAATCAATTAGATTATAATGAAATGCAACGTGTATTTTTTAGTTTCTCATTAATCCTAACAGGATTCAACTGAAAACGCGCACACATCTATATAATAAGCATTGTACCTTTGACACCACTCATATCGAAATACATAGAAGTGAAGTTCATCTATAACAATGAGCACACCCATATAATTTAGCGTTAGAGTTCATAGCCATTCATAATTCAACTGAAACATGTACCCGAATATATGTCGTTATACCTTATGTGCCTCCAGGCAGGACACTTAGTCGAAGAAGAAATAAAAGGACATCGGTGCACAAAGAATAGTAAGAAAGAAACAATAAATGCACACTGGCGTCAACGGTATATCGCGATGAATCATCTTATTTAATGCATAGGACCGTGCGATATTATCTTGAATAGACGAAATGCATTCGAAAATTCTTATGAACTTTTGCGCTTGGTAGTAAATATACATCACTTCATGAATCAGAAGTACTGGCTGTAGTCATCAGGTGACACCACAAAAATTGTATTTATTATATAAGAAAATGAACTGTTTGTTCATTCTGTCTGAAGTTTCAATGTGATCGTTCATTACTTCATCTTTATATACAACTGTATACAATGAATACTGGGCAAAGGCACTTCTATGTGAATAAATCAACTGAACTAGTGCAAAGTCGAGGAGAAGACAAAAGTAGATTTTCTTCTTTTGTATGTGTTTAAACAATTGAAATGTCGGAGACGTAGAATAGCAAAGAGAGCGAGAGAGAGAGAGAGAGAAAAAAAGAGAAAAAGTGTCTGCCTGCACATATATATATACATACGTATATACCGAAGCCAGTTCATACACACGCCGGTTGACCGGGTGACAATTGACATTCTTTTGGCCACTTCTAATAATCTTGCAGTAAGTCAGTGGAAACAGGTATTTCTCAAGACGAAATCTGTCCATTGCTTTAGTTTTGTTTTCCAGCCATGGCATCCAATACCATATCAATACAGCTGGATAACATGCAAAAACAACGACCAATTGTGAGTGATTTATCTTTAAGTCAGCCCCATAAAATGCCGTTAGACGAATTATGTTCACAACTGAATCTTCGTAATGTACGTTCTGGTTTAACAACGCTTCAAGTTCATGAAGCGCAAGCAAAATACGGTTTAAATCAGCCGGCTCCTGTTCCACAGCCGGGATATATACGATTGTTTTTCATTCAAGCATTTACTGGCTTTAACGCATTGTTATGGATTGCTGCGATCTTCGCTTTTCTCGCTTATGAACCATTTGGCTGGCCAGACCCAGATACAACAAATTTAGGTTTGGGTGTTGTTCTCGGCATTGTTATCATTGCCAATGCTGTTTTGAATGTTTATCAAAAGATGAAGTCAATCAAAATAATTCGTTCATTTGCTCAGATTTTACCAAAACTGACCACGGTTCGTCGTAATAACGGATGTGAACAACAGATTCCTACAGAAGGTTTAGTTCCAGGTGACATAATTTTGTTGCAAACTGGTGATAAAGTTCCTGCTGATTGTCGGATCATATCGTGTGATAGTCTTAAAGTAAACAATGCGGAGTTAACTGGCGAATCGAAACCTGTTAAATGCACCCTTAAGGCAACGAATGACCATCTTTTAGAAACATCGAATATGGTATTCTACTCTGCACTAGTTGTTGAAGGTCGAGGGGAAGGTATTGTCGTTGCTACAGGCGATCAAACTGTGTTAGGTAGAATTCCGACAATGATTACTGTACTTTTTCTTATTTCATGTTTCAATTTGTAGGCCGTGTCAGTAAATTAACACGTTCGTCAAATACGGATGAAATCACTGGTTTACATCGCGAGGTAAATCGATTTATATTATTTGTTCTCTGCTGTACTGTTATATCAATCATCGTCATATGGATATCGTGGATTGTCTGGTTGAATCCAGTTTATCCAAACTATATCTCATTTAATTCGAATGTTATCAATTCAGTTGGAATGATCGTTGGATTTCTTCCTGTTGGATTACCGTCAGCGGTTACACTGGTGCTCGTTATTGTTGCCGTAAGTAGTATGAACTTTGATGTGCGAAGAAAAGCTCGAGATTTTTCATTTTTCTTGCAGAAATACATGTCAACTCAACAAGTTCTCGTCAAAAGTCTCCAAACAATTGAAACATTCAATTCCGTTTCGATGATTTGTACAGATAAAACTGGAACATTAACACAAAATAAAATGAGTTGTACACATTTACTCTGGGATACTGATGGTGAATATCAAGTTCCAATAACAACCGTCGTAACAGCAGATAAACGAGAATGGAAATCTGTATTCGGTACACTTGTCCGACATTTATCAAGTGTGTCAGGTTCTCGACCAGGTACACCCGCTGATAGCATCAATGTGACCGATTCTATGCAAACAAGACGATTAGAAATTGATGAAATTCGTACAAAAGCAACGCCGCATAGAGATTTAGTTCTGGGTGCATGCCTATGTAATAATGCTGAAAAACGCTTGCAAGAAAATGCTCAACATTTAACATTGAGTGGCGATGCGGCTGATGTTGCGCTTTATAATGTATGCGAAACAAAATTCAGCATTGATGTCGAGCATATTCGACAACGTTACCGTCGAGTTCATTGCTTACCATTTAATTCCTCGAATAAATTTATGATTGTTGCTAATCAAATGTCACCATCTAAACATCAATCGATATTGAATAACAAATCGAATGACATTTTAATTACATTAAAAGGTGCAACTGATGTTGTCTTAACACCTGACAAGTGTTTGACATATAAAACAAGTGCAGGTGATATCAAATCGTTAACAGATGATATTCGTCAACGAATCATTCAACGACAGGAAGAAATGGGTAGAGATGGTTATCGGATAATCGCTATGCTTCAACAACAAGTTGACAAGAATGTTTTGGATCAAATGTTAATGAATGCGTCATCGGATGATCCATACAATGGCCTTCCAAAAGATGGCTACACATTCATTGGTCTTTTCTGTTTGCTTGATCCGCCAAGAGAGGAAGTACCAGATGCAGTTCTCAAAGCTCGGCAAGCTAAAATTCGTGTAGCAATGGTGACAGGCGATCATCCAACAACATCAATTGCGATCGGCAGACAAGTGAATATTTTAACTTCAGAAATCTATCAGATGAATGGTGTTGATACAGTTCAATTAGTGGGCATTGATATGCCAAGTGGTCGACCAATTGTGCAGTTACTTCGAAATGGAAACTTACTGGAAACACATATATTAGGAACAGTGAATCGGTTGGAAGAAAGCAAGAAAAATTCAACGAAAATACGTTTGACTAACGATGAGGAAAATCGAACACCTGCTTCGTGGATAAAACGTGCATGGGAATATATCAATTTCTACTTTTCGGATCCGAAATCAACAACAGAACGAGATGTAAAACAAGTTCTCATTCCGTACGCGATGGTCGTCAAAGGAAGTGATATTGCTTACAGTATGTTCATATTCAACTTTAGTTTCTTTTCTCTATCTAAAATCCTATATCCATCTTTCTATTACATAGTGGATGAATATATGTGGACATGGGTATTGTCGCACCAAGAATTGATATTCGCACGAACATCACCTGAACATAAGCTGCGCATCGTTATGGAATGTCAAAGACGCGGAGAAATTGTTGCTGTCACAGGTGATGGAACTAATGATGCACCAGCATTGAAGCGTGCTGACCTTGGCGTTGCTATGCAATCCGGTTCAGATATTGCAAAGGAAGCAGGTGATATGGTCTTGATGGACAATAACTTTTCATCAATCGTCAAAGCCATCGAGACAGGTCGATTATTGAGCGACAATTTGAAGAAAGTGGCCATTTATTTACTGCCAGGAGGTAAGCAGCCTTTAGCTTATACAAGACATCAGAGCAGGCATGTTTGATTTACTGTTCTTGTTGTATTGTATTGTAGGTTCTTGGTCGGAGATTTGGCCTGTTTTCTTTAACACTTGGCTCGGTATTCCCTTAGCATTATCGGCTTTTCAAGCAACTATATTTTGCATGATGAATGGTATTGTACAACTCGAATCGATGAATTTGTATTTTTCTCTTCTTCTAGATGTCTTCATGTCATTGGCAATGGTATCGGAAAAAGCAGAGAAAGATATTATGCGCCGTCCACCAGCGATTCGAAATAAATCACACTTATTAAACTTAAAACTACTCTTTCATGCTTATATAATCATTGGTAATATCGAATGCTTCACTTCCTTTTTTTGCTTCTTTTGGTGGTATCAAGCAAATGGTATTCCATTGTCAATGATATTTTTTAAATTCAATCACTTTGAAGAACAATTCTCGCCAGAAAAGCAAAAACAGTTAACGACAATCAATCAAACAGGTCAATGTATTTATTATGTGGCTTTATGCATTATGCAATGTTTCAACTTATTGACAACACGTACACGTTATGCATCGTTTTTTACGCACAATCCGTTTTGGTCTCGTCATAGTCGAAATCTATGGTTAATTGTTGGAATTATTGCATCAACATTAACCTGTATTTTGATTACACAAGTGCCATTTATGCAACATCAATTTAAGACTGAACGAGTACCAGTACTTTATGTTTTGCCTGCACTTGGCTTTGGCACATTCATGTTCATTATTGATGAATTAAGAAAATTGTATATTCGACGAAATCCTGGCTGTTGGTTAGAACACATTGCTTGGTAATAATTCTTTAATAATTTTTCTGTGTGAATGTATGTGTGTATTATTCTTTTCGTAGTTTCGATAGCGTAGTTGTGCATATCATCAATAAAATAAACATAAATAGCATGTAGTATCATAAAACAATATCCCAGAGCACGAACAGGCCGAAGTCACGTACATATCTAATCATTTGTTCATCTTCGAAAAAAAGGAACATTCAAAAGTACGGATTTCGCTGCGGAGGAAAATTCGTAATAGAGTAAAACAATTGAAATCATATACGACAAAACATTGGAGATGATTTCCCTATAGACGCTAATTTCACTTTTATTGAAATGTACTGTTTATATGAGTAGATATTATATACGATAAGTGATATTATTGTTAAGTGATGTTTCATAGTATAAGGAATGAGACTGAAAGAAGGAAAAGAAAAGGTACTATGATTATGAAGAATAGAAAATGTTGGATCAATGAATGTTATTGTTTGAATGATATTGAGACGTGGTTCGTCTAATCGTCGAGATCGCCGTTATATCCTCCATCGTAATTTCGTTTGTGGTAATATTGTTGTTGTTGTTGTTGTTGGCGTTTATAATTGGCAACTGGATTGAAATGGCGACGCTTGCTGGAGCCACTGCCAGAACCACCAAGAAGACTGAGCAGCATTTCCCATCCACTGCCAGAACCATCAACAGCACTGCGACGATAGCCTGAGCCACTACCAGAGCCTCCATAAAGACTGCTGAAATCACCAGAACCGCTGCCGAAACCGCCATAACCGCTGCCGGAATCACCAGAACCGCTGCCGAAACCGCCATAACCGCTGCCCGAATCACCAGAACCGCTGCCGAAACCGCCATAACCGCTGCCGGAATCACCGGAACCGCTGCCGCCTTGGCGTTTGCGAGCTCCACCCTTCAGGAAATGTCTTGAGCTTCTAGCAAGAAGAGCATCGGTCAGTGCTTCGTATAGATCACGTCTCTCCATTTCACTGCTCTCATCACTATCAGCGTACGTTCTCATAGAGCGAGCATCAACACTGTTGAAGGCTAGGACACAGATGCATAAGAGAGCGATCGAGCCGTAAACAATCTGCATGCTGGACGTTGAAATACAATGAAGTTTAATAAATGAAAATCCATTATCTGTTTTGCGTTTATATACAACAGGCCGATGTATCTATATCGCCTCCGCGCATCAATATTTTCGGTATTTTTTATCTAATAACGTTGAAGGTTATTAACCAATCGAAAAAATACTTTACCATCTGATACTTTGTAAGCAACACAATATGACATTTTAATATGTAATCAGTAATCGATGAAAGTTATTCATGCATGCTATGCTAACTATTCACTTTTTCTCACTCGTCAACTTATCCATGAATAACGAAGGTCGAGAAAGAAACTGTATGAGACATATTAGTTCGATTTATATTCGTTCTTGTTTACTTTTCTTCTATTTACATCAATGACATGTGCTATGTTTCATCGATCGCTAATGAGCTGTATACATCGCAGCACTGGATGATTGTAGATTTGCTACCGTTAAAAAAGCATAAAAATGCAAGATACAATAATTGTACAGTAATATTGATGACATATTTTCAATTATTCGTAAAAAGAAAAAATGAGATACCATGTACTGATGAAATTCTCTTGATTAGTCTTCTACACACGCTCAAAATTTGCATAATCTGATTCAATTCGTGATTTCGTATGATTATTTGTAAGAAGACGCTGAAAGCAATTTTCAATGTTTCCGTTTTTGGAAGATCATTGGGAAAATGTACTTTTACTTTTTGGATTTTTGATAACAATGATATTTATAAGAGACTTATGTCGTATAGTGGCAAGTAGAGCTATTGTGTCTTTGAGTATTAGTGTTGAAAATAACTTTTTCAATGTTTCTTGGTGTTATTTTTTGATGACACAGGCAAAGCGGTTATTTGTGCGTATAACCCTATAAGGTGAGGGCATTTAGTGAGGACAGCTAATACAGGCTGTCACAAGATTGGATGATTGTGACGATGGGATAAAATACTAATTTACTTTATTCGTTCTCAGCTGGTTCTACTTATCGTGCTGAGATATTCGCTACCCACATCCATCTTCCTTGTTGAGTTGTACTGAAATAAAAACTAGTTGCATGTTTAATATTCACCAGTAAAGATATGTCTGTATTGAAACTTGACTTAAGCCAATTCTTAGATATTCAATGTATAAACGGCCAGAGCTACGCTAATTAAGTGTTCATATAAGAAACACGCTTATGGATAAATATTACAAAATCTTAAATGCGTTCTTTTAGATCGATTTTTATAATCATTGTGAACGGACTGTCAGCTTTTTTGTCCTATTGTACTCATTATTTCCAATACACAAAAGATATGGTCGTTCAATTATAAAAGACTGATTTACTTCAACACTCATTATTAGGAAAGAGCATGTGTATTTGAAATATTATGCATATGCAACGTTTCCTATATTCAATACTTTTATTAAACGTTAGAGTTTAATGATATTCTTAGTCGATTCGGACAACTTTTGTGTCGATATGAGTTATTGGAAAACGATCGTTATGTGACTATTTGTCTAGGTAGTTAACACGTTCTACCGAATTATAACAGATAGACAAGAAGCCATCAGATTATTTTAGATGTCTTTCTGCGGTTTGAAAAATGACAATCGATCCTTCTGTAATGGCATGTTTTGGAAACTACTTCATCTGTAGTAAAAAGCAAGACGGAAAAAAGATTCTTGAGTTCAAAAACGCACTGTCAAATGTGTATTGATGTATACCGCATAGCACAAAATTAGTTTACTTCTGTAACCGATCGTATATCATATTTTTAGCCATCTCTGATCCGCCAATGGTATTGTCTATTGTGTCCTTGATTTTTCCACAGATATCTAAATGTACGTATAGAAATTAATGGATTTATTAAAAAAATAATATACTCCCGCCTCTGATGGACAGCAACAATTCTTCGTATTTTCGTCAGATGCACACACTGGTGTATGAAATTGTCTATAATGTTATCTTTGTCGATTGAATATGCGCATTTCAATGAATATTCAGACGCTGAGTTAGTCAAGTGAGACACATCACAGATTTAGCAAAATATTAAAGTATTCTTCTTTCTTCTTCAAGTATGCTATATCTTATTGGAATATTTATTTTGTATGTCAGCTGTTTATATCACATATCAATTAACTATTCACAAGCAACGGACTTACCTAAAACCGACATCATTGTATATACAGAAAAAAAATTTTACTTCAATATGTCGGGTCTTATCCACCTGAATATCAACGAGTTATTCTTTACACGTTTGTTCCTTGAAATGATTTTTGTTCGAATACTTTCGCGCTTGACATATGTAAACGAACGTTTCTATGTAGCATTGCTGATATGTTCGAATTATCCGGCATTACATCATCTATAAATATTATCTCGTCAGATTTTCATTGCTTTGAATATAATTTCTATATCAATGATGACACTGATCAGCTTGTTAAAGTTAATTACAATGATAATGATGCATCAAATTTTATTATGCAGTAACATAATTTCAAAACATCAGCTGATGCAGGACTAGGACAAAATAGGCGCAATGAAACTGGATTCAAATGTTTGACTGATGAAGAAAGTGCGGTATTCTCTTCATCAGTAATACCATCGATTGATAAATCATAAATTTATTTCAATATGAAAGGATTACTAAACGAATTTTCTCGTTTAATTTCATCATAAACCGCATATGTACAAAATATCAGTATGGTGCAGCAACACATCCATGACGTATCATTGTTTCTACATTATTTATACAATTATCTATTGACGTATTTTAACAATGCTATGTCATACAATCGTTTGATGCTTACGTTTTGTAGCGACCTGTTTTTCATATACACAGAATACAATTCTGATTATGATAAGAAAATAATAACAGCAGCTTAAGAGAAAGAGATTTTTTATTCAGTAAGTCGACGTTTCGACAAATAGATTCTCGTTATCAAGACAGGTGTTATTGGAGAGATAGAGGAAAAAACATGTCTATATATATATATGTATGTATGTGTTGTCAATCAGAGAAACTATTGGTTTTCATTCGATGTGAAGAATGGAAAATACCAGTAACACCTAGTATAGTTGAATGTGCTCAACAGTTATATACACTCTTGAAAAGCTGAAAATGAATATATATCTAAGTCTAACCTTGTCCGATGTCTCTCGACGCTAATTTTACTTTTATTGAAATGTACTGTTTATATGAGTAGATATTATATACGATAAGTGATATTATTGTAAAGTGATGTTTCATAGTATAAGGAATGAAACTGAAAGAAGGAAAAGAAAAGGTACTATGATTATGAAGAATAGAAAATGTTGGATCAATGAATGTTATTGTTTGAATGATATTGAGACGTGGTTCGTCTAATCGTCGAGATCGCCGTTATATCCTCCATCGTAATTTCGTTTGTGGTAATATTGTTGTTGTTGTTGTTGTTGGCGTTTATAATTGGCAACTGGATTGAAATGACGACGCTTTCCGAAGCCACTGCCAGAACCATCAAAAAAATCGCGACGATAGCCTGAACCGCTGCCGAAACCGCCATAACCGCTGCTGAAATCGCCAGAACCACCAAAAAGATCGCGACGATAGCCTGAACCGCTGCCGAAACCGCCATAACCGCTGCCGAAATCGCCAGAACCACCAAAAAGATCGCGACGATAGCCTGAACCGCTGCCGAAACCGCCATAACCGCTGCCGGAATCGCCAGAACCACCAAAAAGATCGCGACGATAGCCTGAACCGCTGCCGAAACCGCCATAACCGCTGCCGGAATCACCAGAACCGCTGCCGAAACCGCCATAACCGCTGCCCGAATCACCAGAACCGCTGCCGAAACCGCCATAACCGCTGCCGGAATCACCGGAACCGCTGCCGCCTTGGCGTTTGCGAGCTCCACCCTTCAGGAAATGTCTTGAGCTTCTAGCAAGAAGAGCATCGGTCAGTGCTTCGTATAGCTCACGTCTCTCCATTTCACTGCTCTCATCACTATCAGCGTATGTTTTCATAGAGCGAGCATCAACACTGTTGAAGGCTAGGACACCGACGCATAAGAGAGCGATCGAGCCGTAAACAATCTGCATGCTGGACGTTGAAATGCAATGAAGATTAATAAATGAAAATCCATTATCTGTCTTGCGCTTATATACAACAGGCCGATGTATCTATATCGCCTCCGCGCATCAATATTTTCGGTATTTTTTATTTAATAACGTTGAAGGTTATTAACCAATCGAAAAAATACTTTACAATCTAATACTTAGTAAGCAACACAATACGACATTTTAATATGTGATCAGTAATAGATGAAAGTTATTTATGCATGTTATAGTTAGCATCTTATGTTTTCTTATTTGTCATGTTATCCATCTGTGAAGAAAGTATGAAAGGAAATTTTATGAAAAATATTCGTTCGATTTATTTTCGTCCTTCTACGTACGTATGATTGTACCATTGACATTTCATCGATCGTCAATGACGTGTGTACGCCCAGGCCCTGGACGCTTACTGATCTCCAATCAGTAGAAAAATATCTAAAAGTACAAGGTGCAACGATTGAGAAGCGTGTTTCATAACGCCAAAATAGTTCATGTGCCAAAGACAAAAACACTGATGTAAGAGTGAAGTAGTCACATCAGAAAGTGAGCAGATAATTGTAGACAAGGAATCCAAACGTGTTACACACATTGGCGTGTGATGTCTGAACACGTGTAAGAGTGTTATTCAATTTTTTCCAAAACTTTTGTTGTGAGAAGCATGCTTTGGCGAAACAATCGATATGATGCGTATACCCTCAAGTCTCTCAAAAGGAACCGTTCTTGTTTTGTAAAAAGCAGTACCATTTTATCCTCCGTTACTACACATCTGAAACATAAGAGAAGCATTTCGCAGCTTTCGTTCTACTAATCTAATAGCAAATGAGATCTTTCTATGTGAAAACCAAGAAAAGGCTAATAATTCATACTAATATATAATAGGAGGCGTCTGAATCATCTTGAATGAACAAAGCGAAGTCCAATCGATTCAAGAAGTTCGGATTTTTTAGGAAAAACTAAATATGAACACATCTGTGCTATTCGCGAAGTAAATTATTTGGAACTTGTCTAATATACGACTTCTCCATGATGAATCATGCAGCAGACATTTTTCACACAATATGTCCATCAAGTTCATTGAACTAGATCGATAAAATAGTAAGGTCTGCTTTTTCTATTATTCAGAGTAATTTTTCAAGTACATTCGTATCCAGTCAGCCGTCTAACGACATGCTTTACTATACACTTTGTACTTTTATGTTTCGTTTATCATATATCTGGCAATATACAGTCATTTTGGCATTTTTGCTGAATATATCGTCAACAAGGACGTTGGTCGTTCAAGTTTGCTTCCTTTTTTCTGACTGTCCTGAGCCGTGTACGACACGAACACGTATTTGTACGTGTCCATTGGAACGTTTGACAGAAAATGGCATTAGATTTTTGAGAAAAATTGCTATAAGTTTTCGATCAGTCATCAAAATGACGTATATGTTTTCACCTTGTGAAATGACTAATCTTGACATGCATTCGATCATATCACGATTTGATGAAGAATACAATAATTAGAATAATTTCCCATTCGCAGCTGCTATCCAAACGCAACTTCACAGATATTCCATTTTACAATAACACATGCTACCAACGTTTCGAAAGATAAGCGTCAGAAATACATGTTTTCTTCTGACTCGAACAGCATGATCGTTTATCGGGAAGAAACAATTTGCTACATTATTTTCTTGGCTTTCATGGCGGCGAATACCTCACCGTATCGTACATCATGTCTCATATATACATTCTCTCATTTACTACTTGAAATTTCTATGTTGTTCTTGTCTACATTCGGATTATCAAAGAATCTCGAAAACAAGATACATCATAGACAGTTGTATTGCTATTTTTGTTTATGATCATAAAATTGTTCCTGTGTGTAACAAGTAATAAAAAACAACAGACAGAAAACCAACTATACACACGTGCGCATGAGTTCATTTGAGAATTAGAACGAAAAAAGAAACAAATGCATCGATGAAAACCCAAGCACAGACAAGAAAAGCAAAATTATAGTGAATAATAATAAGATGAAATTGAAATAATTCATGTATTTGTTCATAACACACATTCGAACGGAGTATATGGTGTAGAAGAAAACGAGGCAAATGTGAGATAACGAAAGACTGATGGGCATCGAAGAAAAGACAGAGGGAATGAAAAGCTAAAAAGGAATTTTTCGTATACTTGACAATTGGAATGTAGATGTGACGGAGAAGCAAACGATCACAATCTTGTTACGATTATATCAGGATCATCAGAGTCGTCATCAACGTGGTTTTCGGATGGCTGATTCCATACTGGCATTGACTGACGTTGTGATGAAACTACCAATGGTGAATTCTCTCGTGTAAACTTTGAAGTTATAACTTTTGAAGTGCCTGGATCAGATCGATGGCTCATCGCATAATCTAAATCAGATATCGCGTTCACTTCTTAAATTATTCGAGATGGTGGCTGGAAATAGATTTACCGTGATATCGTGCGAACGGTTGTTTCAAGAATCCGTTCGTGTTTCCATTGGCATCGTGATTACTACTAAATCCAACTGGTTTCGGTCGCCATCGACTGTTAAAACCACTTGTTTGTGATTTAAATGTACTTGAGGATAAAGGCGGTAGGTTTTTCTTCGATTTTTTCTGATCTGATTCAATATAACCAAGATCACAATAGGATTTGAATAAATGAAGACTGGTATCAAAAAATCGAGAATCATTCGTGAATATAATCTGATAATGCTGACGATCATTGTATAAAAGATTTGATGGGTCTATCATGGGTTCATTCAAACGTTTTTTTGACACGGGAGCAGATGCGGATGATGTTGAATTCGTGCTGATCGAACGATCTGCAGACATGTTTACGAAATTTGGAGACTTTTATCTCATAGAAAAAAACAACCATAATATCGCATATAAATACAACAATATCTACATCTGATAATAACGAGTTACTCGTGAAGAAATTTGTCTTGAGTTGTATTTCTTTCTCCTCTTGTTTTTCTCTAAGTTAAATATGATATATGCCATTCGCACCTATGAATTAACGTGTTCACTAGATGACGCTACTATTCACAAAATTCGAATTCTTCTCTTCAAACCCATATATGCATCCATCACTATTTAGCATCTTTGAAACGTGATCATGAATTCAATTTGCCCGCAACATAGTCAGTCGAATCATGGAAATGTTTTTGATGAATCGATTCGGTCAATCCTGTATTATATGTCACGATGAAAATTTCACGGTGAATATCACCGTACAAATTATTAATAAACATGTTTAACCATCGCCTTGATTGAGTTACATCCTTTTTTTGTCTTCGAAAATTCCGCAGTAGACGAAATCTACTTGTCCAAAACGGTCAAGTTGTTTTCGGTTGATATCATTATGCAATTGGTACTACAGATGAGTATAGATGACACAATCTCGTTATTTTTCCTTCAGTCAACTAGGTTTCGTTCTTCATTACTCTTTACAATGCTTGTTGTTTAATTTACTATTGTCAAATGACTACTCCTAGTCTTTCTTTCAATCTCAATTTCAGTTTGATTTTCAAGTTTCAAATCGAAAGCTAGTCCGCGCATTTGTGTATATATTGTAGACATCATAGTTTGACTTCTTCCGATGATTGCTTTGGTTATGTCATATTTCATACAATAACAACACAATGTAGGGATTCATTTTGACTCTTCTCTTCTCACTGAGAAATACCTTTAGTCACCGAACGTCTTTCATTATTCGACCATCTTGATGTATATAAATGCTTACTATACTAATGATGATCATCAACTCAAATGTATGTCATCGTCGTCGTCGTCGTCTTTTGTTTTTGATTGAAATAAATCTGTTAACACTTTTCGCACTTTTCTCGCGCGAATAAATGAATATATACGTTTGTCGTTAAATGATGTCTAAGCTTTTTACGCGTCTCTTACTTCTCTTTTCTCTCTGTCGCTTAAGCGTGTTGAATGGGCAAGTGAACAGTATGTCGTCACAATAGTAAAGTGAACAACAATAATAATCGCTTGTCGTTGTCGTCATTAAGTGTTGTATTTATCTGTAAATGTAACATAATGAAAGAGTTTTATTTTGTTCAATACTTTCATATCTTTAAGTCTTGTTTTCTTTTTAATTGAGCATGAAAACAAAAGAATTGAAAACACACAGTTTGATCGAACTAAATACAATGTGATTCATCGATCACAGCGATGAAGGAGGAGACAGAGAAAAAGAAAATCGATTACACAAAATATTATCGTATAACTTAACATTCCTTTTCTTTCTCTGCTTGGCTTGATAATGACTTGTCAGTGATCAGGACTTTTTCGATATTTCTCATCGGTATAACTATGACTTCCACTCACTTCAGAAGACCTATTCGTCGCTAACATCATAAGACTATTGATGACGCCATAGTATACTAGAGTAGGCAAAGCAAATCACTGATTGAACATATATTCTCTCTAGGGAAAGAGAAAGAGGAGGGGAAGAGAAGAGAAGGAAAAAAGAAATCTCATCTCTTTCATTCTCTCCTTTTTTTTCATTTCGCATAACAAATCATACGAAAAGGGACTAACACGTACGTTCATCAGTTTATTATACACTACTATCCATCGTTGTCATTGAAGCTATCTATTCCGATAAATCTATTTCATCCAAATGATTTTCTCCTAGAACAACACCGATGAGGTAAGTTTCGATGATCTCATTTTCGCAAAAGGTTCTCTTTGTTGCATTTGATCTGAAATGTAATCTCGTGTAGCTCACTGATTCTTTTCTTTGAACCATCTCTATACATATTCGTCAACCGATAATTGAACTCGAAAGCAACGCGCAGCTTGAGATTTTTATGTTCACATCTTTTTCTGCTAAGATGATCACACATAAAAGCGTACGAGACTACCTACCTTGATCAATGTCGCATCTAATTTTTTTCTCTTCATTTCGATCAGATTCGAACACACTTTCCTGTCGAACATAAAAAAATGTTGAAGAGTGTATGTGTCAAGGTTCTTCCTCATTGATTCGAAAATAATTTATGAACAAGTCTATTCAGATGATCGGTGATTGTACTGATAACGAACGCGCACATTCAATGACGTAAGTACGTGCCAAGATTCATAAAAGTCAAATCTTTAGCGATGATTAGCCTTGAAGAACTAAATCGTATGTCTCTGAAATAGTCACTAAATGATTATTATTCGTTTTTTATATAATTACCGCGCTCTTTCTCGTCGTTCTCTACACGAACAATCATCATTAGACATAATACATCTTCTCTTCCCTCTACTGTCTATCGTTCTCTTCGTTCGCATATTTCTTCATTTACTACATTAATCAAAAGATCTCTCCTGTCGTTGTCGTCTATTATCATCGATGTTGTCAACGGGCTTTTAACTTTTAAAACGAATGAACCATATGGATAGTAGGAGACATAGGCCCGAAGGCGGTCAATATGTGACAAATACCAGATAAAATTGACCTTTTTATAATAGACTGTATGCGAATATATAAGACGATTAGGAACTACGATGACAATCTGTTTTTTTTTGCATAAAATCAAGACTAAACTACTTGTCTTTTTATCCCGCCTTCGAGCATCTATAATAAATACAAAGTAAGCGCTTCGAATTCGTTAAAAAGGCCATGAACATATCTTTTATTCAAATCTTTCGATACATATACGAACAAATCTTTTTTTGTTCGTTTTGAAATCAATTTATCATTTATTTTTTCTCGGTTTTCTTTTTTTGTATACTTGCCTTCCCTTAAAAGCATCTTGTATAGTATAATTCATTTGAATGATTATGCATATCGTTGTCCTGTTCTCTCTCTCTCTCTGCTATGAATTGAAATTTGATGATGCAATCTCTCATACGCTTTTGATCATAATGGCACAGCAAGATGTATGACACTTTACTACCTGTATATGTTTCTTGGGATTGAATTAGATGTTATTTCTTTCTCTTTTCTTCGTAATACCATCGAAACATGATGATACATCGTGTCAAGGGACATCGTATGTTCATTTGTATCGATTCTGGCTAATGTATCTCTGGTCAATAATGAAGTATAGATGATTTGTTTTGTTTTTTTGTAAGAATAAAAGTTTCGGACGAAAATGTATGATTAGTGATGAAGGGAAAAAGCCGTCTTGTTAACCTTGCTGCTCATATTAGTACTAAGATGAATTGAAATCGGACACTCAGCATGTTGCATTAGACAGAATGGACAAATAGAGAAGAAAAGATTGAAGACGACGAGAATATAGATCGATTCACCTTGACCCTGACATTTGCAGTTCTTCTTCGTTTATCGTTAAAGAGACAACCGATACTTCTAATATTTGAAAACAAGAAAAGATGTCTTCTTTTTTTTTTTTAAAGAAAGAAACGAAGAAAACGATTGACTGAAGTCGATTCACGTTTGTCAGACGTCTCGACAATGATGATAATAGTCGTTCTATTGATCGGTATGCCACTATTTTCTCTAACGAAATCGGACACGCCTTGTGTCTAATTACAGTGTCTCTCTACCTTTCTTTAAGTTTATTTTCTATGCCAGTCGTATGTTGACTGTAATTACAAAATGAGTCTAGTCAGCAGTTGTTGTTTGTCTTCATTGGTTTATTTAGATGTTTAAATATTTTCAATACTGTTCAAGACTGAAAATGTTCTGGCTAAGCTTTTACTACTTCATTTCATTGATTCATTCGACCAGCGCTAGCACTCAAGGTAGGTGATATGGATATATATTAGATTCGGTGTTTAATCGGTTTTGAATTTTAGTATGTAATGGACCATTGGGCATGATTAGTGGCGAAATTCGTGATTGGCAAATCACTGCATCGTCGACATTATGGGATCCTGACTGTCATGAGAAAAACGCTCGTCTATATCAATCTGTAGATCGTGCTTGGTGTGCAAGGCATAAGTCAGATTCCGAATGGTTACAAATTGATTTAGGTATTGCTGCGAAAGTATGTCAAGCATTTTAGGACGAATTTGACGGTTATGTAAAGATATTTTTTGCCCATAGATATCGGGCGTATTAACTCAAGGCCGAGCGAATAAAGAGGAATATGTTACATCGTTTATGGTCTCGTACAGTACTGATGCTTATCGATGGCAATATCTTGTGGATCGATATGGAAATCAAAAGGTAAGATAGATGTTCGATTGTTCATCGAGATGATGTGTTGTTTCTTTCATTCTTGGAGTGAGGATAGACCTTCGATAGAGGAGAAAAAAATCACCATTATGAACTAATATTCGAACATCATAGTTGTCTGTCATTATCATTTATCTATAAAGAAAAAAGTAGAAATAATCGTATTGCACATAAAAACCAGCGGTTACTAAAATGCGTGAAATTTTATGTCCAACATTTTCTTCGTATTCCTTTGTCTTACGACTGAAAGCCACAGATGTTTAAGATGCACTGTCCTTGACTTAGTTGACTTTGAACAAAATGTCACCTCGCATCCTTGTAAATCTTCATCTGTCAATAGTCTACTATGCAATCTTCTGTGTTCTTTAAATTAGATATTTGCTGCTAATACTGATTCATATGCGGTTCGTCACAACTATTTCGACGAACCTATTGTTGCTCGATTCATCAAATTTCATCCTATTCAATGGTACTCACATCCATCCCTGCGTGTTGAAATCGTGGGTTGTCAAGGTACGAGCCACTAATCTCTTTTGTGCGATAGGATTGTTCATAATTTCTCATTTTCTTTCAATGTTGTAGAATGTAAGCAACATCTGGGTTTACCACCATATGGGAAGATCAGTGCATCAACATCGTGGCCGTATCGTCGACGTGCATCATGTCAACCAGAGGATGGATACTTGATGAGTAATAAAGGCTGGTGCTCTAGGAAACGATATAGTTAGTATTGGAGGAAATCAAACGAGAATAGTTGTAATAAGCTACTTTTAGAACACGATCAATGGCTCGAATTCGACTTGGGCCATCCATCAACCGTCACATCACTGATAACTAAAGGCCGTGGAGATACCAGTCAAGAGCAATGGGTGACAAAATATAAAGTTTCGTTTTCGAATGACAGCCGCCTATGGCTCTATTATAAAGATAAATCGCAAGTTGAACCCAAGGTTTGATTGTTTCTCGATTGTTTTAAGGCTAGATGAAACGAAACTTGTTTATCTAGGAATTTGCGGCGAATAATGATCGTGATAGTGAACGTATTCATTTTCTTAATGAACCATTCTTTGCTCGATACGTTCGCTTACATCCAACAGAATGGCATAATCATGTTAGCATGCGAGCAGCTATTTTAGGATGTCCGCATCAAGGTATAGTTATTATTACCTAAACAAGAACTACTTACGAAAGTCGTGTTTTCATTTCAGGTACCTGTTTTCCTGGTTACTTTCGTGTCAATAGCGAAGCTCAATGTGGTAAGCGCACCTTTTCGTTGATTTTTTGTGATAGCGAAGAAAGTCGCTTCTACTTTTTCTTTAAAAGTGGAAAATATGGCATATAAAAAGCAGACCTGGACAAATGATCGAAATCGTCAGCACCAACCAAATGGAGTGAGCGAACTGAAATACCGCAGTCCAAGAGAAACCAATGGTGATGCATCACTAGCCGTTGACGGTTTAGAAGAATCATTAGATTGGTCGAAATGTGCAACGATTGACAATTATTTTGTTCGAAAACCTGTTTGGATGGTCGATTTAGGTCGTATTACAAATATCGCTGGTGTCATGTTACGAACATGGCATGCAAATAACAAAGGTATTGAACACAAAAACATACGCACTCTTCTAAAGCAAATAATATTTTGTCAATATATAATTTTAGTCACTAATTCTTCCATGTCAACATCAATTTATCGTGACTATCTGGCAAACTTAGAGCGATACAATGTTTATGTAGATTATCGTCCACGTCGATATCGTTTCAAGACTGCTAATTTATGTTCATTTATCACTCGTACGGATCAAGCGTTGACTTCGTCATCTCGTCTTCATTTTCAATGTGAACGTTCATTACGTGGTCGGTTTGTTTATATCGAAGCTGATGGTGTCACTGATCGATGGAATAAACTATTTACTGCTGTTCTTTGTGAAGTATTTGTTTATGAGCAGTAGATTGGTTTTCGTTTCGTTTTCTATCTACCTATTTGTCAGATTTTTCATTTCTTGTATGCATGCGTGTTTATGTCTTACATTAGATTCTGTTTCTTTCGTTAATTTCATGGTGTGTACTATATAAAAGAAGAACCTATCATCCGAAGTAAACTAATCATTTATCTTGTTAAGCGAACATCAACTGAAATTCGACGAATATGAAGTCAAAACATCGTTTTGGCCAGTTTTTCTTTTCCTTCTTCTGTTTAATAAAATACGGAGTTGAAACATAAAAGCTGATTTATACTTAATGCAATGAAACTGTCTTGAGTGTACATGGATTGTTTGTCAATTCGTTGTGTTTGATACCATTTTGACAATGGCCAGATTGCATCTACGGCGCGCTACGTAACACCCTTGTAGTTCAAGTCGTTCTGAAAAATTTTTTATTCCACAGTACTTTCTCGCATCAATCAAAAAGGAACAAGGAGGAAAAAAACTCGTTGTTTCCCGTAATTATCAAATAGAAACGCAATAAAAGAAAATTTTCTTTGTATTTTGTTACTTGCTTGATTGTCAATGTAAAAAATTATGAGTTAACAGTTAATAATCAAACAAAATTCGTCACCTGAGTAATCATCATCGATGTTGTCAGAAGAACTTTGCAAGTTGCGCTACGCGAACTGACCGCAGTGTATTTCAACGTTGCCATGTTTACTTTAGCTTACTGTTTTTCAATTGCGACTATCTTTTCACTAGGCGGCATTGAAAGCGAAGAGAAATAAATAGTCATTTCTTTCTTTTTATTTTAACCTACACTTTGTTCGACAGAATACGTAAGAAAGTTGAATTAAATATTTCTTTTTCTTTTCTTTCGAGGAAAAATATTACCAACTAGAAGCATGTTGGTTCGTTTTTCTGCTACCCGAATGTTCTTAATCGTATGTAGTATGACGGTCACGTTGTACCTAATCATACGATATCAATCGACAAGTAAACTTGAAAACGATACCAACAATTCAAAGCCGATTTTACCACTCAAACAAAATGAACGCGTGCAGACTCCAGCATTGACTTTTAAAGATACACCCATGTATAATGAATTAGTTCAAATACAAAGTCTACCAGTTAGGTAAGTGACTGAAACGAGATAGGTTTTTGCAAATAATTCGTTTGCTCTAGACTGTTCCCGACAGAGCTGAGTAAACAACCATTGCAACGTGAATATACAAGTGAAACGATAACATATGATGAAAGCAAATTTCGTCAATCACTTACTCCTATCCTGTGGCTTGATGAACAAGGTGATGTTCGATGGAATAAAATTGCTGAGATCGAAATGCTCAAATATCTTTCGGAAAAACAGTTTCCACATCTGGATGAAATTCAAAGTGGATCGATGAGCAAACAAGAAATTCTTAACATATGCCGTGCGCAATCGATCTTTATTCTACAGCAACATTGGTCGGGATTCTTCAGTAGGGTTCTCTGTTTCATTGCACAATTTGGCCAAACATTGTATAGTCCGCGTATTGCTGTACTTCGTGGAACTCGTTTTAGTGGCGACCGTGGTGAAAAGGATGATTTCTTAGGCGAAGGTATAAAACGTTATTTTCTTCCATCTTCGATTTGCACAGCATACGAGCAAGATCCGGAATTGAAGACTATGAAAACCCTTATTGAATCTGATTCAAATAAGATTAGTATTGCAATCACCAGTAAACTATTTGAATATAGAAATAATAAAGAGAACCGTCCTCTATGGTCGAGCGAATTCTGGAAAATGGATTACCATCATGTACCCATACGAAAATGGTTGTTCGATCGCAAGAAGACATCAGTTACTTATGACTCGCCTCTGAAAGTTCTTATCGATCATTCTAATGAGCATATTTACGCACCAAACAATGCGAAAAATGTTCCGCTTGGCGAATGGATCAACACAAATAAACCTGATGCCTTCTCTTCTGATCTTTTAGTTTCAAATATAAGTTATAAATTAACTTGGCAAGATCACATTTTCGGCTCATTTCTTCGTTATATGTTTGTTTTATATTTTGGCTCGCAAAATGCACCGCGCATTGAATATAGCATGCGAGTATTAACCCAATATTGGTTAGATTATCTCCGAGATAAACATTCGATTCCAGCTAGTACAAATGTATTCGATCAACTTGCTGGTTTATATATTCGCCGGGGGGATAAATCCAATGAAGATTCCTTCTGGGCGAAGCATCAGCATTGGCGAAATCTTTCGTTATATGTCAAAGGAATCGTCGACGAAGAAAAACGACAAAAGAAAAAGTTTAAATACATTTTTGTTATGACCGACGATACATCTGTCATGCAGGCACTTCAAGACTATGCAAATCCGAATTCGAAGGGTACGGATGAATCGTATGCGCGAGAACATTTACGTGGAAGAAATATTCTTTACAATGTTCTTGCACCACAAGCATGCTTTGATCCATTTCATCGTATTGGTTTCGAACAATTTCTAGTTAGTATGCGATTTTTAATTGAACATTCCGCCTTCACAATTGGTCATACAGATTCCAACGTATTTCGTTTCTTTCGCGAAGTTATTTATGCTCAAAGACAACATCGACCAGGCCTTCAATCATACACATATGCTCAAAATGCTCCGGATTCTCTGAATGATACTAAAAAATATAAAATCAACATTGAAACCAACGAAAAGTCCTAAACAAATGTAACATTCCAACTACATTCATACGGCGTTTGGTAGATTGTAGTAAGTTAGAGAGAATCTACAAACATTATTGCTTATTAATCTCACGTCGAGTCGTAGAGTAGATGTTTTTTCTATAAAACTTTTGATATATGATTATGATCAACGCTTCACAATTCGACCTAGATGACATAACCAGGTATTTAGATTTTAATCAAATGCGTGTGATATTTTCTTTCCTCTCGCGTCATACAGAGTATCATGATGATGTATTATTTACGATATGACTTCATGAAAATTACTGCTTGTATTGAATTTTCTACAACGATTGGTTATATTGTCTTTTTCTGATTGTGTAGTCTATCTGATGACATATAATTTTTCTATTATGTTGCTATTTTTTATACATGTGATCAAAGGACACCTGCTGCTACTCGAACAGAGATTGATGAGCAAACATATATATAGATTTTACCTTTCTTAGTATACTCTATGAAATGCTACGTTAATGAATGGATATAGTAGGAGTTTTGCTCTGGAACAGTATTCTTCGTAAGATAAGGGATCTGTTTTTTAGGAGTCATGCTGTTTTATATTTTATTTCTTCTTTTTAATATGATTATTTATCTTCTTAATAATAAATTTATTAAAAGCCCATTAATTTGTAGTCTGTTTATCTCTTTTTTTTAATAATACTTATACCTGTTCAGCTGAATTGAATGTACAAATACGTTATGCGACTTTCGACCCTCATGGTAGAAGATTTCTAGGGTGGAGATATTTAATAAAGTGTAGAAGAAAATGACAGGCCAGAATGAAAAACGTATTGTTTGCTTCTCTTTATGTCTCAAACGACCAGGTGATATTTATTCAATTTCATCTAATCCACAAATTTCTTGTCATCAATCTTTATCTACTACACATACTCTAAAAAAATATATAAAAGTTTTTTTTCCTTCAAATACCGAACTACCTACTTGAAAACTGATAAGCCACTGTGGGATGGTAAGAAATTAATATTTTCTGTATCGAACTATGCATAGGCGAGGATTTTCTCTGAATGCAGAGGATTGTTTTAATTCTCTTCAGTTTTCTGTCGATTCAATGTCACACGTATGCTGCTGTCAATACAAACTTCTCTACAGCATGGAGTCATTTCATGCAAGACCCTCAACTATCGTACGCTACATTTTCACTCACTATTCTTGATAATTCCACTGGTAACATTATATTCTCTCATAATGAAAACCTCGGTCTCGCACCTGCATCGACGCTGAAAACGGTTACAGGTGCTGCTGCTCTACATTATCTAGGCACAGATTATCGCTATAAGACTATATTACAATATTCCGGCAATATCAACTCGTTTGGCATTCTCAACGGTTATATCTATATCGTCGGTTAGTATGCGGCCGTCCTTCGCCGAAAACGGTGCTTTTTCTAAGCATGTGTGTGTTTGTGTGTGTATAGGAAGTGGTGATCCGAGTTTGGGAAGTTGGCGATGGAATGAGACGAAGGGCGAGGTGGTAATGGAACGCTGGTTGAATGCGATTAGAAGTCGAGGGATCAAAGAATGTCGAGGTGTTGTTGTGGATCTGAGTGCATGGCCAGATCAAACACAGACTATACCTAGCGGATATCCGTGGGGAGACCTAGGGTGAGTTGTGTTCAACGTAACTTGTATTGTGTGTACATCCAGAGTGTTAAATCTGCATAGAAATCATTACGGAACGGGTCACAGCGCACTGAACTGGCGTGAGAACCAATTTCGGCTATTTCTTTCACCTGGCTCTTCTGTCGGCGATCCTGTTACTCTTGTTTATGTCGATCGTCCACCACCGTCCGTAACATTAATTAATGAGATTACAACTGGTGCTGTAGGTACGGGAGATCGTACAAATCTTTTCTTGGCACCTGATGGCACGCACGGTTATTTGCGCGGCACACTCAGCGTCGACACAGCCAAAAATTTCTCTATCGGTGGTGCAGTACCCAATTCAGCATTGTTTGTGGCCGATGAGCTTCGTCAGGGAATGCAATGGTCAAACTCGATGCCAATCAAAATCATCTATCGTAATGATGAAGACTTACCAAAAAGTCGAATAACACTCGACATACACGTTTCACCACCAATGAGTGAAATCATATATTGGTTTGAACGAGTAAGTATCAACATGTATGGTGAAGCGCTGATAAAAACAATCGCTTATGCAATAAATACTAGCAGTGATACTATATTATCGGCATATTGTAATGGTGAACATGGGATCGAACAAGCTGAAGTAGCAACTATAGATGGCTCAGGACTGTCACCAGAAAATCGTATAACAACACGAGCAATTGCACGTGTCTTGCACAATGTGAGGAAACGTGCACCGTGGTTCACATCCTTCGAGCAAGCACTACCAATCATCAATAATATACGAATGAAAAGCGGATACATTCATAATGCTCTGTCATACGCCGGCTATGTTAACAATCAAGTCTTCTCTATTATCACCAATAATTTCAATGGACAAAGAAATAGTATGCGACAAAAATTATTTGACTTGTTAGATACGCTTAGCTAACTGACAATTGTTCTTATAAATAAAATATATATGTATACGTATTTTATGCAGTCCAAGTCATTCTAAATAATGGACTAAGAAACAGAGCGGAAACTTTTGCTTATTTTACGCGATCTATCGATACGAATCAAATTCTTTAATCTTTTCGAGAATAGTCATGTCGAGTCTCGATGATTTCAAAATATTGACAGATACGACACTTCTGTATATATGGCCTTTTACTTAGGCAGATAAAGAATCTTGATAAGAGACTATAGAAATACACAATATTTTTATTCACTTATTTCTTTCGTTACATTCAGCGATGGGATCGAGGTTGAAAGTAAGTTAAAATTCGGGTGGTCATAAATCTTTCATAAAACTTTTTATCAGAGACAATGTCTTACTGTTCTAATTACTCTGTGGATTATTAAACCTCAAACGAATGCGATTGAAAATGCAAGATTTACTGCAGCCTGGGACAATTTCACAAAAGACCCTCAGTTGTTACATGCAGCTTATTCGATTACAATTTTTGATAATTCGACAGGAAACATCACCTTCTCCTTCAATAAAGACTTGGGCCTTTCACCTGCTTCAACGATGAAAACGGTTACAGGTGCTGCTGCTCTACATTATCTAGGCACAGATTATCGCTATAAGACTATGTTACAATATTCCGGCAATATCAACTCGTTTGGCATTCTCAACGGTTATATCTATATCGTCGGTTAGTATGCGGCCGTCCTTCGCCGAAAACGGTGCTTTTTCTAAGCATGTGTGTGTTTGTGTGTGTATAGGAAGTGGTGATCCGAGTTTGGGAAGTTGGCGATGGAATGAGACGAAAGGTGAGGTGGTAATGGAACGCTGGTTGAATGCGATTAGAAGTCGAGGGATCAAAGAATGTCGAGGTGTTGTTGTGGATCTGAGTGCATGGTCAGTTGAAACACAAACAGTACCAGATGGATATCCATGGGGAGGTTTAGGGTAAAATCAAATATTGATTCAAGTCACACCCTATTGTTATTCTGATTTGATTTCAATTAGCAATTACTATGCAACGGGTAGTAGTGCATTGAACTGGCGCGAAAATCAATTTCGTATAATTCTGTCTCCTGGTTCTTCTGTCGGCGATCCTGTCACACTTGCTGGTTATGAAAATTTACCTCCATCAGTAACATTTACAAATGAATTGGTGACAGGTTCACCGGGCAGTGGCGATCTTGCCGACGTTTATTTGGGTCCTGATTGTACTCATGGTTATCTACGCGGATCTTTAGGTATTGATTCACCACAAAACTTCTCTATTGGTGGTGCAGTACCCAATTCAGCATTGTTTGTGGCCGATGAGCTTCGTCAGGGAATGCAATGGTCAAACTCGATGCCAATCAAAATCATCTATCGTAGTGATGAAGACTTACCAAAAAATCGAATAACACTCGACATACACGTTTCACCACCAATGAGTGAAATCGTATATTGGTTTGAACAAATAAGCATCAATATGTATGGTGAAGTGCTGATAAAAACAGTTGCCGAGAAGCTAAATTCGAGTATCAATCGTGTCTTACCGACGTACTGTATGAGTGAACATGGTATTGAACAAACAGCAGTAGCGACAAGAGATGGTTCCGGTTTATCACCTCAAAACCGCATAACAACATGGGCTATCGTACGTGTTCTACATAATGTTCGCGAACGAGCACCATGGTTTCCGTCATTTGAACGTGCATTACCCATGATAAATGGTATTCGAATGAAGAGCGGTTTTATCAGTAACGTTCTTTCCTATTCCGGTTATATTCATCGCCAAGTCTTTTCAATTATAATAAATAACTACAACGGTGCAACAAGTGTTATGCGACAAAAAATATGGAATCTACTCGACACTTTGAAATAGAGCTACTTGAAAGAGACAAAAAAGACGTCGGACAAAGTAATATTCACAAATGCAAAGTAAAACTATGCTAGAAAGGACAAAAACCGTCTTATTTCGATTTATGTTCTAAAATAAAAAATACAATAACATTCATTGCTGAAAAACTTTGTCAAATTGATAATTAGTCTAGGTTACCTCGACTTCAACTATTATACTCTAGAACGTGAAAGTTCATTTCGCCATTGATTGCACGTTTGCCAATCGAGAAGCTTTATTTTCATTCCATTGATTCTATTCCATAAAAATTGATTTCCTTCTATTTCATAATACAAACTTTTCAAACACAATTATTCTATGCAGCATTTATGTCAAACTCTTATTCTTTCTTTTACTTCTTTTCTTTTTCTTGTTTCTCTATTGACAACAAAAGACGGTCGAAGAAAGAATGAGGAAACAAAAAGAAAAATTCTTGCGTATATATGAGTAAGTACTGATGCATGTGAACGTATACTGAACAACACACGGTGGTTCCACAAACAAGTTTTTTAACTTTTTCTGTTTAATAACATGGCATTTTCACTCAAGAAACGTGTCAAATCAAAACTAAGTGTAAGAATATTTTTATTCTTGTGATTGATTGTAAAGTATCAATGCTGTAGATCTCGAGCGTGTGTGACGATGATGGTAATACATTAGGGGAAGTTCTTCATCGCTCGACGAAAACCAACAAATCCAAGAAAAATAAGAGGAAAGAGAATAATCTCGTATCATCAGATCACACTACGTCACGTGACAACGAATATTTGTCAGGTACACGATCGTTATCAGCTGATCATCATGTAATTTATCGAAATCAATGTCCCTGTGAAACACATTATGATAAACAATTAATAGAACAAAATTATAGTTTAACTGTGGACAAGTTATTTGATTTACTATTTGGAACGAATGAATTCGTTCGAACATATCGACAATCTCAAAACATATTTGGTTCGTTTATTAGTTATCGATATGTTGTCTTAACTTGCTTGATTAGATGATACAGCAACTGAATGGACTCTCAATCCAGAAACAAAATGTCGTGAACGCATATTGAACTTCAAAATACCTTATGAGTCGACACTAGTAGGAAAAAGCACTATTACAACACGCGAGAAACAGGTGAGATGCGATGGAGAAGGAAGCCATTGTTGATTTCGAATACTAGAAAACTCGTTTCGTGTTTTAGACGATAGTTCAGGAAGTTGTTGGTTTTCATTATATAGTTGAAGCAGAAGTGTTCAATCAAGGTGTAAAATTCAGTGATACATTTTCGCTAGGTATGCGTTATTGTCTTGTGCAAACATCGGCGACAAACACACATTTGTGTGTCACAGCGCAAGCTCGATTTTGTAAACCAGTGAACGGCTTCATAAAACGTTTGTATCGCTTCTCTCATCATCATTTGTTATTCACGTTGTTTTTAATTAGAATTAATCGAGAAAAATACATATTCGACATCAATAGAATGTTTCAAAGATTTAAGTATGTTTATTTGTACCCCGAGACGTTCTGAATCACTGGAAGTATTGATTTCTAGATAACCGTTTGAATCTAATTACTGATTTCACGATGAGTAGATGGTCTACTGCTTTTCCATTCAAGTGAATATGCGTGTTTTTTTGCAGAAAAACGACGTCTGAGTCGAAGTGAACTTTCACTGAGTATTCCAATAACATCCAATGAACACAGTCGGCGAATGAGTCGTCATGATGCATTATCATTTGTATCACTACAACAAACAATTAGCGAAGACACGAGAAGTATGTTCCATAGACTATCGTCATCCTCTATTCTTTGTTTCTGTAGGACTCGAAGTTTCATCATTGTCATCGCCATCGCCATCGCATTATCCAAATATAATCATGTATTTTTTCATTCTCTTGTACGAGCATATCGAATAGATCAGTTTTACACTGTAACGGATTCTTTCGTTCTTCTAGAGCTGGCTGTCTGCTGTTTATTCATTTGTTTTTATATAGTAAGCTCAAGAATATGGATGTTCTCGTGGATCATTTATCAAATTTAGTTAATACGTAAGCTTAAATCATACTCTAATTTTTGTATCCATGTGGCTTTTGTCTCATCTTGTAGATCATCTTCAATATCAGCAAGAGAACAATGAACATAATGGATGGTTGTTACTATTTTCTCGATTGACTTTTCGTTGGTTTCCTCCTGTTAATAAAAGTAACTGAACTAAAAATTGTGCACATTTTCCCAAGTTCATTCGTAATAACAATGTGAAAAAAGCGAATTCGAGAAGATGTGTAACGATTGTTAATCAAAAAAATATTTCGAAAGTGAAAAAATTCCTACCGCGCTTTTGTGTCATTTTTCTCGATTCATTGATCCTCGCCTGATCATGTTCACTGGTGCTCACATTGGTAATTAGTATTATATCTCTTGATTCTGGGATTATGAACATGTAGTCTATAGCAGCATCCAAGACGGCTTCTCGTAATCAACAAAAAGAAACCGCCGATGTGCAAGTGGATGATAAAATAGCACAGGATTTAGCGAATCTGGGCGTGATTGTGCCACGTACAAAACCTTCGATTGCGGTTGAAAATCGATCAGAAAAACATCAACGTAAAGTTTTAGCACAAGAGCGAAGACAAGAACGACTCGTTGAACAACGAAAGATGATTGTGCATATGGAAGGTCTGATGGAGAAAGTAAACAGAATCGTTTAGGTTGCATTGAAAATAAGCGATTTGCTTTGAATGAAAATTGAGATTATTGATGAGACACCGATATCGAGAAAAGATGCAGAGGATTTACGAGAAAAAGTTAACAAAATTCTTACAAAAGTAAACAACGCGTCAGAAACACCTCGTTTAACGTCGATTCACCCATCTGTCAGTGAAGATATACCATCAGCATCGTCGTCTCAGTTGAAATTGAATGTAAGTTCTCATTTTAAATCACAAAATAATCCATTTTGAGATCATAAATATTACTAATTTAGTCTAATGTAACTTCCTCACAATCAATTAATCAAGGAGCTTTCCTACTGTGGAATAATAAAAAGCTTCAATAATAACCATCAATATCACACTATTTTTCAATAGATTCAATTAGAATAACAAAACAGGAATTCTGTCTACTACCTGGCGACTATCTCTTGAAATAACGACAACATAGTCTCACAATGGCACAGACAATTCATTCAGCTAACTAACCAAGTACCAGAAAAATGCTACACGTTTGTCGTATAAGTGTGCTTTTAAGTTTGTTAATATATCGGAAGTCGATTAAATCAAGTATACGTTCGTGTTTATCAGTAGATAAAGCTTATCTATCAACTGCACCCCAAAATAACTGCATATGAGCATTTACTAACAAGGTCTTTAGTTGCAAATTATGGTCGTCACTGAGTGAAAGTAAATTAGAAATGTTATATATATATATATAATCATATAGACGATAATTGTTAAGATAAACATGTAATTCGCCCTGTAGTTATGAAATAATTTTCCTTTGATCAGTTCATGATTTTCCCAGATTTGAGCATTAAAGAAAGAACTGTATGGATGATCTTCGCCTTCGCACATTCTAGCTTTAGTAATACATGCGAATAGCAAGACATTTCAGAGATCGTCAACAATCACTAAATAAAAGAAAATTGTTCTACGATATCTATAAATAAGTGATTATTAACAATCCATTATTGAATGAAGTCTTTATTATATCAAGAATATGCTTCATCTATTGCTAATCATACGTCTAGTGGAAGATTTATTGTATTGTGCTTGACATAAAAGAAGCAATTGATTTGATATGTTGTTGAAAATATCTTTATTACAAAAGATGTCAAATTTCGTTGATGATTGACTGATGCGACCATAAGTTCTCGTTATTCATTATAAATCTGAGAATAGCACATTCAATTCAATCTATATAATCCAATCTATAAGATAAGTTTCACTTCTATTGTCTTCGCCTAGAACAGACAACGAGAGTTCCCTTTTTTTTAATAATAAAATTTAATAAATATCAGATTACCAAAACCATTACAACAACAGAAACACAAACATAATGCTGCTTCTAGTTATTCGCTACTAATAACGCCGTATGAACTGCTATCAGATTATAAGACAGCCGACGTTTGACTGGAGAACGTTTCACATACCAAAAGTAAGTTGCATTATTCTTGACGTTTTCTTTTTGTCGGTATGCGACAGATTGACATCTGAAAAGGAGCAAACGCTACATATATACACCGAGATCAATCTGGTCTAATTTTTTTCATAAAAATAGACTTCTATCTGGAGAAAGACTCAAATCGTTCACTGAAATCAAATAATGTGATTTATGGTAGTTTTCTGTGTCGAATAGTTTGACTAGATCAAACGATAAAGAGTTACTGATTCATCGACGCATCATAAATTCGTCAAAATAGTGTGTCTCTATTCCTCTCGGGAAATGCGAACACGGCATGGAAAAGAAATATATCAAAGAATGATTGATTGATTAATTGAAACAAAAAGTTCCCTTTCGTTCAAATCAAATCTTTATTCATTTTGTACTCGCTGAACGTGTGAGAAGCAACGAAGTCGCGTCAAGATGCTCTCGTTCGAGACGACGGTTTATTTCATGAGTAGACATTATTTTGTTTTAATCTGAGTAATTTTCCTGCTAATGTTCATCCTCTATGCAAACAAAAGAAAAGACGACTGAAAAAACTGCAGAAATAAAACTTTCTCTCTTCCGTTTTTTTTCTCTCTCTCTCCCTCTCTCTGATATACTTAGACAACATCATGCCTATCATATTAATAATTATGATTTATGATCAAGACAGGGTATATTGCCCATAGATTAAATTCATTTGGCGATCTTCAGTTATAATGACGGCAACATTGACGACTATGTATACAACCACAAAAGTCGATACTTTAGTGTTCCCTTATGATATATTCGGTAGCAATGATCTTGTTATTGGTGTTAATACAACATTCACATCATTGAATGAGTTAACATCGTAAGTATATCCAGGATTAGCAAAGTGTGAGCAATCGTAGGCGAGACGTTTCTCTATGTATCTTCAGCGTGCAGACGGATGTGGATATTTGAATTCCATAATTAGTATTCAGCTCAATACATTCGGTATTGCCGATGAATATATGTCGCTGGAGTCTAGACATCAGTTCTTCTAATGTGTATATCCTTATTCTACTAAGTACTATTATGATAGTACTCACAAGAGAAAACGACCGGAAAGTGGGCGAATGTTTATCGGGTAGTATAGTTAACATGAAAGTACAAAATCGACGGAATGGTGTAAATAGTATGAAATTGAAGAATAGAGAGCGTTAATTTTTCATTAGTCGTAGTTCATTTATGATACAGCGTTCTAACAAAAAAGCGGGCTATCTTCACTAGACAAAAGTTTAAAAATAAACTTGATAATGATCGTCTATATCACAGGAAACATTTAACGCAAATTTCTTTGCTAGAAAAATGAAATTTTCTATTTCATGACCTATGTAAAAAAATTAATTACTTTGTCGACATACACCTGCTTTTAAACCATGTCTTAATTATACATAGTTTTCTTCGAAATCATGTACTTGTAAAAATAAGCTCCATTAGTACACCACATGTCTTGCAATTTCATTTGAATTTCTTAGATATATCGACGAGGGATTGAACACAACTTTCATCGATGTTTACATGGCTGACGTGTCCACTGGTCATACAGCGTTTTTGGCGGTGGCGATGTTTACTCTCTCATTAGTGACTGTTCTGGGAAATGCTATTGTGATTTATGCACTACGCACAAATCGCCACTTACGAACGGTAATAGACTTGATGTTTGCTTATGGAGATCTTGAAAGGTCTTTAATTAAAATTTTTCAATTTGTTTTGATTACTAACAGTCTTCTTATTCTTCTCGATGAATTAGTTGACATGCACTCTGAAGCAAAAGGGATAAAAGGCAAAAGATCAAAAGAATAAAAAAACTTTGAGGATCGTTAAAGCGAAAAGTGAGGCTGTCCTCATGAATAGGTTTTACTGAAAGAATATCTAATATAACTTCCCTTATATTATAGAGCGCTTTTTGTAGAAGAAAACTGACTAGTTGATTATCAATTAACCGTAGCAGTCTTAATAAATACGTTAAGTTCTACTAATAACAGATATGAGCTTGCTCATTTCATCAGTGCACGACATGCGTAGTCTACGTTTATATGAATAGTAGGATCTTATACACCCGGTTCCGACAATTATCAGTAGAGTACCTACGAACTAGGGAATTCTGAAGAAAAACCAATAAGAACTTGGAGGAAGTTTTTAGTATGTATTAGCCATGTCCCAAAAGTTCTTTGTAGAGTTTTTAATTTGTGTTTAAAAGGAATTAAAAACAGATTCCTAAGGAAATAAGCTGATTATAAATTATCAGCAGATTGTATTCAGCGACGAAAGCACTCGTAAATGAAAACAAGAAAACATTCCACGCCCAAGATTACTCCTCAGGTGTCTGTATTATGTTATTTGTAGTTCGGAAGCTTTCGAACGAGGTACATCTTACATTTGCAGTAATGCGTGTAATCTTTAGTATTCTTCCTTCCGTGGATAATACGCGGGACCTAACGTAAGACGCAGAACGATTAGTTTCTGTTATATTTTTATTCAGTTTATTAAACATCCTATATATCACAAAAACGATTAGTGTTATGAACTATGTGTCACGTCACATCAACATTAAGAAAGATGAAAGAATGACTGTTGAGGATTAATTTAATCAGACATTGATAAAAAAACACATTTGAGGAGGGACTGAGAGAAAATTAACAGAAAATAGTCATAAATAACATTAAGTTCAAGTCTTGAAATCGAGCGTATGAAACGAGAGTACTCTATTGTATATTCGACATGATGAAAAAAGAAAACTGATTAAGAGATGCACGCAAAGGAAATAATATTGACAACGACATTGTCTCGATAATTTTTATTCGATGTACTCGTCTTCGTTCATGGTCTTTGAAAAATCGTATGAGCCAAAGAAGTTATAATTTCAACTTTCCTTTTAAATTGACTGAATAATCATACATAATCGATTCCTTTCATCTCGAGTGTTTGTTTCCCAAAACCGTTTGTTCAAATTGAATTACGCCGATGATTTGCTCGTTGTATTATTACAATAGTTTGCATGCTTAATAGGAAGATAAAAGCATAATTTTGAGGTTTTACAGTAGATACCGTCGTTATTTTTTTCATTGAGAACAAGTTCTTTGTTTGTCAATATGTTCTCTTCTTTTCTCAAACGCATCTCCCTCTTACTTAACGAACAAGATAAAATTCTGTTCTCTCTCTCTTTTAGTTCCTTGTTCCTTTTCATTCTCCTTCACTTTGTCTTTCTCATTCTTCTTCTTCTTTTAACAATGTTGGCACGCAAACAACGGTGCCATCCATTTGCTAGATATTCTATTCAATGAACAATATGAAACTACATAAATTAAACCACTTTGTTTATCCATAAAAACATGAGTGATATCATCGAAGTAGTCTCCCTTGAGGATCAACGTCTCTATCAACAGCAAGAGCAACGGGACACATTTCCTGATGTTGTTACCGATGCCTTCTCATTGACAATTGGAAACATGATCGAAATCCATTTGATTAATGTCTCCGACAGATCGTCAAACGAGAGCGACAATGATTTTCTACAGCATTTTCCATTGACCCCTTTACCCTACACAATTATATTTGGTCTTATCTGCGCATTTCTGTGTTTTTTGACAATATCTGGAAACTTAATCGTGCTCAGTAGTTTTCGACGAATGCGAACAGTAAGTGTCAAATAAGAGTAGGATCGATTTCCACAGAGAAATGTAATGCACAGTTCGATGTTAATACATTCGTATACACATAAAAAATATCGGCACGTCAAGACAAAAGATTGATTTATGAATAGTAGATCATTTAATAATTAAATTAGCATACATATCGACTATATTAAATCATCTCTAGTTCGAGTTTTTTCAGTAGAAAAGTATGTGACGAGGAGCAAACGTTGCCGATATATTTATAACCATAGTGAGATTAAATTTAATGCCGAATTTCAATGATAAAGGTGTCAGACGATCTTAGAAAATGCTGTATACTTTTTTTTATGTCTAGGTCGGCAATCTATTCATACTAAGTCTCGCCACAGCTGATCTGATCGTCGGATGTTTTGTTATGCCAATAGCTGGTATATATGCAATTATGGAGAAATGGAATATGGGTAAGCTTTGGTATTCTACGAGGATAAATGTGTAAGGAAAAAAAAAACAAGAGAAAAGGAATAATTACATATATTGTTCTGCAGATAAGCAAAAAATTCAAAGGAAAAGAGATCAATTATTAATACTTTTCAAGTCAGTGCAAATTGAAAAGATCGCTAAACTTGACAGTCATATCTTCAATTGTAAAGACTTATTAATTAGTCTATAATAGAGATGATGAAAACAAAGAAGATGTCCTCCAGACGTTAGATATTATTGTTCAAGGCGAAATGTATAAGAAATTAGAAAGTATTATGGGCAGGTGGGGGATTCCCATAGGTGCTTTAGTAAAAATTAAAAGGTGATTAACTTCGTACGCATTCATTCAATAAAGTATTCAATTTCAGACATTTTTATTACTTTTTTGTTTCTCATTTTATTGCTGATGATGCACAAAATCTGCCGGCAGTGAGATCGACTACAGTTCTTCTGTTATCTAAATGACTTAGTTTAAACTAGATTGATTTTAATGGGTCGAGAGAGTGTGTGTCTTTATAAGAATTATTTATTCAGGTCTTATTGTTTGTCAAATTTGGATATCTGTGGATTTCATTGCTTCAACCGCATCTATCTTCAATTTGTTAACGTTAAGCTTAGATCGTTATTGGTCTATAACGTCTCCATTGCAATATCTCGGCAAACGAACACGTACGCGAGCTTTATTGTTAATTGGTTTTGCTTGGGGTTTGTCTCTACTCTGGGTTGTTCCCATATTCAGTTGGCATCATTTCAATGATGGTAAACGATATATCGAAGTACGAAATGATTATAAAAATTGACATAATACATCATTTTCTCGGTTTCTAGCCTGATAAATGTGAACCTGAATACACACATTCCAAAGTATTTAAGGTGTCAACAGCGATAATTAATTTTTATTTACCACTCTTAGTATTAATATCATTGAATGGTCGGATCTACTATGAAATTAAACGTCGTTACAAAAGTGTTCTCCTACAACGACATTCGAATAAAATCAATGAACCGATGACAACGACGACGAATAACAATAGTATTTATAACCGAAAGGTCAACCCGACAAGTAATCGCTCGCGTTCGCCGATAACAGTAACGTTATGTGATAGTGATCGCCAAATGGGCTCATCAACAATCAATTGTACAGAAAACGAAAGTTTAATCATGTCGAAAACTGCATCGAAGGCTTTGATCAACAAAAATGAATCTATCTTACGCATTAATTTCAAAGCGAAAAAAGCTCGTCCTCAAGTAGAATCAATGCAATACACCGAGCTTCAACCTTCTACGTTAAAACGTACTTACTCCTATGTCGATCAAAACCCGTGTGCACAAGTAAGAAATCGACTGGGAGTTCATCGAAGCGATGTATAGTTTCTTTGTTTTGTTAAAGGATGAATTAACGTGGTTATCACAACATCGTAATTATTGTCGTTCGTCGTTCTCTCAAAAATCACCGGTGGTGATACCGAATTTCAAATATGCTCGGACTGATTCTCACCATCTTCATGTAGATCAACATTTCCTTCGATCGAGAAGCGAACATAAAGCGCGTCGATCGCATTCGAGCAAACGAAAAAGTAAAAGTAAAAGTAAAAGTAAACGTAGTTCAGCCAATTCGTCGTTACTCTATCAGCATCAACGCTATCAAACAACGTTTCATCATGCAGCGTCAACCTGTCGTCGTTGTTCTCTGTTAAATTCAACGAAAATATCACCTCCACCGCAAACGACTACAACAACGACAACAATGAATATTTTCAATCTCTGTCACTGTTGTTCAACTGCGCCGTCTGAAATTACCATTAATTCGAACCATTTCGTTAACAATCATGCTATTTCAACTGCCAATTGTGAACCGTACAAGCAAATTCGAAAAATCTCGTCGTCATCGTCATCTGCTAATGCTGTTCCAATTATGACGATTCGTAAGCAAGCTCAATCGCCGATAACAACTTCGAATCGGAATCGAAATATCAGTCCGACGAACTCGAATCCACGTCCTAACGCACAAGCTTATCACCTGGCAAATAAAGCCAAACAAGTGACCGTCTGGAATCAACAAGAGAAGGCGTTTCGACAACTATTCGCCATTGTCTTTGGTTTTACATGCTGCTTCTTACCTTATTTTATCATCTATATGGTCGTCGCATTTTGCGGTTCGTGTGTATCCGAACGCGTCGTCACAGCAACGATTTGGCTCGGTTATGTTAATTCAACAATTAATCCATTTCTGTACGCTTTGTCAAACAAACATTTTCGAAGAACATTCAACAGATTATTCAAAAGAGACAGCCGACGACAACTTTATTATAATTAAGACGAAGAATGTATTCAGCTATTTGCTTTAATAAATAAGACTACCGTTGTTGGCAGATTCGTTTGCGTGCCAGCAGATGTCAAACTGAGTGGGAGCGCGTTTTTTAAAATAAACTGTTAGGCGATGTAATAAAGAGAAAAGAAAATGGTTTTATACTCAACGCACTAGAATCAAGCCAAGATGCATGTCATGCGATGACGATGGATATAAATAAATAATTATTATTCGCTGGCAACTATGCAATAGTTAGTCATGATAAAAGTTCATAGATTAGCAATGGCAAGTGCGAATTGGATGGTAGGAATGACATATGCACTCGTCATAGCTCTATGTTCACTATTGAGTACAACGGGGGAGTGTGCAAATCTTTTGATGAACTTGAATTTGAAAGGTTTGTTCAATGTTTTAGAAATCTTTTCTAGATCTTGCCGACTAAAATGCCAAGACAGGTTGTCTTGGAAAGTTGAGGATACAGAAGGATGATTCCTGTGCAGGAATGTTTTGTTGAGAACAATGATGAGGTATTCCAAAGTACACGTGCACTTCAGTTTCTGCCGAAAAAAGACGGAGTGAAATGTTTAAAAAAACTGATTTAAACTCAAATCTATTCGATTTATTTAACAATTGTATTTGATACAGTAACAAACAAATAACTAAGGCTTATTTCCAAATATAAAGATACCAATTATCCATCTTCCATCTCACTTCAGTCCATTGCGAAGATAGAAGAAGCGGTTCCAGGTCGTGTTGAATTTGATCTGACAACGTTTGACATATACAGATTTTGATTGAAATTAACCTATTGGTAGAACTCGGGGCTAATAAAAAATTCAAAATTTCTCGACATTCATCGCTGGTTGTCACGTTCATTCGTAGATGCTCTAACTGCGGTATTAAATTGTTCATTAGGTGTTGAATTTCTCTCCAGGACACACATTCACTGGTAAGTGAGAGCGATTTGATATTGGTCAGAAACGTATAGGGACGAAGTTGTGACCATGTTATGTCAAGTGAATGTAGAGATGTTAAAGAAGTCAGGGAGCTGAGGTCAATCATTGCTGTTTGACTATTGATGATCAAATGACTAACAGAAGTGAGACGAACAAATGACGAGACAATATCTGCAGAAACAGTATCATTGGTGATGTCATCGTTACATACTAATGTTACATGTTTCACATTTTGGCAAGTAGAAAAGTTGCAAGGATTGAATGATTCGGAGAGATTTATTCGAACACGTTCAACACGATCATAGATTGCTAGAGGGAAAATACAGATAGAACTCTAAGCGAATCGATTCAAATCAGACTTTACCGTGATTGTGGCAGTGATGAGTTGTATTCCAGTATTCAAATGGTAAATGAATGACCTTATCTGGATATGGAATGGTGTGTAAAGTTAACGTTCGTCGTGAATTCCGAGAGCTTGTTGTCTGCTGAACAGCAACAACGAGATTCTTGCTTCCAAGTTCGTACTCGTCGATATTCGTACTGATCGAAAGACCTTTCTGAATGAATTGAATGCGTCGAAGTCGAGTGGATAATTTCAATAAATTGTGAACGCTCTCCGGAGATTTCTCATAGGATTGACAGATCAATGACTGTATTCGAGGAAGGTGGGAAAGCAGCTGTGAATCCAGCATAGTTAAATTAATTCCAGTACCTTGCAAGTCGATATTCACATGTATCAAGGGTGATGATGATATGACAGAAGGAATCTGACTTGTCGTTGATTGAGTATAGATCCGAGCTAAAAAAAATAATCAATTATAATCCAGAATTCCAGTTGGTCTTACTTTTCAGTTTGATTAACGATGGCAAAGCTTGTAATACAACAAACAAGTCTTGTGGGAAGCTTTTGATCGCCATATGAAGCCGTTCAATGGTTCCCGATGAAATGGGAAAACATGTTTTGCTATCAAATGCGTATCCGCCAATAAGATAGCATTGCCGCAATGTTGTTGATTGCAATGCAAGTCGATAGAATTTCGCTGCATGCTCAGCTTTTTTATGAAATTTTACGGAGAGTCTTTCGAGACATGGCGGTAAAAGATTGATCTCATTTCCGATAATATCATCTAAGTGTAGCGAGCGAAGTCGGACAAAGTGTTCCGAATGAAAATGCTTCGATGCGAAGAATTCGGATATCAGTAAACCATGTGAGTATTGATTTGTTAAACGAAGAAAAACAATTTGTCGTGCTAAACAATGCCTTAAAACAAGTAAGAAATTAGAAACTGATATGTAGGTAAGATCGACAGATAGATCTGCTTGAGTTATCAATTTTGAGAGACGAACATTGAACAATGGCAGAAATGATAAATAAAGATCAATTGGATGAAGATAAGAAAAGAGTTCGAGCAATAATTCTGAAGGCAGGTCATTGAATAGCATTGCAGGACGTACCAGACACTAATTAAATCAAAGAGATTTGCAAACAATCTGAAAGTACAAAATCTTAACATTGTTCTTTTGAGTTTTCTTTGTTTTATTTCCATTGCGTTTATATCCCACTGAACAAAATAAAAACTTCTAATCAAAAGCAATCCAGACAAAGAAAAACTTCTATAATACAAAAAAACAGTGTTAGTTCGTTGTTAGGATTGCTTTTGTTGATCTTCATATTCACTTGGTAGCCAATGGTTGAGTCCACTGATAATCCAACTATCATCCGTCGCATTTTTACTCATATCTCGTAAGAATTTATAATTGCAAACAACGATATTATCTCGCATTTTCTTCATCGCCGATGTCCAATTCGAAGCAGCGCCACCGGGAGAATTTAACATTTCCTGTCGATATGATTCGCGATCTCTTAGCACGTGAAAAATCATTGTTATTTCGACCATACGTGTATCTAAACATAGGATGACTACGCTCGAAGACGATCCATCATTGCCGAATTTCCTTACTTGTTTTATCGTCCATGACGATGCCAATTAAGTACGGATAACTGAAGACAATCTCTGATTCTTCGACAGGAATCTTTTGCTTCTGTTCCGATGATAATTTGTGATAATTCTGTCTAACTTCATTTATAGCCTAGTTGGTCGTGTCCGTGAGAACATTTATTCAGTTAGGAAAAAGGAAGTTTTTATTTTCTACCTCGCGTGTAACAAAACCTTGAAGATCGTCGAATTGGTCATTAGCGATCAGTTGCGAAACCACGGTTAATGCTTGTCGAGCACCTTCTGAAAATGATTTTATCGTAAAGGTTTGATCGAAATATCCCGTGATAATCATGCGAGAGAAGAAATTTTTTATTGTAAAGAATATATTCGGATAGACAACACGAGGGAGATCCATTAACATTGTTGGCTGCTGATTTGAAGATGCATAACGAACAGATTTGAAAGGTACACGTTTGTTTGAATAGCTCATAAGCGGGGTTAAAAATGAACGCGCAGAACGTGCAAAAATCGAAGCCATCTAAAATGGAGAAATAGTCAATTTTAAAGATTTCGTCAAGCATCTTCATTAATGTATTGCTGATTTGATTTTGTTAGAATTAATGATCCGATCTTTTTCTATTTCTAGATTAATAAGCATAGTAGTGCGAACGCGTCTACTCCAATGGGAACATCTCAAACAATTAATGTGTTGTAATAGATGGCGTGACATGATAAACATCGTTCTTTTCAAAATTTTTATTAACAATCTGTTCAAAAGAGTGACACTTTTCACAAACAATAGATACAACACACACACATGCGCAAAAACCGAGACTATCCTATCCCGTCCGAATGAAATCGGATATAAGCCAATCTGACGTTAAATAAAGTTCACTGCCATGTAACATTACCGTATTCATTTTCAGCAGCAATCGAAAGTAGACCAAGTATCAAATATTCATTGAGATGAGCCATATCCATTCGTTCCGATGACGCTTTTGACACATGTACACGTGAACACTGAGCAGTTAAATTCACCAGTCGTTTGTAAAACTCACAAGCCATTTCGTCTGACCACCAGTCGGCAACAGGTGGAATTTCGTTTGTCGATGGAGACAATACAAATTGTGGTAATGAAAACGATGCTACAATTTCAAAAACTCTGATGATAAGCAAAGTGTTTCTTTGTTGTTGTTTTTCTGAACGACTTACCTGTAGTACCACTTTCATGTGTTACTGTTACTTGCTTTTTGGATATAAATCTGTTTTGTATTAGTAAAAGATTTGAACAAGTTTTAGGTCGATGTTTACTGAATAAAAACTGGGTAAGAATGTGTTTCCATGTTCGAATAAGTATGGTTGGTCTTGAAGATGTCTTCGAGGCATGCTTTTTTATGGAGAATATATCTTGTCGATCTAACCAACCTGTCGCGATTTCCAAGATAGCCCATTCCATGAGATGCACGCGAACACGAATGGTTTTTTCCTGTCGTGCTTCAATCGCTAACTGTAGTATGCAGCTATTCAGCCCTGAGTTGGAATTGAAATCCACCCGAAAGCGAAGTGATTGATGTTGAATTAGTAACAAAAATGAATGAAGAAATGCTTGACCAACAAGGAGATAATTCGATGGCGGTGTGAGAAGATTTTGTCTCTCTAAATTCATTCGTCGTAATTTAACTAGCCAGGAAGAAAACAACCAAGGAAATGAAAGAATCTTTTTCGTGTATGGTTGTTCATAGGTAACAATATAACACGCTGATGCCAACGCCATTCGATGTTGATCACAGTCTTCACATACACATTTAACTGAATGATAAGTTTGTAGTTGACCATCATTGAATAAGCCCTGTATTCGATTTATCAATTGACCCAATTCGAGTTGAGCTGAATCTGCAATGTCATATTGTTTCGACATCGTTTGTTGTTGAGAATCAAATCGACAGATCAGATCCACTTCCGAATGAAAATGATATACGTACATAATATCACTGATTTGATCGTGGTATAGCTTGAACAAATGTTCGGCATCAGCACGGTATAGATGTGCTAATGAATGAATAAGAAATTGATCGATTTGAAGATGTGCACTGATATGCGATGATTGTATCAAACCAATGGTTGTTTTCGTATGTAAACAACGGTTGATTTTCAGCCAGCTCGGTTCCGAACGACGTATAGCACGAAACAGTATACCTGAAGATAAAATGATGAATACAAATCAATTATAGCTTGGTCTTACCGATTGCATTTGATGACGCATAGAGATCGTATTGTTTCGGTCGATTGAAGAAATCTGCTCGTGCATTATTCAATTTACGTCCATATTCCGCGATTTGCTCATCTGTCAATGGATGCTTGCCAGTTTTACCAGCATCAACTTCCTCGGCAATTGCATCGGCAATTGCGATTGAATCTTTATGTCGAATACTATACATATCAGTCAAAGCTAAATGTAGATTTGATAAACGACCAAGGGCATCCTGTTCGGATATGTCGAGAACGACTTGACGAATATCTTCACGTGTTATTGGTCGATCGAGTTTCTTTGGTTTCTCCTGAGAATCGTATTCATATGGTGCGAAGTTTTCCGTTGTCGGCATCAAATCTGGATGCCAGTAGACAGCGTACTCATCGCCTAGGAAACATCAGAAGATACCTTTCATGGTTCAGTCGAAAGAACGAGGCGTTTTTACCGTCTAAATCAGATCCTGAGATTTCATTTGGATGTGGTCGTGGGCCTTGCTGTGGAAAGACTATACAGTCAACTAAATGCCGTAATTTCGGTACATCAACCGCTTCAAATGTGCGCAAATCACCAGGATGATGACACGGGTTCTTTGTTACAACTACTTTACCGGTAACGACCCGTTTGATTTCTTCACGATTTCCACCACGTCGTCGTCCACCATCTTGCAATTGTTCAGTATCTAATTCTGTATATTGAACGAACACTTGACCATATTGAAGAATGCCTGTTTCATCGACAATGCCAAACATGTTACGACCTGAGTTTTTCGAAATTTGTATACGTGTTTTATCCTACGTGAAGATAGTGTGAACATGTTTCATAGATTTTTATTTCAAGACACTTACCTGAATTCGTTTGATCTCTAGTTTACAAATTGTTGTTATTATTTGACGAAAGAATGGTTCGTGAATGAGATCAACATGAGCAGTTAGTATCAAATCTCTCAACGGTAAATGTTGAGCAAGACGTTCGTTGAGTAATTCATAAGCCGATGGTAAGTAAAGCAAAGATTCTACCAGCCATAGGAGATGTTGGTTTTGAAAAAGAAGAAAGATCGAATGTGGAATGAGACGCGATTCAAGCAAAGCTATTGCTTGCCGATTGAGATGTAAAGGACCTAGATGCGATTCACGATTTCGAAATGCTTAGATAAGTTGCGAGACTACGTACGTGGCGCTGATATTTTGCATAATTCCAAAACATCATGAGTGGAAATAAATTTGTGCATAGATTTACGCAAGATTAATTGTTTTTCTGTGTAGTCTAAATCAGGATTGACGGAAACAGTTCCTTTACAGCCAGCATATCGAATTTGCATGACACTGAATTTACGTCGGAAACCCATGATGTAGCAAATTTCATCTCGCAACAACGATGAAAATGTTCCGACTCCATCTGTAAATATGTAACCATTGCGTTCAATATCATCAACGATTTCTGTTTTCTCAAAAGGAACCTATACAGCGGAAATATATTCATCTGTGGAAATACAAAATGACATACACGTATCGTTGCATCTGAACTTGTAAAACATTGAGCAATGCGCGCTGAGTGTTTGGCCACCACCCGTTCATTTCGAAAGTCACCCATCCAATTGTAAGCCTCTTCGTAAGAAAGATTTGTTTTATTTTTCTCATCGTACCAATAGAACCAATATTGTTTCTCTTTCAGTTGCGATTGAGAATGATGAAGGTGTCGATAGACTCGGTCATTGGTCAACTGAAAGCCATGCGCAAGGTAGTTTTCAAATTTTGGACGAAGCACACCGAAATGATTCGCATGGATGGCTTCACCGGTTTCGTCTCGTATTTCAACTAAGATGTAGAAAGATTAGAACAGAAGTACATGTCAACATATGCTACAGACCTAAACAGAAATTGAAAGTACCGCCGAATTTTGGTTCGCGTAAGGTTCGATTTGTTTTAACTAGTTTAAATGGTTTAACACACACGGTTGTGGGTGTTATTGTAACTGACGGTGCATAAGCTTTATTCTTTGGCGGATTTGTTAACGACGCAACATGCGTAGGCGCTGTCTTTGTCTCTTGACCGATTTCGAGTAAACGGTTAGTAAACTTGTGTAGTTCTTCATCGATGTCAAGAAAATGATATTCCTTCGCACGACGCCAAACATAGATCGCGATCTAAATGGAAAATCTTACCTAATGAAAAGAAAAAGACTTTATATGTTTTTACTTGATAGAATTCGTTATCGGTATCGACTGCTTTTAAATAATCGATGAATTTTTGTGTCGCTCGTTGTTGAAAACGATAGCCGATTGACAATAACATTTGCCACGAATAATTCTTGATAAATGAATTAAATATTGGGCGTTCGATACGTGATGCTCGTGTTTTCGGCACTTCAGTAATCGAACCAGCAAAACAAATTTGTATTCGATGACGATAGAAAAACGCCAAGAATTCACGAAAGGCTATACGAATATTATTACTCAAGATGCAATCCATTCGATATTCATATTCTTCGAGTGTCTGATCTCGATACCGAGGATCATTTCGTCTGCCAGAACTATCTTTTAGTCGAGATTCTTTGATAGATATACGAATGGTTGAACAAATCGGTAGAGGTACACCGGAATTCGATTGGCGTTTTAGAGCGTCACGTGGTTTCATAACAGGCTTATTTTCCTTGCGTAGTTTTTGTCCGATCCACCATGGTTCGACATCTAATAAGAAAAACTCGATGTTCGAAAAGAATGCGATGGGAAAAAGCTTTACTGAGCAATTCCATGATATTGCCTTTCATTTGGATGTAGAGGACGAACCCTTCGCTATTCGTAGTAATGATAACACTCTTGTCAATGAAATTTGCTTGCAATCGTTTGATGTATTCATAATTTGGATTGCATTTGTCTTTTGTTTGATAAATAAAATCGACAAAATCTTCATAAAATCGTAGTCGCCATGTTTGATGAGGCTGTTTCGATAGTTTCTCATAGGGTGAGAATAAATTCATTGCTATTAATGCACCAGTCGACCATTCCATTTGGCAATTGATATGAAAAAAGCAACGAGCTAGTTGACGAAATTTACTCAAACGCGTTTCAGGAATCGGCGGTATGTCGCCGTCGGAAGCGGGTTCAGTTCGGGACTCGGCTGGAGCGGTTGAAGGTGTTAAGCCATTTGCGCCTTTTGTCGGCAAATCTTCTAAGAAAGAGGAAAGACAGTTTAGTTTTTCTTGCAATCATTCAGTATTCTCACCGATGTTGAAAAATGGATCATTAAATATCGGTCGTCGTTTTAGTCCATTCGACAACCAAAATGTGTCACTATGTTTTAATTGTTGCTGTAACAATTTCATTACTGATGAATTAACCATCTTCGCTGATTGCTTTAAAAGGAAGGTATATGAAATGAGACCGTATAACCATTGATCATGAACAATATTCTCTCGATCATCTGAGATACGAAATATTCTATATCCGGTTGAACAAGTCGGTGTACTTCACTTACAGACAAATTTATGTTGATCGAAGATATTACAAACACGTTTTAAACCATTGTTATTATTATCAACAATGATAGATAAATGGGGCTCTTCCTCGATCATTGTTCCATCCGTGTTTGCTTCGGGTTCGTCGAGGCCAATTTTAAATGAAAAATCAATCGTTGTCTCTTGCTTTTGTCTTTCTTTTTCCTGTTGAATCGTCTTTGGTAGAACATGTGTTTGATAATATTCGAATTCCTATGAAGATCAAACCTGACAAATCAGTAGAAAATTAAGGTATTTTACTTCATCGTAATCAAAATGAGTCTTTTTTGTATTTGATAGTGCTGGTACATTGACATACTGGTCATCAAAGCTCATTGGTGTATTGTATCCTGACCCTCCGACTGTTGAAGCTGTCGCCGCTTCCATACGTTCGCGTGCAGCTGCAAAAAATCCTTGTATGCTTGATTTATTTACGTCTTTGAAAACATCGCTTTCTGAACACGTATCATTTCGGCGATGTGGTTTGACTGGAAGCGGTTCTTCAATATGCATACGTTTAAAATCGATAGCCGATGAACAGAGACCTCGGCCAAGAATTTTTTCTGCACGCCACATCTAATTGGCCAGAATAGTTTATTGTTGATTCTCAACAAAGTCTAAACTTAAACAAACGTACCACTGGACTATGCACCGGACTTGGTACCAAACTACTTATTCCAGAACTGCGATCGTCAAATTCACTGTGTGACGCTATCGAAGATGTGTGCCCATTGTGATTGTGAATATTTCGATTGACAAACGAAGATGAGGGTGCAGATGGCATAACTGTTGATGGTGGTCGGCTTTGCAAACGTGTTGAAAAGATAAAACGTGGACTTTCCGACACTGGTTTTGGTGCAAGCTGAAAAAACTATGTCGGTCAACAACTTGATGCATTTCGAATAGGGATAGTTACTCTTGGACAATCTGTTTGATGTGACGCGACCGACCGATTGTCGTCATATCGATATTCGAACTCTGAAATAGATGCATCTTCGTCAATGGGTGATGCAAGACAGTCTTTTGTAGATCCCAATCGAGATAAAACAGTATTTCGTGCTTTCCATAGTTTAACAATTTCTTGCTCTTCTTTTTGTAATCGTTCATTTTGTACAATTTCCAAACGATGGTAATAATCACTGGCTTCGCCTTGTAATTCAACTAGTTCACTTTCGATTTCTTCATCAGAGGGTGTGCGATTAAAAATATTCTCGTCATCATACTAGAAATAAACTATGTTTTACCAGAAGAAACAAAGTCGTATCACGCTCGACTACTTACATCCGCTGCATAAACAGACATGATAAAGAGAAAAAAGTGTTTTTCCCTTCGAATATTAATTAAGCGTACGCTTTAATTAATTTACGATACTTTCCACACCGAGAAAATAATTCGAAATTAATGAAGAATTACATCGATGTGGTAATAAATATATATATATATATTCCCCGATTTATCTGTGATTAGTGATATCATTTTACCACAAATAAATATTCTCTAGATGGCGTTGGGATCATCTGATCGACGATGCACATATGAAATTGACAATCATCCACTGATCTGATCTGCATGTCGTTCAGTATTAAATGCGTCATCTTTTTGTATCTTTGCTTCATGTTTGTATAGCTACCGGTCAAAGCAAGTGTGCAAGACTTCAGTATGAACGAATGTAAACGCTAATCTATTTGCGAGATTCGTTGAAAAGAAAAATCATCGTTTATATCAATCAATCAAAACATTTCTACTTGTTTTACAGTTTACAGATAAACGTAAAAGTCGGGCAACCACGATTGACCTGACGTTTGCTTCGTGCTTTGACAATGCATGTGAAATATAAGTATCCATTATCGACTGATTCATTACTACTACTATATGAAACGGTTTTTGATTGGTTTAGCTAGTCAAAACACTAAATATTAAACTATTTGTCGATTAATATGTACGAAAATTTTCATGAGTTTCGAATTGAAAAGGCACATGTTTCAGAAAATCATCATACTGAAATTTGTCTCGATGACAATACATAATGTAGGAGGATATTTTCTTATGACTGGATTAGATAAAATGTTTTTCACCTTCAATAAGCTAAACGCATGATTGCACATTGTTATTACTTTAAACATCGAAAAAGCGTCGCTTAAGCGTTTCTATTCATCTATTTGCTTGCATGGATTTCGTTTATGAATCAGCTTACTGTATTTCTATTCATCGCATCAGTAATCTCATTTCATTTTAGATTATCAAGAGACAATGACAACAAGCGTTAACGACCTGTTAGCACAAACAGGCCTTACGACCACGAATAAAAATGGTATTGTAAGTCTCAACAAATCGAACGCTGATGTTGATAGCGATGAGGACAACGAAAAGCCAGCACCATTCAAAATGCCTCGTGCACCACCTCATGTCTATTCATGTTTTGTTGTCAATCGTTCCAGTGGAGCAATTGAATGTGATGTGTATTACAATGGTCGACCAGAAGAAGATACATTCAATGAAGTTATTCACGTAAAAATTCCAGCGAAAGATGAGAAATATTTTCCCAGAAAAATTTTTCAACCTGACCTACCTGAATCTTACTGTCGATGGGTGAAAATCATAACTAAAATCCATGTGAAAAAAGCAAATGGCACCACTCTAGAAGTTAACTATCCATTCGACAATGTTCATCAACCAATTCGCAACTGGGAATTTCACGTACGTGAAGAAGGAGAAATCCTATCGAAACCACCAACACGACCAGCTAATATTCTCAAATACGAGAACTTAGACGAATATGAACGCTAAATCAACAACATTTTGTTTTCAAGACAATACGAGTAGACTTTTCTCTGTAGACAGGAGATACTTTTTCAATACGATATAATTTTATCTAAGGCGCAATTTTGTTTGCTAAAATGAACGTAATAAAGATTCTGAAAAATTACATACGAGGCTTCGATGATCAATTAAACACAGATATCGGGTCGATTTATTCCATTGAACCGATTCGAATCGACTCTAGTATTCAAAGAAAGCTATCAATTACTGTATTCATTCTGTCTTTTGCGATATTCTGGCTTGGAATGGAAAATTATATAGTTACTATTCAGAATGTCATCAGGTTTTTAAAATCGAGACGAAATTAAGTTGTCATACCTCCGAATACGGCTCGAATGCGTTCTCAAATTCCGCTGACTGAAAAAGAACCGTTGAAAAACGAATATTTCCTAATAACCTGGATTGCAGTCATTTTATTGATTAATTTTGTTAAAATATTCTTAGTTCGACGTAAACAGAATCAATCGAGGTAATGAGAGGTGTTATGTGCTGCAAGACAAGAAAATAAATTACGTGCGAAAAATAGTTGCTGATAGGAAAACTCTCTTCTATTATGATGAGAGTGAAGTTGCTTGTCATTTGTTATCAAGATAAAATTCTCTGGTTGAATAACAGCTGAATGCCGTGTGAAATGTTATTTTCATCTTGAGTTGTAGCCTTGCAATTGAAAATAGGTGTAAAAGGACGTATTTTTTGTTAATTATCAAATGAAGGATAAACTTTGAAAAAGAGAAAAACGTTTTTCTGTTTTCGTCGAACTGGAAAAAAAATCACCGTATTCGCTCTTCTCGTTGTCACATCTTTCCATCATTTACGTTCACGTAATATTATATATAGAATCGTCAATTACTTTCAATTAAAACGTTCTACTCTACTTGCTAATGATATGTTGTAAATGGACAAGAAAATAGCGAAAAAAAGCCACATAATTATTACTTACACTCATTCTGCGTGCTGTTTTTATGTCATTTTCTACTCATTAGTAACGGTGCTTATGTATATGTACATGTCTGCCTACGATACTTTTCCGTTTCTTCTCATTTGTACTCTTCTCTGTCTGTAATCACTCGACTCTTTTCATAGTTTGTTAGAATATACAGATGATGGTAAAATATGCAAACAAATTGCTTTATTTCTTTCTCTTCGCTTATTATTGTTTTTCACGCATTCGACTATCTGATGAGAGAAAAAATTGTCTGTTCTTGTATTTTGATCAAGGTTAGAATCTACATCGAAATCAGTAACAGTACCAATCTGTGTTCCAGCTGACTGATTGCATGTCTCTGTACATCTTCATTTTTTCTTTTTCACTCTCTCTATTACTTTCGCCGTTTTTTCTTGCCACAGATAAGTGTATAACCGCATACATCGTCACTCTCATTAACAGCACATTTATCGATTCATCAAGATTCATAAAAACAGATACATAAAAAGGACGGCATTAGTAGATTTATACCTAGTATATATTTGTGTGACTAACATTCGACATAATGTACACAACCACTACTGTTGCCATAGGTAGAGGACCAATGAGTGGCGCTGGCGTTGGATATGGTGCGAACCGACAAGAACTAACTATCGTTGTCCCATGGTCTCCGGAATTTGGTGTTGCTTACCAACAATTTGTTAATGGTGGATATAACAACGCAGCCGGCGGTATGGGTGGTCTAGGCGGTGGTATGTCCATGGGAGGATTCGGCGGTATGCCTATGGGAGGAGGTTTATCAATGGGAGGAGGCTTACCTATGGGAGGAGGTCTATCAATGGGAGGCTTTGGTGGTGCTTCTCCAATGGGAGGCTTTGGTGGTGTTTCTCCAATGGGAGGTTTTGGTGGCGCTCCTTCAATGGGAGGCTTTGGCGGTGTTTCTCCAATGGGAGGCTTTGGCGGTGCTTCTCCGATGGGAGGCTTTGGTGGTGCTTCACCTATGGGTGGTCTGGGCGGTGGTAATCAAATACAAGGTGTTCCTATTGGATTTGGTGTAACAACAGGTATTTAATTCAATAGAAGTCATTCGTTGAATTGACAAGCAGCGTCCATTATACACCTTCTTGATCTCATAAAGAGAAAACACTTCTAGCGATTTGTGTTACACATATTCTTCTTTTATATTATGAGTAGTAGTAACGTTTTTTCAATAAAAAATTGAATGTGCATTATCTGAACTCAAATACGGTTAACGAAACATACACGTACATCTGTACTCGTGTAAACGCACCAATAGTGCATTTCATTTACTATCTGCTCCATACGTTCGACGAAGTAATTAAGAAAAATACGATTGTCAAGAAACAGGATCAACATTCTTTAAATTCTGAACGATTCGTACTACAATTCATAAAATGTTGTCGATAGAAAATATATGATTGTCTTTTGTGTATATACCTATATGTATTTATTAGAAATGCTTGAAATAACTATGGGAACGTTAAGAAATGAGAAAAAAAAGCATAATAGTATGGAATAAAAATTCTTAAACAAACATGCATTTATTTCTGTCGCCCTTAGCTTTGCTGTCGGCGTTCAGGTAAATATTAACTTTTCCTTTTTCTTCGTCATTGCTCAAACTTTCCGCAACAGATCTGTATGACAATAAAAACGGAAAAAATATCTTTCATTCTTACTTAATCAAATTAACTTATGACAGCACACGTTATGTCGTGATATTTATTTATCATCCAGGGGAATATTCAACATGAGCAGGTTTGAAAGAAAAACATCAGTCATAGTTCAACAGACTCTTTATTTTCATAGATTATAGACTAAAAAAAATAAGGGTGATTATTACGCATATGTTCTCCCACTGTGCATAGTAGTGGAAGAAGCCGTCTGGCATTTCACTCTCAACTGACGTCATAGAGCAATTTTTGTTCCCTTATCATTTTATATCGACTTATATATATAGAGTTGATTTTTGAAGATACAGGAGACGCGCTTGTTTCGAATACATTAATCAAGATTTCAAATACAATGCGAGCATTATTCATTCTTCTTTCCATTGGTTTATTTGTTACTTTAATCCATTATTCAAATGGGAATCGTAAGTTGTCGAATTAGATTCGTTTTCCGTTTTCGTAAATCATTTTATTTTAGCAATCGAGTCTTCTTTATCGGCAAGTGAAGAGGACGACAGTGTAGAATCGAATGAATCTTCTACTACAATACCATCAATCGACAGTGAAAGTGGTGAAGAAAAATTACCTGTTGCCACCAGCAATGAATACGAAGAAGATGCTAAACTTACCAAAGCGCTTGAATTTCTTAAAACAGTTCAACAATCAGAAAGTGATAGTAATGAAAAACAAGCTGATGAAGCCTCGGCTGACTCGAACGTTGCCAAAACTAACGATCCAAAGATCGAGCAAGAAAGCAGCGAAGAGTAAACGAGCGGAACATCTTTATTCTACCTAAACTTGATTCAATCAACTGCTTTTCTGTCATTTGTATCATTTTAAACTTATACACCCATTCGAATAAATATTGTTTTTGGAAAATTTTTTCTCCTCGTGAATCTTATTCGAAGTTCGACGAACATGTGTTCACGTTGTTCTCTCAACAAGATTCACTAACGAACTTGATTTGAACGATAGTCGTTGAAGGGCAACTTCGACGAGGTGGCCGAGCGGTTAAGGCGTTAGACTGCTAATCTAATGGGCTCTGCCCGCGTGAGTTCGAATCTCACCCTCGTCGCCATTTTTTTTTCTCCGTCTCCGTTTCACATACTTCCTCTAAAAAAAACAGATTACACGATGTTTTGGCATTCAAATAGTTGGCTTCTTCTTCCCTCTTCTTTATTTTTCTTTTGTGGATGTCATTGACATATGAAAACGAAAAATTTGCTTGTAAACAAAGTTTGCGAACATTTCCTTTTTACAACAGTATGATTAATATGAAATGTTTTTACATTACATTTTAGAACAATACGAAGATATTGCTAACAGACATTTGAAATGAGTAACAGGAAAAAATATGATCTGATTGATAAGAAGGTAACCTTTTGTAAACTATTGCGTTATTACATCGGGATAAGATAAGTTGTTTACAATGAAAAACACTTTACTAACTGGGTAATTCGGTGCATGATGGGTGTTTAAGGGCACTTTTTATCGCAGTATTCACAGAATTAATTTATTGTGACCTCTTCTGTAGTTAAAATCGCGTAAAGAATTCATTTCATGATTTCATTCATTATATAAACAAAATACGTTTAAAAAGAGCGTTGAATGGAGTTCATCATTCTTCGATGCAATTAGATCTATTCACTTATACACGATGGAGTCATTAGACTGAATGAGATGTTCAATGTCGATTCTTTGTCATAAACAATAACAGACTTCTTTCCACGCCTATATCTCTATGAATCTATTATTACATAGTATTTTTCCAGTATGTCAACGCTTACGACACCACAATGTATTATACTTCGCATTCATTGGCAGCACTTGAAAAATCTCTTCCGATGAAACATACTTCTGTGTAGAAACATAAACATTAATATGATTGTTAACATTACATCCTTCTACTGAGAAGCTCATTTTTCACATTGTGTAAAAATAAACAAATGAAGTGAAACTGTAGTTGAAGTGAAATATGTACATACACATACACCTCCGTTGCTCCTTTGATTACAAGATAACATTTCTTCGGCTGATATTTCACGTATCACAGTCGATACATAGGATCACGTAGACGGTTATCTTTGTCTTGTATATTTAAAGTCGAAATTAAGAATGGAATCAGATTTTTCTCATCTGGTATTCGCTGAATATGTTGCACGCTGCGTTCTTGTTGATATGTTTGCTATTACCTCATTATGTTCATAGTGATTGCTGTCGTTTACCATTCACCGATCGTGAATGCAATGTCCGTCGAGAAGGTCCTCATCGATACCAGGTTATGCCTGATCGTCGTTCAGGTCTGGTGAAAGAAAGTACAGAATGCTTCATCAATGATTTCGATGCGAATTACCGAAAGGTGGTGGAAACGAAAAATTATTGTAATGATTGTCCTGGTCTACTTATTCTACATACAAATTCGTCGGAAATTTTCCTATTTCCAGAATATCTTGAACGAATTCTCGAGGGACGAACACCGACACAACGGTAAGCAAAATCTATTTTTAGTTGAAAAATCTATCCAATTATGCTCAAATTTTATTTTCCAGAAAAAACGTGATTATATTAACAAAATCACTTGTTGGTGCATATGATTTAGATTTTTCCTTTCTCACACGTTTTTATACTGCACGACCGGTCGCAGATGTACCATCAATCTATGTCGATCTTCAATTACCAGTTTTCGATCCGAAACTTGAACATCAACCATCTCTACGTCTTCGTTTGCCTGTTTACGACGAAGATAAAGAAGGATTCACTAAAATCAGTAGACAAGAACTAATCAATCCATTGGATGCCACCGATTCAGCGACACTTAACGCACATCAGCTACCGTATCTGTACCATTTTGATATAGAAAAACATCATTATTCGCCAAGTAATTATTCAGATATCTTCTTGTTTAAACGCAGTTAGCTGGGCTTTTTTTTCTATTTAATAGATTTATGCACATTGAATAATGTTACTGTTTCATCTACTGGTCTTATGTGGAAAACAATCGACTCAGGAGCACCTACATGTCATACTTACATGCCGTTCTTAGGACGAAATCGATGTTTTGCCAGCGGTTTTACACGTATATTTTGTCCTATCGAAGAAAGTGTATCAACAGATGATACTCTTCAGTTATCTCTTTATGCTCAAGTCATTAATCATGTTGAACATTTAACTGTCGCTGTAACTGGTGGTCGTCATGTCGAAATGGCCTTAAGCAATCGTCAATTGTATCCCGCGGAACAAGTGAAAGTCCTTCTACTTCAAGGTCACTTGGCAGTGACTGATATTAATTTAAACTTATCTATTCGAGTGGAATACGGATGGAATTGTAAAGATTTTAGCTTGGCAGTTCCGGCTGGATTCAGTGCTACACGATATCGTCGTTTTGATGGTGAAAACTTGGCTATTTTTGAAAGCAACAGTGTTGTAACATTGCCAAGCTGCTTTAAAGTAATACCTAACGGAGCCCAAGCAGCAGCCGCTCTACTACGAAACACTCTCGAATCGACGACACTGCCATCGCCTATTGCTCCCCAACCTGTCGATCCAGCAGAAGAATACCAATTTGATGATAACGATGATTTACCTACTGTAGTGAAACCAGAAATCGTCGATGGTTTAAATGCAGCAAACAAAACAATTGTTGATCTGGAAAATCAAGAAAACTTTATAACATACTATTGGAATATCATAACTAGTGATAGCAGTATGTTACTTTTTATCGACAGATTGATTTATACGTCTACTTCTCTTTTAGATCTACCATATACTATCGTCGTTTTAATAGTATTAGTTGCGCTTATTCCTATATGTCTTGGTGTTTGCTATCGTGTCTATTGTGGTCAACATCGTCGATCTGATTGGACATTGGAACATCCTGCTCACATAACTTCGGCTTCTATGAAATCAAAAGATGAACTGAATAGTGTGTCCGTTCAATCTCACGTCAATATGTCAACTCAAACTACAGACACTCCAATTCGTATCTAAGAAAAATGTCGTTTTATTTTCTTTCTCTTTTTTGGTCAATGAATAAAATGCATTTATACATAGAAAAATTATTTTTGACAAGCACAAACAAACAAATACCAATCAATTGTTTGATTGATTAAATGCAACGTTAGAATATTTTCAGTTGTTCGTCACAATCAAACGGATATGTCTTGAAGAAGAACGAAAGAGAGAGTGAGAGAGAGAAAAACGTAAGAAAAAGAAAAAAAAATGTATACGAGAGTTGATCAAGTGTTATTTTATTTATACAAGTCTTTTTTTCTTTGTATATTTCTCCTCTGGTAAGTTCACGTACACCAAGCGGAGACGCAGACGTGATCATGACAGAAACGACGATACAAACATTTAATTCGTTGAACTTAAATTCCAAAAGACTCTACCAAAAACAAACCAATGTTTATAGAAATATTCCATCAGCGTATTCAATCAAGGTCTGTTCGGACGAATTTAAATAAGTTCAGAGTATAGAAAATTGATTTCTTTTCGAAAGGATTCTGTCAATACTGCAAATGCGAATAGTAATGACTGGCATCGACTTTTATTAGCTCGTTTGAAACCTGGTGTTGCTGGCAGATACGACACAACAAGAAAACCAGATACTAAATCTCATCGATGCGTATGTAAATCACCTTGAAAATTCCTTCGATTATGTTGCTCAGCAACATTGATTAATTTCAATTGAAATCGCTACTTTTTCTCTAGTTAGCAAGATCCTTTGAAACCTCAAATGTTACATTACAATCTTCTACTGACGAGTCATATATCATCAACGAACAAGAGATCGTTGTGGCACCTACAGGTGGAAATCTTTCGAATTATACATATTGATTTTCATAGTTGTTCTGTTCTAGATACACCCGAAGAATTCGAGTCTCTACTAGAAAGTTCGATACGAAGAGAAGGTCTCTATGTCAAAAATCTGATGCCATGTCGGTACAATGACCACATCACGTCGCTGAAACGTCGTGTTAGAAAGGTATGTTGATGAACACATCAAATAACTTCTCGCTGTTCATTCTTTGTCTTTATAGCAACAGTTAAAACATTTTCAGAATCAAATAGCTATCCTTCAAGAAACACCGCTTCGTGCATCATCACCAACCAACCTTTTTCTCATGTCATACGCTGAACAGCCACGACCATTACGTCGCTATAAACAAAAGAAGTCCACTTGTGTCGTGTCATTACCATTGTTAACAAACTCATCAACGAGAGCGATATCCAATCATATTTGTGACGATAAACTGAATCTCTATGAATGCTAGAAATTACGTTTCTCTTTCTCTCTCGCATGTCTTTCGTAATCTGTGATTATTGGTAGATTTTGTTTGATTATTTCTTGAAAAGATTATCTACACGTTGAATAATCATTCTCACCTTCGTTTCACGAACTATCGAACAGATCACAGGAGGAAGTCTTTCATTTTCGAATATTTTCGTCCTCGATTTTTTTTTCTATGAATGACTAGGAATGATCGCGTTAATTTAACATATAGAAAGGCATTATATTTTAGAAATAGGTAAATAAATATGGAACAAATAAATCACGAAAGTTTCTACTTCGTTTGCACATCATTTTACGAGGAAGAAAAAGGAGTTTACACAATAGGTTTCACATACATTTAGTGGCGGTGAAAAACATCATCATGATTGCTTTTTTTACTGTCAAGATTTGTGAGAAACTAAGCATGAATCAATGTGATTTATAGGCTTCATCTATGTCACGTCGTTGAGTTCGTTTTGACAGTGCTTAGCCACGTGAATTAATCAACTTTTTGAAATCTATTCCTACGAAATTCAATGAGCAGTGATGAAGTTTTTTTACTTTTGTCGGAAATCCTTGACAAAGATTATGAACAGGTTTATTCATTAAATGTTTTATCAATAAGATTCTTCGACGAGGTGGCCGAGCGGTTAAGGCGTTAGACTGCTAATCTAATGGGCTCTGCCCGCGTGAGTTCGAATCTCACCCTCGTCGCCACTTTTTTGCCATGGATTTTTTTTTGTTTTCTATTGTCTATGAAACTGTAAAAGACAATACGATATTTATTACTTGAAATTCGTTTTGAGTAGTTTTAGCGTTTACATAAAAGATTCTTTCTACGAAAATTTGCAATTCGACTACCTGTTCTCTTTTTTTCCTACAGACAAGTCGAATATTGTATGCATGAAGTATAATAACGATTGTTGATTGGATGATTGGACGGTTTGGAACGACCAATGCGATCATGAGTAGATATTTTATGGACACAAGTTAACGAATATCTCGTTCAGTTAGTTTTATATTGCTTAGAGATTTACCTTCTTCAAACTGAAAATGGGTAAAAAGAATCGAGAGCATAATTCTACAATATCATCAACATCTTCCACTCGTCAGCAAGATGAAACATTTGAATATTTAACGAAAACATTCAATCGTAAAGATGGACCTATACCAGTTAGTAATTTCAATCGTATAGAATCTGTGTCTTTTATATAAAATTTCTATAGGCAATGTGTGATGTTACTCGACCACATGTAGATTCATTCAACTGGATGCTTAAAGAAGGTCTCGTGAAAGCAGCTAGTGTAAGAAAAGAATACCACGGAAATTGTATTATATATTGTCTTTTTCAATGATTGTACAGGCGATCCTACCATTAGAATTCGAAACAAATAGCAAACTACGCGTGAAATTGAAATTTGTGGTAAGAGTAAACAATATGTTCTTCCTCTTCTTCTTCAAAATTTCATTCTCATTGTCAGAGTTTGGAAATCGCTCGGCCAAAAGCAAAAGTAGTTGCAGGCGCAAATCGTCTCAGTCATTATGTTTATCCTGCTGAAGCTCGTATGGGTAAGAGTACATACTCAGGAACTTTACATGCTCGTATCCATGGCGAAGTATTCGATCAAAATGGTAAACTGATTGGACGTGAATCATACGATCGAAGTCTTGGACCAATACCTGTTATGGTTCGAGTATGAACAGCTCAATCTTCATTCGCCTGTCTGGTATTCTCAAGTGCACTTTTTTCTTTTAGAGTGACGCGTGTAATTTAGCCAATATGAACACGAAAGAACTATGTTCAAAATACGAAGAACCAAATGAGAATGGTGGATATTTTATTGTGAAGGGTTATGAACGTATTGTACGTTTATTGACAATGACAAGACGAAATTATGTATGAAAACAAAGTTGATAATGATTGTTGTTTGAGCTTAAGTTTGATTTTAGCCAATAGCGATGTCTCGTGGACGATGGCGACAACGTGGTCCGGGATTTACGGATCGTGGTGTTCAAATTCGGTGTTTATCTGATGATCAACGCGGCGTGGTAAGATCGCTGTTGACTTCAAAAGCAAAACCCTAGTCTCTAATTCGTTCTAGGAAAACACACTACATTATTTGGATACTGGTGCTATATCACTTGCGTTTATGTTCCGGAAAGAAATGTATTTCATTCCTGTTATAATGATACTCAAAGTAGAGTGAATTACCATTTTCAAAACTTGATTTATATCTGCAATTATAGATGTTAGCTGATGATAACACATCTGATCGAGAAATTCATGCTAATCTCATGCGTGGTACTTATAAAAATAATAGTGCATTGGACAGGTAGTTTAAAGTAGATCGATGCTCATTGGAACAAATAGATGAACGTGTTCTTCTTGTATAGTAATATCAAATATATGCTTCGTCAATTACAAAAAACTTACTGGAATGAACAACCGTTGATTACACGTCAGTTAATCATTGACTATGTTGGTTCACATTTTCGGACGCGTCTCCAACGACCATCATGGCATACCAATGCTGATATTGCGCGTTATTTACTAGATAATTACATATTGATTCATCTGAAAAGTGATAAAGCCAAATTTCAAATGCTAACGTTCGTATAAAACCAGTGTTTCTATAAATGAAACTATGAGTTTGATTTAGATTCATGATTCGGAAACTATTTTCTTACGTGCGAGATGAATGTAAAGCTGAAGATCAAGATGCACCATCTATGCATGAAATTCTTTTGCCCGGTCATGTCTATTTAGCATTGCTTTCTGTAAGATTACTTTGGCTATGCTTCGCACAGGAACACCTTCTGTCTTTCGGTTTTCTAGGAACGATTAGAAACATGGTTAATATCCTTGCGCGAAACTTTCTTGAAATTGAATAAAAGTACGAAGACATCAAACGATGCGTCTATAACTACAAGTGCGTAAGTGTCGTTTACCAACGGAATCGTTAATATCTTCGTTTTTATTTGCAGAACTTCGTCTAGCGATGGATACCATGGATAAAGAACAGATAGCAAAAGCTTTTGAACACTTTCTAGCAACTGGAAATCTGAACTCCAAAACCAATCTAGGTCTAAGACAGGTAACCTCCGTTGATCGATTACACATAGAAATCAATGTGAAATCTGATCGTTTTTAGACTAGTGGCTTCTCTATCATTGCCGAACGTTTGAATATTCTTCGATTTATATCTCATTTTCGTTCCGTACATCGTGGTGATGCATTCACAGAAACCAAAACGACATCAGTTCGGAAATTGCTGCCTGAAGCATGGGGTTTTCTCTGTGCTGTTCACACTCCTGATGGTTCTCTGTGCGGTCTACTCAATCATCTATGTATGACATGTCAAGTGACACAAGACACGCCGACGAATACATCCATCGATGCTCTAATTGATACATTACTTTCGTATGGTATGCGACGTGCACCATCGTTAGATATTGATTGTTACGACGTCGTTCTTGATGGACAAGTTGTGGGGTAAGTTTCGTACGTTAGAATGACTTTTTCTTTAGAAAAATATCTTTTGTATAGATTTGTTGACGACAATCAAGCGCCATTAATTGCTGCACAACTTCGATTTGATAAAGCTACGGGCCACCGTCGTCGTTCGGGTGTTGCCGAACATTTGGAAATTGTTTTAGTACCAAAGGAACCACATGGATTGTATACACTTTATCCAGGTCTCTTTATTTTTACAACACCTGCTCGAATGATTCGACCAGTAATGAATTTGTTAACTAAAACTACCGAATACGTTGGTACATTCGAGCAAGTCTATCTTGGTATATGTATAACACACGATGAATTCGTACCTGGAGTAAGAACGAGACACATTGTGAATTCGAAATCTTTACGTATGATTTTTCTTAGCATACAACTCATCAAGAATTAACACAATACAATTTCTTGTCAATCACAGCCAGTTTAACACCTTTTAGCGAATACAATCAATCTCCTCGTAATATGTATCAATGTCAAATGGGTAAACAAACAATGGGTACACCGACATTAGCATATCGAAAACGAAATGACAATAAATTATATTATATTACCACACCACAAGCACCACTCATTCGAACACGTGTTTATAATCAATATGCACTTGATGATTATGCCATGGGTACCAATGCCATCGTCGCTGTACTTTCCTATACTGTAATTTCTTCTTCAATTCAATGCGAAATATGCGTCTCTATTGATATTTAGGGATATGATATGGAAGATGCTATGGTTATCAATAAAAGTTCGATTGAACGAGGTTTCGCTCATGGTGCGATATATGCATCTGAAGTTAGTTTCATTATCAATATCGATAAGAGCTATTGCACGTTGATTTTTTCGTCTTAGTTAATCGATTTACAAGAATTGGTTACGGATAGAACTGATCAAGGAAAACATCCGCTTGTCTTTTGTAAGTATTCGAATATTGAATTTGTAAACAATATGATGTGGGCTTATTTCTAGCTTTGGACACGAAAAATCCTCTTTGGCGTCATTTGGATGCTGACGGTTTACCTGTCATTGGCTCAACGATTCAGCCTGATGAGGTTCTTTGTTGTTATTTGAATACATTGACTCAAGAATACAAAACAGTGCGATATCATAAGAAAGAACCAGCATATATCATGTCAGTAACACTCGTTGGCGACGAAGACGGAAAATTACCAAAATCCAAAGTATGGATTATGTATCGTATTATGGTAAATATATCCTCTAAAATTTTATTTCAATTTTGCGAATAAAGAGTTGTATTCTTCTTAATCTATCTTAGCGTACGCCTATTATCGGTGATAAATTTTCGTCACGTCATGGTCAAAAAGGTGTTTGTTCACGTTTGTACCCAACAGAAGATTTACCGTTCACTGAATCTGGTCTTGTACCTGATATTATATTCAATCCTCATGGTTTTCCATCTCGTATGACTATTGGTATGTTATTAGAATTCATGGCCGGCAAATCAGCTGTTTTGCATGGTTTATCACACGATGGTACCCCATTTCAATTCAACGATGACTATCCGGCTGTTGATTATTATGGCCGACTACTACGAGCCGGTAAGTGCGAACAAGAAGCACACACTGATCGATCTAATTATTCTTTTGTTTAGCGGGATTTAGCTATTATGGAACTGAATCGATGTATAGTGGTACAACGGGTCTTCAACTTGAAGTCGATATCTTTGTGGGCGTTGTTTATTACCAACGTCTTCGTCATTTAGTTAGTGACAAATTTCAGGTGAGGCAAACAAAAATATATAAACTTTTTAATCTCTATCTGATTATACTAAAATACAAATCAGGTACGTACAACTGGACCTGTGGATGCATTAACTAATCAACCAGTGAAAGGTCGTCGTCGTGAAGGTGGTATCCGTGTTGGTGAAATGGAACGTGACGCTCTCCTTGGGCACGGCGTTGCTGGTATTCTTTTAGATCGTCTTCTCCATTGTTCAGATGAAACACGTGCATACGTATGCACACGTTGTGGTTCATTACTATCATTAGTCAAAACAAAAATCGGTTATGTCTGTCGATATTGTTGTGGTTCATCATCGAATACGGTTCAACGTGTCACGATACCATATGTACTACAGTATCTTATCGCTGAACTCGCTTCTGTTGGTATTAAAACACATTTTGATACGCAATCAGTTGTACGAAATTTTGTTTTGTCTTCTCAATGAGATAGACATGTGGGAAAGAAATAAAAATGTTGTGTTTTTCGAAAAATAATTACGTATCGATCCGAACGGAAAATGGCCTATGCACATGTGCTCTATCACTTCGTTGTACTATTTCAATCTATACATTGATACGAAAGTAGTAAGATATTTTTATTCCGTTACATATTATGGCTTCACAAGTTATAGAGTTTTTTTATGATTTGATTAGCAATATATACAAACAAAAACGAAATGGCAACCTTTACGTTCGTCGGATCGTATGAATATGAGTTGACAAATAGAGTCCATAGGAAGACTATCCTATGTAAAGAGATGAGAACAAATTGACTGAATGTAATTAAAGTTCTGCGAGAAGTAGCTGCCGAAAAGAACTGTTGACTGTGGGTGAGAAAGTAAATGACGAATGCAGCGTTGAGTCATAGGGTATCTAGGTATGACTTCGTCTAATAACAATTATCAATTTTCCATTACACAGAATAAATCATTCTGTAAGTCATTGAGTATGACTAATTTAAAAAATTTTTACGCTTTTATCGACTGGTCATGTTTTTCGTTACAAAAAGGGAGTAGTTTCTCTTCCACCCTATAATTATTATTTGAGAACAAGATGAATAGATTGAATATTGACGGTATTATTCTAAATATAAACACACGTACTCATAACAAGAAATCAACAAAAAAAGAACCAAGCGCAGTGGTAAAGGAACAGCATAGGTATATGTATGAAAAGTTTGTAAAGTCGAAAGGGAAGGGAGAGAGAGAGAGAGAGAAAGAAAGAGAAAAGGTTTAACGATACACTCCACAGTCCTGATTCTCCATTTCAAAAAGTACATTCAGTATAAATAAGACAAATTTTCCAATCTAGACGTTGTTACTTTGTGACATACAGTGAACAAGAAGTAAGTTATAATAACTATGAGAGATTCGATGAATGACGTGCCTGTTTAGTGAGCGATAAAAATAAAAAAGAGAAACGATCTCCAAGAGAAGACAAAGACAAGAAAGAAACACGAGTTGAACTCCCACCGCCATCGCCACCGGATGGAAACTGGCAAACGATTGATGTGGAAACACTTTACGATAAAGAAAAATGCGATTTGAACAGATATGAAATAGAAACAGTATTCAAAATACTTGAGTAAGAGTAGCAACTTTCTGAATCAAATCTAGCTGATTCTTATCAATGTGCATAGAACGTCATCTCAAGGTTTAACCGACGATCAAGTTCATGAGCGTTTGGAAAAGGTAGGTATAATCTTACTTGGAGAGTTTATCGAGTATTATTTTTTCTGATCAGTTTGGGGAAAATAAAATTGAACATAAAGAGCGACATCCAGTGATTCAATTTCTCCTATTCATGTGGAACCCACTATCTTGGTAATATATTCTTACTATTCGACAGTATCCATCACTTTTCTGTTGAAGGGTCATGGAAATAGCTGCAATTGTTGCTATTGCATTAAGTAATGGCGAGGGAGAACCTCCAGATTGGCCTGATTTTGTGGGCATTATTTTGCTTCTTTTAATTAATGCAGCCATTGGTTACATTGAAAAATATCGGGCCGGTAATGCAGTGAAGGCATTGATGGCATCGTTAGCACCTGAATGTCGAGTCAAGCGTAATAATAGTTCATGGGTAACAATCGAAGCTAGTCAACTAGTGCCTGGTGATATTATTGCTATTAAATTAGGTAATATTATTCCGGCTGATGCACGGATCATTTCATCACCAGGTGGAGTTATTTCGATCGATCAAGCAGCGTTAACTGGTGAATCGTTGCCAGTGACAAAGGAAGTCGGTGATATTCTTCTCTCATCAACAACCTGTAAGCAAGGCGAATGTGACGCTGTTGTCATTTCCACAGGAATCAATACTCAGTTCGGCCGCGCTGCTCAAATGGTTGGCGGCTCAAGAGATGAAATGGGTCATTTACAAAAAATCCTAGCTAAAATTGGCAATTTTTGTATGGTTGGCATTATTATTTTTATCATTGCTGAAATCTTTGTTATGTACGCTGGCTTTCGATACAGTTATCGACGTGGTATCAATAACATCTTAGTTTTACTCATTGGGGGATTACCTATAGCCATGTAAACAACCTTTGATTGATGATCACAGAAATAATGAATTCATGTTCTATTTTAAGGCCAACGGTTCTATCTGTGACTTTGGCCATTGGTGCTAAACAGTTATCGGATCGCAAAGCAATTGTAACACGGTTTACAGCTATTGAAGAACTTGCCGCCGTTACGATTCTCTGTTCGGATAAGACTGGAACGTTAACGTTGAATAAATTGATCATTGATAGGGAGACAATTATCAAATATACAGATATTGAAACCGACGATATCATTCGATATGCTGCATACGCCTGCAATCGAGAAAATCCTGATGCAATGTAAGTCGATTACGTAGATCATAATAGTTATTCTCTATTGTATTCAAATGATTTTTTTAGTGACACATGTGTATTAGAATCGTACGATAATGTAGACTCAATCAATAGTTCGATTAATGTTCAGTCATTTATTCCATTCGATCCAACAACGAAACGAACTGAAGTTACCTATCAAGATAAGTCAGATTCAAAGGTTCATCGAGTTTCGAAAGGTATGCCTGATGCAATTTTAAATGTATGTAAAGCAACTGAACACGCTGACAAAGTGCGAAAGGATGTCAACGAGTTTGCTAAGCGAGGCCTACGTGGTTTAGCTGTTGCTATATCCGATGGTGATGAAAATTTTAAATTAATTGGATTGTTACCAATTCTTGATCCGCCAAGGGAAGACACAGCCGAAACAATCAAACGAGCAGTCGAGCTAGGCGTTCGGGTGAAGATGATTACCGGAGATCAGTTAGAAATTGCAAAAGAGACAGGTCGACGTTTGGGTATGGGTGATACGATGTATGTTTATGAAGATTTAATGCGTGAACATGGCAAATCGGAAAATGATGAATCAAAAATGAACGAAATTATTTTGGATGCAGATGGGTTTGCTAGTGTATTTCCTGAACATAAATTCGAAATTGTCAAACGACTGCAAGACATGGGCCATCTAGTTGCTATGACTGGTAAAATGTTGCCTTTCATACTACATATCATACTTCTTTTTGCTTCTTAAAAGGTGATGGCGTCAACGATGCACCGGCTTTATCGAGAGCTAATGTAGGCGTTGCTGTAGCAGATGCTAGTGATGCAGCGCGTTCAGCTGCTGCAATTGTGTTAACTGAGCCAGGTCTATCAGTTATCATCGATGCCGTACTTGGCTCGCGACAAATTTTCGCTCGCATGTCGAGTTATGCGATTTACACATGTTCTGTTACAATCCGTGTCATTGTCGCATTTGCTCTATTGATATTCATATTCCGTTACGATTTTCCGCCATTTATGATCTTGATTATGGCTATACTGAACGATGGTACAATTATGACGATATCCAAGGATCGTGTCGAACCCTCATTACAACCGAACAAATGGCGTTTGAAGCGAATTTTCATCTCAGCTATTGTTTATGGTCTTTACTTATCGGCATCGACTGTCGTTTTCTTTGCAATTGTTGTTAAAACCAATTTTTTTCAAGATCATTTCGGCGTTAACACATTCGAAACGACAACTGATGGTGGCTACAAGCACGGGCGTCTCCATGCAATGATTTATTTACAGGTATCATCAATTAGTCAAGGTTTAATTTTCGTAACACGCGCTCGAGGTTTCTGCTTTACCGAGCGCCCCACCATACTTTTAATTGCTGCATTTGTTATCACACAATTATGCGCAACATTAATTGCCGTCTATGCTGAGTGGGGTTTTACAGATATACGTGGTTGTGGATGGGCTTGGGCAGGTAATCATAATTACTAACTATTGTTCTTTCAACTCTCATCGCTCTTCTCTCCTTAGCAATTATTTGGATATACAATCTAATTTGGTATATACCATTGGATTATATCAAATTCGCCCTTCAAGCAGTTCTCGAACGTAGTTTACATGCAGTTAGTCCATTCGAACATCTACATCGTCGTTTGATTGCATCGCAAAGTACTGTGACGCCATATGACGGTCTTCAACGAAAGATCAGTGACCGTCGAGAGCAGAGACGTCAATCACAAACCGAAGTATCACTCACTGAAGATTCAAATGTATGCTTGCCAGCAAAATTTGACCACGTAACGGAAACCGGATCGTCATTCTATTCACCTTACACAGAAACACTATCGGTTCTAAAGACACTAAATCCGTTATTGAGTCCCTCACCTAAAACTTAATATCTATTCGTCATTTTCTTCCGTCGTGTTTTTGTTTTGGTTGTAAATAGATATATCAAACTATTTTAATTCCGCAAATAAATAAATCAATATACTGTGACAGGACAGGATCTAATCTTGCTCGCATAAACATATGAAAAGGCTCTTCTGTCAATTCATTGAAGGTGGGTGACATCTTTCATCGTCAATGATTGGTAGTTGCATGTCGATACATCAATACATTCGATCATACTCAGAGGCATGAACAAGCAAGCAAAACAATTTTGAAGAGAAAATCAATTTTGTTTTAACTTAAAAATGTTTGTTTTTTAATGTTATAACCTTGATGGCTTTCACAATCTTTTCACGTAAATTCCATTCACAGTTGGACATTTATCGCTTTGCTAAATGTCAACAGATCGATTGACAACTAAGAAGATATAATGTCTAGTTTTGATGACTTATCAAACCGACATCAATGCTTTCTCGTTCTCTATCGATGATGGACAGCTTGTTGATTAGTCGCTAAATGCTTGTTTTTTCTTCTGCTGATAGATTCTCACTTTCCTATAAATACACAACCATGGATGATGATCTCTTTCCATCAAGTCCTTTCCTAGATCCGTCATTCGCGGAATTTATCGATCCTGTCGATAACTACAACGCTAGCGATCTATCAACAACAATAATGTCATCACCGGTAACGACAGCTGGTACTGGTGTCGAAGTAACGTTAAATGCTACGAATGAACATGTGGAGTCGACCAGTAAATTTTTCAACAATCCGCTTTTTTCCGATGCTCATTTTCGAGTTGGAACGCAAACATACCATGTACACAAATTTATTCTGGCAAAAGCTAGCGATGTTTTAGCAACGCTTCTCTATTCTCAACAATGGGCATCACCCAGTGGCGAGATTCTACTTGAAGAACAAGACGAATGTCAAGGCGAAGTATTCGAAAAGTAAATTTTCAACAAGCTATTCTTCATATTTGAAAAATGTCTCTTCCATTTCTCTTGTAGATTTCTGAAATTCTTTTATACGGCGCAAGTTACACTTGATACAACTAATATCCTCGGCTTATTATGTCTCGCAGATAAATATAACGTACAACCGTATGTAATTAGACAAACATGCTCCTCTTTGCTAATCATTCCATTGTGTTTTAGTTTACGTAATTTATGCTCGCAGTTTATGACTATGAAAGCTAAACCGCCCAACGTTCGTAACGCTATTGCATGGTATTCGATATCAAAGCAATTTTCTCTGAATGATTTAGGTGTTATTTGTATGCACACGGTGGCATGGAATATCGAATATCTTTTATCACCAACAAATCAAAATGAATGGTATCAATGTGATATTGATTTTATCCGTGATTTACTCTCTACATCAAATCTCGTTCTTTCTAATGAATATTGCTTATACGTAGCTGTTAGCGATTGGTTACTAGCGCGTTCCTCGAATACACTACTTCAAGCCTACGCTCATGAACTTTTACCATTAATACGTTTCTCGCAAATGTTACCGATACAATTACATCAAGTTGAACAGTCAGTTTTATATCAGCGAAATGATATCGAACAGATTCAAGATCTATTAAAACGTTTACTATGTCAAGCATACCGATTTCACACGTTAGCGCCGTTGAGAAGAGAAATTCATAAACCAGAATTCGTGCCATTAGAATGGTATCTGCCAAGACAATACACTGAAATGAACATTACGTAAGTGAAGAGTTCTTCGAGATTGATTGTATTCGAATTGAAATAGGGATCGGGTGGACATTCAATCCACGCTCCGATTCGGTATTCAAGTTGACGTTCAAACCTCGTCATCGCCTGTTCCATCAGTCGATCGAACTGCTGACTGGAAAGTTGTGTACCGAAAACGTAGCCACGATAAATGGACACTTAAGGTACATCGCCACGACGCAGTTTATGAAACCCATGCTCAAGTGACAGCAATCATTTATGATAATGAACGGCGTGTTCTACAAGTTGAGCAAAGTGAAACATTTACATTCACAACATCGAATCAATATGAACTGGAAATCGTTTTGAGTAATCCATCGGAAGCGAAAGAATTGTATCTTTTAATTAAACCAGTTATTCCCTAATGTAGTTTTGTAAATATTTTATTTTCTAGTCAAGTCAAATAAAATGAAAAAGAAATTTATCCGATCAATCTTTTCGCTAAACTTCCTATTCTAGTGTTTATTGCATGCGGCCGGTAGTGTCGAATTCAATCTCATTTGATCGATACTATTCCATAAGTCCGTGTCTTTTGATGAAACACACAGAATATTACTGTGTTGAACGTCGAATTTATCATTCCAACACTCGCTAATACGTATGACACCGGTTTTGCCTATGATATAACAAACGTAGCCTAACTGGGTAAATTTGGATGTTTCCATTTGTAGTGTTGTATTCAGCCACGCAGCTTCTTCAAGAACGAATATGTTTGAGAAAATATATTTATGAAAGAAGAAATTTACTTTACTTTTCAAATGTTCGAAAATAAATAATCGAATGCGATGTTGTTGTAGTAAACGTTGAGCTCCTTGAAAAACCAATGGTTCGTACCCTTCGGTATCGATTTTAATTATATCTATCACTGACAAGTTGTATTTATCAGCAAAATGATCTAATGTTACTGCATCGATCTCGACTTGTTGATCAGGAGAAGTGTGCGATACGTCTAGGCTGCACACTTCATTGCCAGTATTACATTTTTTAAATAAAACTTTGCCGACATAACTAGAAATATACGAAATCGATGTGAAAAATGATCTGGCTCGCTATGAGATCGGAATATATTTACTTGCTGACTGCCATACCATGGGTATTCAATGTAGAATTGTGTTTTGCACTGATATTCATCCAATTTTGAACGCTTTTCAGAGCTTCGACTGTACCTGGTTGAGGTTCGAACGCATGAATATTTAACGTCACATTTTGTTTAGTATTTCGTCGTTTAAATGGCACATCTTTGCAATCATTGCATGAACCGCAGGCTTCAGTTAATGCTGGATTTCGCAGGAGAAAGTCGTATAAAACAGCCTGGTTGATATTCAATTTCGGAAGAAAAAATGCTAACCATGTCGCAACTGCATAAGCTTTATTTGCGCCAACGTCTAGGAGAGTATATTTCGATGAATGAGAGTTGTCAAACGCCATTAAGTAGAAATCACCATAACAACCTGACCATACCGGTTGAAACGACGAAAACAATGTTCCATGCTGATGCTTTTCTTCCAATGTACATTCTCGCACAATACATGAGTGAGTTTTTCGCTTTTCAAAATGAAAATTAGGAGTAAGAATCGCTTTCGACGAAATCAGTTTCGCGGAGAGTTTCACCAGCGATAGTATTACGACTATGGATATAAGATAGAAGATCTGCTTCTTTTTCCAGCACCAGATATAGTTCTTCATGCACATGTTCAAACTTATTGCAACTTAAGCCATTAACATGAACAAAACGCAGCCATACACAAACGTCATCTGTTCACATAATCAACGATCTACAAAGATTTACGGAACACTCTGATGCTTTTAGTGTTGTATAAATTTTAAAAAATAACAAAATCGACGTGTGCTCCACATGTCATACGTCCATTTTGAAGTTAAAATCCATTGAAGAATTTGTTGTTTTCTCTTACATCCATCTCTAAAGATAAATTACATATGCATCTAACTAAAAAATGGGCGCAAAAGATATTTTCAACCGATTTGACGTACTATAATACCTAAAGCTTGCATAATGTGCAATCAACATGAGATATATGTGATCAAAGAAATTAAGAGAAACATTTTTGGTGAAAATGAAATAGACGCAGATCTGTTTGAAGAACGCACTCAACTTGATTGCAATATTTCCTGTGAGTTTTAAAGCAACTGAGAACGTGGCAGAAGTCTTCGCCATATAATACTCATTGTGTGGTCATGAATCATTTAGAAAAATATTTCATGTTTTAGAATCAGTAACGATCTTTTGAATGCGACGACTGCACGATATTTATCACTAAAAATCGCCCAAATCAACTTTCTTTTTGTAATTTATACACAAATAAGCTATAGAGGAAATCAGAATCTAGAGTGCTTAATTTCTCTCCTGAGGGGAAATTAAAATTATAATATTTGTCATTCTAAGGCTTTAACTTTCTCAGTCTTACGAGCGAAAAACAAGAGTATTAACGAGAAAAAGAACTATCATGAGAATGTAGTGCATCATCTGACCTACATGGTGACACACTCGTTCATTTGAACTGTCATTGTTACTCTCATTCTCAATGTCGAGATCATACAAGCTCACACATAAATAATAGACGCACTGCATCTTCCAATATGACACGCAAAAGCAGTCAGTCCGAATAGGGAGTTTTACTCTTTTCATCGTTACCACACTACAAAGTTTGTTCTGTTTTCTTCGTAGGAACTGACGGGTTGGATGTTTAATTGAGAGTCTGTGTGTTTTGTAGAACATAACAAGCAGTAAGCATCTCAATATACATGTTAAAAGAGAAAAATGTCATTTGTTGTAATTCAGAAATACTTTTCTCACAAACAGATGTTCTTTTTTACATCGCTGGTTTACATTTTTACACTTCAAAATATTTTACTTTTAATTTTTTTTTCTTGTGCGATTGTGAGAATATGTCAGACAATCTACTAAAATGCTCGTTTATCCGATTTCTTTCTCATTTACTACTGTTCTTATTTGCTCTAGATTTCATTAACTATCGCACATCCTTCAAACTCGGAAGTAGTTAGTCAAGTAGCTGGGTCCGGTATATTTTGCCGGTAATCATTTTACCGACAATCACTTTGCCGACGCCGTTTTGCCAAAAATTTCAAAACATAAAATTCCATTTAAAACGAAATTCCGAGAGTATCCGATGCAACATTCACGTTTAACCATATTTCTGCCATGGCTACAATATTTTCCCCTAATTCTTCTCCTACACCCTCCTCTAGACCTTCCCCTACGCCATCTGAATTCTGATCGTCAAAATAATGTTGACCATACAAGCTCAGATTAAAGTGTGTTTGTCGGCAAAGTAATTGCGACCCATGTTTCCTAATGATTTCTCGTTTAGAAATCATTTTCCCCCGCCTTGGTATTCACCTAGAGTAACACTCCGATTGTTTACAGATAAATATTCAAAAACTCATTTATGTATGTGTATTTAAGAATAATAAATGTAAGCAATCATCGAAATGATATAAATAACTAAAGAAAAAAGAAATAGTTCCAACGTATGTCAAAAATTTTTATTTGTTCAATTTCTTTCTTTGTACAGTAACTGAAGAGAAAATCAAGACTACTGATACATATGCTAGTATAATGCATCTTTTCTTGTGAAAATTTTCTCTTGTCGGTTAAAAACAAGTCGTTAGTGTGACCATTGTGTTTCGAATTTTTATTGTTTCTCGTTTTCCTTGGTCACACGTGCCATAATTACAAGAATATCATCTGGTTTGACGTAATAACGAACAGCGTGATTAACCAAACAATTAGCAGCATGTTTCAACGAATGATTCTAAAGAGAAATCCACGAGATAAAGCACAATGATAATGTGTTCATTTACTTTCGAGAGAATTCGTTCGATTAAACGATCAGGAACGTTATCGAAGAGACCATCAGTAGAAAGAATAATAACATCGTCTAATTCTAATTGGAAATTCTGACAGATTGCATCAAGACTCCTAAATATCCACAAGAAAAATCAATGTTAAATCGCTAAATCACTGATAAATTTCAAGGAAATGAATATAACTAAAGCCTTGTTTTTATCTCTGATTATGTCATGCTGAAGGTTCAATCGACACATTAAAAAAGCGCTTTTTCGCTCTTCCACAATAATGATTCTCATATTACTTATGTGATAGTCCAAGGCGAAAGGAAACTTACGATATTTGAGTATAATTGAGGCCTTTTCTTTTTAATGATGCTGTCCAGGGATAAACATCCAATTGTCTTGGACAATCACCGTTCATTTTTTGTGAACGTGATCGATATACGACTCGACCTTTTCGAACAATCACATAACCTGAATCACCAATATTAACTGAGTGAAGTTGACCAGTTTCACAATCGACGCCGACCACACATGCTGTTGCACTACCTATATGATACAGACGAGCAAAGCGTATAAGTCACAAGAGAAAATGGGGAAGAGTATAGACCATAACAGTTTTCTGTTTGAACACGATCGAACGCATGACACAGAAGACGCTTGGGTTCACTAGTGGAGTATTTGCCTGAGTCAGCAAGAGTTGAACAATTGCGCATTAATGATTCCGAAAAAAGACGTGGATCAAAGCCGTACATTAAATTACCACCGGCGCCATCCGATATTCCTAGAAGAAAGATGTTCAAATGTCAAGACTCTGCGAAGAGAACAGCGTTTTTACCAAAGAAATTCTTGAGTTTGTGTCGTATTGTAAAACCTGCATCATCACCAAAACATCCGTTAGTTAAAGAGAAGTTTTCGTGTGGAACAGGTAAACGCATATTCTTTTTCATCCCACATGTTGCAAACTCTAGTGAAAGACTCGAATTCTCACGTGAGACAGTTGGCGGTGATAGTTTTTCATGGGCTTGTCTGGCATGTTGATGATGTCGACGATAGTGATGATGATAACGATAAATATCAGTTAACGGTTGAGTATGTTCAGCCGGTTTACTCAGTTCACTGTAGAGTTTCTCCGAGTAAAAATCCTCAGTAATGTCAACATAATCATGCATATGACTGCGGTAAGCAAATGAACAGGTCGACACTCGTGTTAAATCTGGAGACGAAATTTCTTGAAAGACTTTTTTCGTTGTTGATGATTTGGAAAGTTGTTGGTTATATCGATTTAGATAATGTTTAAGATTCTCCACATCAGCATCGGATAGTTTGTAAGACGAACGATTAGTTGTTTTTTTCGATGAACTGGTTTTGAGTATATCTTTACCAATATCGTCTAACCCAATAATCTCGAATTGAACATCAGGCATTATGATATGTTTATTGTGCTAGAAAAACGACCTTTATTCAATGCTATTGTTTGGCCTCCATATCAATAATCTACAATACAAAGAAGTGTTTTTGTTGTTGATAGGATGAAATATTTGTATCTCTGTCTAACTAACTCGAGTGAATATATAGTCTGTGTTGCTTGATTGATTCAACAGAACGAAAGATGAAAAAAAGAATGAAGAAGAGAACGAATGAACGTGTGTAAAAACGTCGAAGCATTCGACCGGAACAATAATAACTAGGACGTTTGTATGTCAATGGTCAGGACATAGATGTTCGCTCTCTCTTGTTTGAAATTTCGTTCCGATGTACGAGCATTGAACGTTCGTTTGGAAGATGTTGTGTGAGAAATATCATATCATATTGTGATACGTCCTTGTTTTATATCTAAATATTGATAAGTGAAATGAAAATCAATTTTGTACATAATTAGATGTCCCATGGTTTTTAAAATAAAGAGAGAGAGAAAGAAAGAAAGGGAATTGTTTCCTATTACGTAGTCATAAACATGTCTTTGAACACTAGTCGTTACATATATGCACATTACATAAAATTGTGATATATGGATATCATTAACAGCAATTTAGAAAATTTCTTTTGACATTTAAACTCTATCGAGTAATACTATTGAATGAAGAACGATGATGTGACATGAAATTGACATGACAAGTAGGTTTATTCACTGGGATATGTAGTTTATTTAATTGATAATTAAAGAAAAAAATTCATTGTCAATGTCTTAGCCCAGGTGTGTTTCTGCTTAGAAATCTTTGGTTGCACAATGAAGATAAACGGCAGCATCGTGAAGAGCTTCTGGTGTGTAGTAGTGAAGAAGATCGTTCTTCCAGAAGGCCCATGTTTCGGAATCGGTCAATTTTGGAATTGGACGGTCGAGTAGAGTAATTGGTGTACCTGATTCATAATGGGCAGCGATCCATTGAACAGCTTGAAAGATACCGTTGGATTCAACATCCAAAACGCATTTGCAGATGGATCCGCTTGGTTTGGTTTTCAATTCACGGACTTCTTTTTGAAGACGGAGCCATAAATCCCACATATGAAATTTGTGGACTATTCGTTCGGTTGATGACCAGTGAGCACCAAGACCATCATCGGATTTGCCGATCATAGAGAGGATCTAATGAGAGAGAAAAATTGATTTGTTGAGTGGAACAAAAAGAGAGAAAATGTGTTTTTTTAAACAAACTTTGTCAATCATATTCATGGTGAAATCGAAGTAATCGGATGGAAGTTGGTCGTTTGGTGCATACATAAGAACTTTTTGTCCGTTTTTGTCATGCAAGTTGTGATTGACTGTTGGAATTGTATTCTTTTCAGTAGCACGTGGATTAAAGAGTTGTAAACCTTGAACCGTCATTGAATGAATTGCGTGAGCAATACTTTCGTTGTAATTCGCTGAAAGGCCGCCAGCACGTAACTGCATAGTACATCGTGAACGTGGTATAGCACCATGAACGAGAGCTAAACTAGCAAGGAGAACAGCAAGAAATACTTTCATTATGCGAATTGTTTTGTTCCTGAATGGAGAGACAACGAAATAATGATAAAACAGTTTTATTTTAAAAATTTACTTTTCACTTTCGCCTGAAATGGTATTACACTGCTAGACTTTGTTCTTTATATAGAAGTAGTATAACTGATGACATGCGCAAAAAAAGAAGCAGAGATAAGATACTGAAATGCATTCAAGTGGCGCATGATACTGCACTTTGTGCGATTCAGCTGACATCATTTTGAGAAAGCTTTCGTGCACTTGCAAGTTCTTCACCTCTCTACCAGTTTATTGCATCCTACGGCGATGAAGAGCTAGTTTTGAGTAAGCACTTTTTATTCCCAAACAAGCGATTTCGATGCAAAAAAATCGACGATAGTGCAGCAAGTTGAAGTCGGTATTTTTTATGCAATATAACGAATATTTACACATGATAGTTGAAAGGTAGTGTGTTGACGTTGACAGATTCTTTAGTCGTTAGCAGTGAGTGATTCACATGAAGAGATTTCTATTCTTTTATTTCAAACAGAAAATTTAGGTAAAACGAAACTAATATTGAACGGAAAAGTACATGTAATCAAGTTTAATTGTTTTTATGGATAAAGCCATTGATTCAGATCTTGGAGCTTACCTAGATATTCGATTGCATGAGCAGCTGCTTTAACCATATGAAGGTAAGCGAAAGTATTTAAATTTTCCAATGTGTCACATTTTCTATGATAGCATGGATCAAGGTCGGCATTAGCCATTCCTTTAAAGGCCGGGCCTAACATATTCGAATACCGATCACGTTGCTCTTCAGTTCTAACATCATCCGCACCTGAGAATAGGCCGCCACATGCTATACCTTCAGCAAGGAAAGGACCATAATCACTTCGACCACTGAATTCTGTATAGTCCCACGGTAGATGATTTCGATCAAAATATTCTGTAAATAGACGCGTAATTCGGTTACTACCAGGTAATGCACGCACTGGAGTCGTTTGATTATTAGCTGTTTTACCGTCATAAACTCCAAAGATAAAGTTCGGTGATGCTAACATATCAAAATTCAGGTTTACAGAATATGCACTAAGTGAACCATCGGCTTTAGCTCGTTTGACGAAATTTTTTGAACCTAATAAACCGGCTTCTTCTCCGCCCCACCAACAGAATTTTATACGAGAATGCATAGTCAACCCATAGTTTGTATAAGTCAATAAACGTGCTAAATTCAGTGCAATTGCTAATGTTGCTGCAAATCCACTACCATTGTCATTCAAGCCAGGGCCTGAAAATCAAGAAGTAGCCGACAGTGCTCATTCTTACATAATAATTTACCTGCCGCAACGCTATCGCTATGACTACCAACAACAATAGTGTGATTCGGATTGCCTAATTTTGTATCGGCACATACATTGGTTACAATAGCAGGTGAAAGTTCTCGATATTCCAATTTCAGGTAAACTCGAGTGATATTTTCCAGAATAAGTCGCATGCCTGCTCCGTACGATAGAAACAAGGTTGGTATAGTATTATTCCTCGGTGCCCGTGTTCCATTCAATGGTTCGAAACGATCCATAGTCAATCCATCATTGTAAATCAGTACGGCACTAGCACGTTTGCTCATTCCAAAGAGAACTTTTTCAACAAATGTGCAAATACCTCTTCTAACTAGAGCTACATCACCTTCTTTAATTGCATTCCAATCTTCTATCAAACAACCTAGACGAGAAACAACGGACAACGGTCGCCCCTCGAGCAATGACCAGTTGCGTGCTTCTTTTGAAAGATCCATGGAAACGAAATCACTGGGGTACTGGAATAGCGATGCATTCGATGTGTTCGGTAAAGCCATAAGTATTGGACGACCAGCAAGTTCTGAGCGAGGCACAGAGAAGTAATATTTTTGAACAGTCAAACTACTTTCTTTGTTCAGTTGTCCAGTAAGATAATCCATGGTTCGATTGAATGCCACTGTTCCTATTGCACGACTGGTTAATTGACGAAGATGAACGAGCATATTCTCGAGCTCAATTGACGCTACTAATGAATCATTCTTCTCTACTGATTTGTTAGCATGTTGTATTGGTGTTATTGCAATAGGTGCTGCTGAATAAGACGACGTTCGAGAAACAATAACTGCAACGATAATTAAAATGACCAGTAACAGTACTACAAGTACACCAAACGGTCCATATTGTTGAAGGTATCGACCTTTTATTTTCGGTTCAGATTGTAATGACAATGCCGAAATAGTCGGAGAAATAAAAGAAATATCCCTCGGAATTGGATTGAATTGCGTCGGAAGGGCTTGGCCATCACTCATTGCGGTACGCTTCGAAAAAAATAATAGTCGTAATCAATTTTATACAACATTTTAACGGTAAACTTTTCCTCAGCTACGAATCTTATCTATCCCATTATGTGATCTAATGTCATTTGAAAGTTTGTCGGTTATTCAATATATTCATCAAAAGAATGAGCTTTCTTCTTCCATCTAAACTTTGATACAGAGTAGAACAGAATAATTTATTATTAAGTTGAAAATAAGAGAAAAAAGAACACATGAATAGCATTTAACACTCCGTGTCTCTTATACACGCACTATTTGCATCACTTCGCCGTACGAATCCTTTCACGCAAAAACAACCAATCGCGCACATATGATTGCATGTTATTTGAGGTACACGAACATTACTACAGGATCGTTCGCATTCAATGCCGCAAGTTACGAATTCTTCGTTAATCCCACATGTACCATCGTACGTAGCTAAACGAAATCTTCCATCCACTTGTCTTAATAAAAAAAAACTCGACTTACGTCTACTTTCGATGGACATCAACATGATTACAGCAAAGAACAGACAACATATATGCAGACGTATCATCATTGATCAATAAAAAGAACGCTAAATAAGGTTTGTCAAATATAGATATATATATTTGAAACAAGCATTGAATCAAATGACTCCAAAAAAAACATAACACATCACAGAGAGTGATACACTTATTTGCTTATGTATACACATTAGAAATAAAAAAAAACACTATGTATATTTAATTATTCTGACACTGAATTCAAAAGAGAATATGAATTCAATACTAATGACAAATATTGCATTATTGACTTTGTCTGGAATCGATGATGGCTTTCCAAAATCCATCTTTCGTTGGTTTTACTTTTAAATATTCTCTTGGAGTATCTCTTGTCATAGTCATCAGTTGCTTGTAGGCAAGAACCTTAGCTGTTCGTTTTAATCGATCGCATACACCAGCACCCATTTTTAATTGTTTGTTAAAAACTAATGTACATTTATGATTTGACATGTTACGTGTGCGTAGATCGATCTCATGTTCGACTAATTCCAAGGCGGATTCCAGTTCAGTCGAACCGTGCTTTGACGTGTTTGGATTACGAAAATATGATTTGATTTGACTAGAATCTTCACGCGCTTTCGCCACATCGTCTTTAGGCGTACGATCTCGCATTCGTTTACATATACGATCAAGAAGATGTTCCATATCCTCACGGCGTCGTTCTCTAGGTATAAACTAATGATTAGAAAAGAAGAAAACAAATGATTCCATCTCATCGGACTGTCTTTCTTTTAGATTGATTATACTATCATCAATTGACATCTAACGGACTCATTTGATCCAAATCCCAATGTCTTAGAGACTACCAAGCGTCTCTGAACATATACTTCATAGATACTACCAAGCGTATCTAATTGACTCAAAAAAGGAAGTCTGTTAACTGTTTTCTTTCGCCTACTTTTTTCAAGTCATAATCAAACATTATGTACATTAATTATCATCATGAGTTTGGGTTACTACGAACTCATTTCAGCTCACATTACAACTTTAGCACACAGAACTGATCTACGAATGGGCGTACATCACATGTATGATAATCAGAAGCATCCAATACTGGAGACGTGTTTAAAGTCGAATTTGAATCCAAACCTCCATTATTATCATCGTCATCATACCGTGTTTCACTCGTGGTCGATTCGTCGTCACTTTGATCGGATACTGTGATTATTGAAGCTAAAGGAAAGAAATGTGTTTTAAAATAGGTAACAGCGTTGATTGCTTTTACTATTAGTCGTTGTTTGTTCTACATCATCTTCTCGTCTCTTCGAATAGGAAAAAGCATCGTAGTATATTATTGATTGTACAGTTTTCTACGACATACTCGTTTGTTCATCGACTGAAATGACGTAAATGACGGAAAATCGTGTGCATTCGAGAACGCTTCAAAAAACACTTCTTAGAAAACAGATGATTTTTAATTGTGAACTTACAAGTTTCCATAATATCTGAGCGTTCTGAAGAGCCGCTCAAACTTCGACCAATACTTGTAGCAAATGCGATTATATATTGATCTTGAGCTTGTCGTACAAGTGCTTGAATTTGAATAGCAGCGAGATTCATGATACTTTGCTTTTCATGTCTTCATCAAAACCGACAATGATCGAAAAGAAACTAAGTGATTCATTGGCTTACCTAATGGCAAAACGATATCGATACGATGATAATCTTTCCACATCGATCGCACACTCTAATGTATGTCTTATTCTTTTGATGTGACTGTTCTAAAACGCATATTGGTTAAATCAATAACATATCACAAGTTTGATATATTTATCCTACACGTTGACCAAGTAAATAACGATCGATTTCAAACGTTTCATCAGGAAGAGAGTTGTACAGAGAGCCATAGACCAGCATTTGACGAAAGTTATGCTAAAACATAGATTATACTAGGAATATACATGTCGTGATTCGATCGAGTTTCTCACGTCAAAATGAGGTAGATCGTGGTATTTAAATTTGATAAGATCCAAATAAATTTGAGAACATACGCCTACATATGAAAATGCATCGAATACGAATATAAGGTGTACACATACCTTCGAGTTGATTCGAATCTCGTTCATGATGCGATTGAATCATAAGATGAAGCCTTGGTTGTTCATCGTCACTACAGATTGAATTCAGTTCTTTGGGAACATATTTTCCATTGACTGCAATGGTAATACTCGAGTTTTGTGTTAACTACAGAGATTCGCTTTTTACAATGAATTGATTGACTTTTGTGCAACTTTTAGTCATATCTACCTGTTCCCAATATATTCTCTCTGATGCTGCTACACATACTTCATGAGAATGATCACGCAGAGAAATAATAACTTGTTTACCGGAACTACACGGTGCTGCAAGTGTAGCCATTTTTAGTATAAATGTGACAAATTTTGACGAATCAAAGATACCTACAATATACGCGGTGTATTTATATTTGAATGAAGAAGCATAGCTGCCTATTGAAAGAAGAATATGATCAAACTGCCCGTGTTGGCGATCATTCGTCGTCCGCCGCTTTCTATTCAGCAGATAGTGATTTATCATGTTAAATCATCCTCGAACGATAACATTGGTCGGTACGATGAATAAATGGAAACACATTATAACGAACAATACCTGTCAAAATGTGTGTCGTTCGTTTCCATTGACAGGATAGTTTTTAAATATCGTCGATGATAAATATACAGTGAACGAGCTGACCGTCTAGGAAATTGAACCTTTTTGAGATCTATCTCCTCTGCCTATGACAAATCGAACATTCATTCGTGCCGATATGCGTTCATATAGAAAGCGATCACTGCTTGAGAACGAAAAGGTTATTTCTAATCATGATTAAGATGAAATCTTCCTATAGAGGGCAGTCCGTTTAAGTAGAACTGATAAATTTTAACTCAGCAAAAACAGCTACAGAGGTTGCTGTATGTCAATTTATTAGTTATTGTTTAATAGCAATATATGAATTTTATTGCAAAAGGTGAATGCAGTTCATAGAGCTGATTATGCTCGTCGCGCCATACCACTACATTTAGGAGATTGTAAGTTAGCATTGGCAATGTACTGATTATCATAGGTTAATGTAAATCGATTCATACTGCCAAGAAAGTTGACTGTAGTTTGGAAGCCGTTCTTGTCTTGCGGGATTGGAATTGGTATTTCAACAGAGCCATTCAATTCTGATGGACATGTTTGACCTACTGCACGAGCTGATACTAACAATTGTGTATCGCTTATCTTCGTAATTGTGACTTTATCCGATAGACAACAGCATTCGTTTTGATTGCAACTATCGTCGACATTAAATGTTCCGACCCAATTGCTGACTGATCGTTGTGCTGAGCCGCTACATTTGGGAAATTGAACATTCACATTGGCAATATATTGACTGTCAGAATTGAGGGTGAATCGATTATTGGTGCCAAGAAAATTTGTGGTGATTTGATAGCCTCCTTTATCCTGAGGAATGGGAATTGCTACTGAGATCGTTGTCGAACCGTTCAATTGCTCTCGACACGGGGCACCGGCAACATTTGCTGTAATCAATAGTTGAGTATCACGAATTTTTGAGATAGTTGCTTGTTGTGTTAAACAACAGCATTCAGCTTGGTTGCAACTATCGTCGAGCGTAAATGTACCCAACCAGTTTGGCATATCGGATGGTCGAGCAATACATGAAACTACTGCTGTAGCAAGTAATAGAATAGTCAAGGTATTCATGTTTAAAATTAGAAAATGAAACGTATGCAATTGATTCCCTAGGCCAACCCAGAACTGCATCTTTATATATATTCGCATGCTGCCTTTATCTATAATACCCTGAGTCAATATTATTGCGGCCATAGCGATGACAACGCTAGGTTTGTTATTCTGTTGACTCAAAAACAATCATTGGTAAAATAAATCTCTTATCAGTATATGACGTAGTCATGTATGATGGAAGGATACTAATGCCGATTTATTTTAATTTGCATCGTGTGTAAAAAAATGAGAAAAAGCACATCCTTTTAGTCACTTTTTCGGTTGCATTCGACGTTAATTGTTATTTCGATGCACATTTTTTTCGGAGTTCGCTAAGATTAGTATATTCTAAAGTAATTCGATGAGTTGCTTGTGGAATAACAGGTGGAGCGACTTTGACCGCCAACGCTTCTTTCCATCTTACAGCACAAAGACACTAACGATCATTCTCGCGCAGACCAGCAAAGCCACTACTATTCTGCGATGTAGAAAGGTCATTACCACGTGAACGTGTAAATGCAAGAAATTCAGTTGTCATTTGTGCACATACTCTATGCACACCATAATCACTAGAACTATGCCATTTGCAGGGACCTGTTCGATAATATTCAGTCAATGGTGATGTTGAACATGACTGAAGTCGTTTTCCGAACACATTTCGTCTGTTCAACTTTAGAACTCGTGACATCAATCGAAAGCAGGAAGATAGCTAATATAACTAGTTTCATATTTTCTTAGAAAGTGTCTCTGGAAGAGCACGATAAGTAATAACATCAATATAAATAGGGGTACTTTTTGACTTTGACTATATAATGGTGCACATATGCCATATTTTCTATTGGCTGTTTGTTGCGGATAAACAAATAGCTGTGGTCTCATCAAAGAATTGTTTATTTGATCAATTATTTTCGTAATCTATCGTTTATGCTGTTTTCAACGTCTAAAAATGTACTCATGTAAGTACAAATCAATAAACATGGAATCACTTAGCCGTTTCGTCTGATTTATTTCGTTTATGAACAAAAAAAAATAGAAACTGATGGTTTTTGTTCGATATTCATGACATTCTCTCTTGAAAAACTCACCGTATGTGTCATACAATTAAACAACATTCAAATTGAAACTTGATTTGTGAATTCAGAAGAAACGTTTTTTAGATGTGAAAGAGAAAACAAATAGATGTGCACCTTTTTTCTTCTTCTTTTGTACATAATTAAGTTCTATATTGTGTGTTCTGAATCCGCGTAATCGTATTGATTTGTTCTGAAACGATTCACTGCTGCTGATCATGTTCATCATCATAATCATGAGAAAAAAGACAAAATAATAGAATAAACTTAAAGAAGTAGAGGAAGCCGACGGCATTTACACTTTCGATCAAGAGAAACAAGGAAAAGAGCAAGAGCGAGTACAGATAATGAGAAATAAATGAAGAAAAAAGAGAAAGATAAGCGACACGTTATATGCAGCTGCTTTTTCGCTGTTGTTTGTGTATGAATTATCCTACGTGTTTTTTCTAATCATTGTTGTTCATTTTTTGTAGGTCTAAAAGAGAAAGTAAAGCAGGTATTTAAAGTGTTTTCATTAAGAAAAAAAGTAAAAGAACGATTGCATGTTTGAGCGACTATCACCAATTATGTGAAAAGCGATAAGAAAAGTAGTAGAAAAGCAACATTTGGGCAGTTAGTTGAGGGTGCTATCGTACGGCTTGATCTCTCTACTTTTTTGTCTATCAATCATGTCCATTGGATGAGTAAGTAGTCGGTGGATGTTGCTCGTCTTGTTCTCCGCCATCATCTGCTCTTCCTCCTTTACCTGGCGTCATTCCATTATTGCCTGCATTTGTCGTCGTTGTCGTGGCCATTTGTGTTGTTGATGCTGGTTGTGGTGCAATAGTTCCGGCAACGGTTGTTGCTGTATTCATACCAGTTGTTGATGATGATGCTGCATTGGCTGCTTTTTGTTTAAGCATAGTCCAATCGAATGTATAATCATATTGATGATTCAATGTTCGGAATAAAATGCGAAATAGTTGTCGTAAATACATATAATCAGGCGCTTCTTCGAATCGAAGACCTCGACAATAGTTCAAATACATGGCAAATTCTGCCGGAAATCCCTGTGAGGAGAAGAAAGAAGAAACAATAGATTCTTTATGGATCGAAGTGGTATCGTTTACTTTGCAAAGAATTTCGACAGGTGTTGACATTTTTTTCTCGGATATTTTTTCATATTTCTGTTTTTTAGTCGCAGCTTTCAAACCTTGCCATGGCAGTGACCCACGATTGAAGTACATCAAAACATAACCCAATGATTCCATATCATCACGACGACTAAAAGCAACGAACGAAAACGAAAAATTAGTCTTCTCTCACATTCATTCAAATTTTTCCTACCTTTGCTCAATACCGAGATGAGCATTGATGGAAGCGTAACGTGCTGTGCCTGTTAAGTTTTTGTCTTCTCGATAGGGAATGTGTTGTCGAGTTCGATTGTCACGATATTTCTTAGCTAGACCGAAGTCAATCAAGAATACCTACACAACATACACAAAAATATGAAAATGATCTTGATTTCACTCTTAGTCAAACCTTATTACAATGACGGCCAATGCCCATTAGGAAGTTATCCGGTTTGATACTAAACGGATGTTACTCATGAGAAAGTCATATAGAAAGAAAAAAAAAAGACTCACTCGCGATGTATGAAGTTCTTGTTATGAACGAATTCAATACGACCAATCATCTGATCGGCAAGCATCAGTACAGTTTTCATTGTGAATCGTCGTGAACAGAAATTGAAGAGATCCTCAAGCGATGGTCCAAGTAAATCCATAACGAGTACATTGTAGTCTTTTTCTTGAGCATAGTATCGAATATGCGGGATACCGATTCCACCTTGGAGAATTTTATATAGTTTTGATTCATATAACAATTGTGGATGTCGAGCTTTGACTGATTCAAGTTTGATGGCAACCTCTTCGCCATTAGTGATATTGATGCCCAAGTAGATATCGCCAAACGATCCCGAACCGATTTTACGTACCAATCGATACTTGCTGCCAATTAGAAATTCAGATTTTGATGACAAATGTAAAGATGAACTTGGAGGTGATGTTAAGTCCATGTGTTTGATTTATTATCTGATTTGACTCGCTGGAAATAAAGAATAAAGAGAAGAGGATCTACAATGCAAATGGAAAATATTCAAATGAGAACCTAAAGTATTGCAATGAGTATTGACAAAGATGAGTCAATATCTGATGACCGTGAGAATATATTTGATACACACTCAGCCTGATGATTTCGCCATATTACTGGTCGATGTCCTTACGAAAGAACCAGACTGCTAGTTGGTTATTATTAAGACATCTATGCACATTGACTTCATTTGAATGCGTATCAGAGACATCTATTGAAGAGAAAGCAAATTAATTTCTTTTTGACATTTGCCAACGAAAGTCAGATGAAGGCAGGAATATTGTATTTTCAAAATAAAAACAAAAGTTATCTTTGTAAAAAAAGCATATACTCTGATAAAAATATCTTATTCTTGATGATCCTCTAACGCTTGTTCAACAGCCTGATTAAATCCATCGGGATTATCTATCATCATTTGATGACCGGCACGAGGAATCACGATAAGTCGAGCTGACTCCGCCGCATCTTGTCGTTCATTTAATGATTTGACCGTTCGTCGGCCAGCTCTATATGAATAAAAACAAAGATGTCGACTGGTGACTTGTTATTACGAATGTCAACTTACTCAGTATCCATCCAATCATGATCGCCGTAGAAAAATGTTACACGTGGAATTTCGGAATTGCCCAATCGATCTTCTAACGGATCATAAGCAAAGACATTCGACTTGAGAACGCGAGGTAAAGCAAATTCGCCACTGCCCGGTTGTGCGCATAGATGATACTAGAAGAATTTTCATTTGGAAATGATTTATCGTAAAACAAAGTTGAATAAAATTCAGAAACATACAAGATATTGAGCAACGTCCCTTTTAGGCAATTTCAGCCGCCCACGATCGATTTGGTCGGCAAGTGCTGCTGACGTTTCTAAACCAGCTTCAGCGGTTGCCGGTGACGTCTCTTCTTCGACTGCTGGTCCTATTAGAAATCGCCGCGTTACGTAAGCGGTTACCGGCCGTGGACCGACTGGACCAAGGAGTCGAACAACAGACAAGGGTGTATAACCACGATTCCATAAGAATAGGACGAAATCGCGTACGAGACGCCATCCGATCGAAGTACGCTGACGATTCGGTGGTTCTACTTGGACAGGTTCCTTCGGCACACCAACGGGCGATGCTAATATCAGATGTGACACACGTGCCGGAAATGCCATGGCATAACAGGAGCCAATATACGCACCGAATGAGTGACCTAAAAGTAGACGAGAGAGACTCGTTTGTATTTGTATTCTATCGCATCGATTTGAAAAGATCTTACCGAGCAAAATCATTTTGTCGAGATTGAATTGTATTCTCCATCGTTCTAGAGCATCGATAAAAAATTGTTCAGCTTCTTGAGTGGTCTTAGCTCCAAAACGTGGTCTAGATGATCGTCCACATCCGAGTAGGTCGATAGCATAAACATGCTCATGTTGTGCCGCCAATGCATCAAGATTAAGTAGCCAAAAGCCGACACCAGCACCAAAGCCATGTAGAAGAACTAATGGTGATCGTTTTCTATCTGATCGTTTTGCTTCTGCGTTGTATGTATGAATGGTATTGATCGTCAAACCATCGCCGATAGGAACTTGCTGTTGATCAAATGGAAATTTAATAATCGACAGGACACGTCGTTCAGCTTCGGCTAAACGAATCGATGATGTTGGAATCCAAATCTGCCGCATCCATTCCCAAATGATAGCCATAACTGAAAGAAAATATTGCATGTGTATTCGTATGACTCAGCTCGAACTCACTGCTAACCAATGTTATAGTAGTATTTTATGAGAAAAACAACGACATCATTGGCAGTCTCTTGATCTAAAGGAAAGGAAAGAAATGAAGAAAAAAACTGCACTGTCATAGACAATGACATACATGTCAAGAGCTAACCAACATAGTCATCCTGCTGTTACACCAAACGTGGCTTGACGTCAAATAAAAGTAGAAATATCTCAAAAATGATTCACCACATTCAATGCCATCATGTACATCAGTCGAACGCCTAACTACTTCGTAATCAGATCGACACTGGTAACTAACCGTGCAATGTGTATTACTGACAGAATGTTGCCTCTTTTTCTTGAATACGATTACTCTTTCCGATTGCATTTACGTGTTCACTTCGTTTCTTTATAAAAAATTGAGAATCCAAAATATTGTCTTGATGTTCTTATGATCATTTCATTGAGCATCAATGTGCATTGTTTCGAATGATGTCACCTGTTGTCGATAGTGTGTTTATTGAAGTAAAGGCATCAAAGATCGTAAAAGAAAAAAATTCTTCGTTTCTCACACTGTGTTGTCAAAGCAAAATCTTCCGTCATTGCTCTCAAACTACCGACTTCGCAGAATATTTTCAAAAGAGTGCAAGTATTTCGTATTGTATTTTCGACAATAAAACACTATGGCAGACGCAGGCCGACCAAAACAAGGCACAGGACAGGCCAGTGAATTTTACATGGCATGTCGAGAAGGTGATTTATACAAAGTTAATCGTTACTTGAAATCAATGACTGTTAGAGAGATAAATCATGTTGAAGAATCAAATAATAGTACTGCTCTTCATGCTGCAGCTTATTTTGGACATGGCGATGTTGTCAAACGTCTATTAGAGGTCGGTGCCAACGTACATACACGTAATGGATATGGTAATACCGCCGAGCAAGAAGCAAAAACTGCAGAGATTACAGAAATTTTCAAACGTGCGAAACATTAGTATTATGCATCTGATGAATAGTTTTCAATACTGTGACATTGTGTTTAATCATGAATAAAAGTAGATTGGTATTTTTCATATTAACTTTCAAGTTCAAGTTATACTGCATAGTTTTCAATCAATTCATTTAAATTATATATGATGCGAGGCTGGCTAATCAGCTTATGAATATATTGATTTCTCCTACGTAATACTTAACTATGACAAAATGCATTTTCCTTACATCATCGTTCGAAAATCCGATTAAGAGTGTCAAAAACGTTACTTCAACTTATCGAGCAGAGTTGTATGATTATTTCTTTATTTGCAAAATCATTTCTGTAATGTCAACATATTTAGAATGACTTTTTGATCGATTTGAGCCGAAATCTGCCTAAACTATGATAACTACGACATTTCGAAGTCGTACACATCGTTAAAATTCTTCATGAAATAGTAAAAATGTAAATTCTTAAGGTGCGAGTGCGTCCAAACATGTACCTTTACCAGTAAACAAACAATGGCGCGAAGAAAATATTTTTTTTTCAATTAATGAAAAACAAATAAACTAAAGTTCCTACTTGGGTTATAAGAAAATTATAAATTCATAAATCCGTACAATATTCTATTTTTCCAAAAATATGGCGCCAGAAGTAATATTGACACATGGGCTCACCCATGTTCACGTCGAAATCATCCATCTTTCTCAGAGCGTCGCACGAGAACACCGCATTTCGAATCGTTCATCTCGGAAACTATTGCTACACACTTGTCGAATAAGAAGGAGAGACGACTGAAAGAACTAATAGAGATTATTACTGGGTAAAATATGAAAAATTTCAGTATATTCATATGTATGTATACGTATATAGTTTCAATAGAAAGTGATTTTTACATTCGTTAATAGATTTTGAAAACTATTGAGAAAACGAAACAAAAATTTCTTTCATCTGTATCAAATCTTTATGTGGGTAGTGTTTGTGACGGTCACTGGAGTCGTTGTAGCTGTAGTTGTGGTTGTAGCTGTGGTTGCTGCTAAATCAAATCGAGAGAAATCGAGTATGTCCGTACTGAGACGACTAACTTACATTTGTTCATGGTAAGCGAATACGCTACACCGAAAGAAATACCGAAAAGAACAAGCGCTGTTACACAGACAGCAAGTATGATGAATACTTTCTTTTTTATAGATGCTGCTGCAATAGATTGTTCTAGTCTAAAAGGTTTCTACATGTGTCAAACATCAGTTTGGTTCTTGATCGACTTACTTTTGCGCTACTTGTTGTGGAGCGTTCGATACTGGTTCTGGATCGGTGTCATCGATGGTGCTGACGACTGATGCAGATGAAAATGAATTGCGCCCAGAATCGATGACTGGCTTGGGAGACGACGGCCCGATTCGGCCGCGATTAACGATCCTTGGAGGTCTCATCTGGTAGATTTAGTTCGCGTTTGTTATTGTATTTTTCGTCGCCAAGTATGTTTGTCGACAAATTTTTAACTGATGAGTTTCAAGTGTCATTCAATTCTCAAAATTTTTTTTCCTCCAAACACGTCAGATACATATAAATGCGCTTATACAAATAAAATACCATATTTTTGGATGACAACAATGAATTCTTATCCAAGGCAAGAATTTTTTTTTCTCCTTTGTCGCTCCCATTTTTTTCAGCCCTTCTTCTTTCTCTGATTTTTTCTTCATGCCTTGTTTGTCTTTACGATGTAAAAAAATCTATATTGTTTCTTGTCGAATATGATTAAAAAGATTTGTTTGGTTTCTTTTAAAATAACATTCTTGGATAATATATTCATAGAGTAATCAAAAGTTGAAACCAATAACACACGAGACGAGAGATCGAATGAAAGAAAGAAGGAAATAAAAGGAGAAATGCATGACCTGATTCGATTCTGTTTGAACATTCGCCCTGTTCAAATCATGAGTTTTCCTCAAAACATTAGTTCAATCGGAGCGCATGACTTTCTCCTTGTTCTCTAGTCCATTGAGTTCAGTTAGCGCTTTATTTTGAAATAAATACAAAAAAGCAAAAAAAGAAAAAGAAGTGAAAAAGAGAGAGAGAGAGAGCGACTTTATTAAAATTGTCGGAGATTATATTTATCTAAAAGACCGAGAACTTCGCTCGGGAGTTGTTCTTGACTGGTCGTTAAAATTCTTCGACCTGTTTGACTGTCAATTATTTCTGTAAATAATGGATTCTGAGGAATGTGATTATGTGGAGTCGGAAAACGATTATGAAATGCAACAGGTCGTCGAATCGGATATTGTATAGTTTCATTTGGTGGATTATAATTTAAATTATGAAGTGATAGCGTAGGCGATGGTGGGTGTGAAAATGCTGGTGTGGCATGTAGTTCATGTACAGATTGATGTCGAGATAAAGGTATATTCATAGGTGGTAGTTGAATGCGTTGTGGTTCTAACAACGTTGATGGCAACGGTTGTGATAGTTGATAAGTGGAACTGCGAGATGCAACTGAGGAATCGTGTGATTGTCTCGGTTGAGATCGGGAGCGTTGTAATTGTTTTTGAGGAAAATTTGGTGCTTGAAGTATTCGTGGACACAACGGAGATTTGCGATGTAGGTTTTCTTTGGATAACCTTCGATCATTGGACGTTATCGGTGTTGGCACTGGTACTGGCACTGGCACGAGCCGATCTGGTAGTTTTTCATAATGAACAAGTGTTTCCGTAATGTAACATTTATTCGCTCCTCCTGCTTGTCCACCATTTTGCACGTTCATGATACGTTGTTGTTGTTTTTTCTGTAGTTGGTGATGCGAACGATATTGATCGAGTGTTTGCAAGTATTTGTTTGATTCGATTTCAGTGCGATTGTCTCGCGAGAGGAACCAGCGTAGCGTTCGATCTGTGTATGATTTTGCATTGTATTGTGGCGAGAGTATCTGTTGAGCGGTTTGACGGATTTCTTGTTGAGTTAAGGGCGGGATGACTGTACGATATGGATCATTGACGAAGACGTGAGGTAAAGATGAGCCAAGAGGACGACCTTGACGAGCTTCACGATCAAGAATGTAAAGTATATTCCAATATCTCAATGAATATGGTAAATTAGCGTACATGACTCCCTTGTAGTCATAAGTTGTTTTTTCTTCCACCCGAATAGTTTCTCCAGGTATGCGTATGTATCGAACACGAGAACGTGGTCCATCTTCCTGTAGATAGTCCGTTGAATAAGACCGACGTAAAGTATTTGCGGCCGATTCATTGATGTAATCATCAACACGAACAAACAATTCTTGTTCTTTAGCGTCTTGTGGCTTATATTTTTGTTCGCGTACTTGATTTTCATCATAGAAATCTTTTACATGGATAATTCGAGCGCGTACATAACGCTGTGCACCTGTGTAGCTAATAGACAATGAACGACGATATGGTTCGTGTCGATAACGCGGTGGAGCATGTTCATGTGGACGAATAGATTCACGCATAGCATGAATTTCACGTTCGATCAGTGCACGGCGTTCTGAACCTAAATTTAGAGAAAAATTATAATTGAAGGTTTCGGTTCGTTATTCGAAGATATGTACCGAGATAGAATTCTGCTTCAGATGGATGTCCGGGCGGTGGTGGACCTGCCTTGAATGTTTGTTGATATTGTCGTTTTTGTTCCATTTGCTTTTGTTGAAATTGTTGCTCAAGTATGCGTTGCTGCTGTTCCAGGTCTCGGCGATATTTGGCATAATCGAATGGTTGTTGAACAGCATTATTAACTTCACGTTTGAATATATCATGTTGTCTCTGTCGAATATTTAATATATTGGCTGTTAAGCCTGCGATATGAGCAGCTAAATCTAGTAGGTAGTATTCGTCATCATTGGCTACTAGAATCAAATGACGCTGTTGTTCAGCTTGGTGCGTTAAAGATAAATGCGCACGATATAGCTGACAAAGACGATGAACAACTGTACGATAACGTTGTACAAGACGTAGAGATGTTGTGACGTCAAGACGTGTTACGCTGCGTAAATCGGTGGAATTGGTTTGAGTGCAATCATCACGCGTCGAATAGTCCACTAGACGTAAGAGGTTGGTTGGTTCTGCAAATTGTCGTGTAATTTCTTTTTCTAATTCAGGACTGTTTACGGATAGCCGACCACCGGAACGTGAAACAATTTCATCGACGATTTCTTTCTTCAATGATGTACACATTTGACGACGTTCATTATTTGTAACTGATAGAATAATCAATTGGGCAGTACCTATAAAAAAAAATAACGATTCGTCTTTTTCTGAAGAAATCAAACGATAAAACGCGATTTGGACGTACCATGATGATTTAGTTCATATTCGATTTCACATCGAATAACTACTGGCAGATGCTCAATTCGTCTTGTATGTTCCGTTTTTATTCGATTTCCTTCCTTGTTATAGTAATGTATAGCTATTGTTGGTTGTTTAGGTTTATCATGGATATTTTCATTTTCTTTATTATCGCCATCTAATTTATTCAAACCGTAATCGCGTCGAACCAATTGATAATCAGCGTCCGATGATGTCGTAATGACATGTAACTCCGTTGCTTTCAAATCTTCATTTGTATAGGTTCGCTCGATGCGATGAAGCTGTTTTTCAAAGCGTGTCTCAGCACCATATTGAGTTTTTTCTTCGTAGGAAAGAACGAGACATTTACAGGCACCACGTGTATGAATTTCATAGACTTCAGTCGAACGATGTTCATCACCCGTCGTTTCATTGTCTTGTACATGACGACGAACGACATGACGATTGATATCACGTAATTGATCGATTCGGATACGCGATGTGACTTGGCCAAATGAAGGTCGCTGATCAGGTACAACTGGAAGGTGATCATCGCTCGCTGAATGACGTTTTTCGCGTTTGAGCTCGAAGTTTTCTTGATGATGACGACTTTCTTTTTTCGTTACTTCATCCATATAAACAGTCGAGTTACTCTCATTGTCATTGAGGCTATCATGATGGCTAGAATGGCGGCGTTTGATTTCGTAGCGAGCGGTCGTTTTAATTGTTGTCGATGTCACACTTTTCTTTGTCTCCTCTTCCGAAGAAGATGATGCCAATGAGAGACGTTGCCGTTGTCTAGCAGGTCGATGCAACGAATCAGTTGTTTGTGCAGCAACTGTATGTTGTTGAACAGTGGAGTCAACTTGTGTACCAATAGGTCGATGCGGAGGTTTGATGACTGATATTGGTATCGTTGTTTGAGCAGAGAAGTCTTGCCGATCACTCAACGATGATCGACTTTGTTCCTGTTCATCTGCTTGAAGATTGATCGTGGCTGGCAAAGATTTTCTGTCGGATTTTTGTTCTAATATATACAATGTTTCGAGATCGACTTTTATTGGAATACCATCGATATCCGTTCGTGAGAGCGATGCTCGATCTTCGTAGATAGAAGCACGAACATCACGGACCATGGATATCGATGTCTCTGTTCCTGGAAGAAGTGTTGTCATATACTCATCCATCTAAGAAAACAAAATTGACTCTTTTTCATTCAAGAATATCGACTTGAGACTTACAGTTGCTCCGCTTGCTGTTCGTTGACAACTTTTAGCCATATCTTCTTTCGTAAACTCAAATTTGATTCCAGTTGAGAGGCCGTGATTATCGAAAAAAACATCGTCGTTTGATTCATTGATTTGATAAACCATTCCATCATCACTTCTGTTCACACCATTTGAATTGATCAATTTCTTCTCGTGCAGTTCTCGTCTCGCTACACGTTTAATCGGTGGTGATGATGATAGACTTGGTGCAGTATCAGACTGATCTTCATGTAGTGGCTTTTTGATGGAAACTTTTCTCTCGACTTTTGCGTTCGACGGCGATGATGCAGACGATTCAAGACGAACAATCATCTGTCGTACTCGGCTATGATCCGATGGTGTTGGTGATACCGAACTTGATGTATTCAGCTGTGCTTTTGGACGTGATCGAATCTCATTAAGATTTTCATTTGATAAAACTAAACGAACAAATAAATGAACAGGATATTTATATGCATCAATGAATCTTCTCACCTTCGTTTGAGTTAGCCGATTTGACATCATAGAGTGCGACTGAAACAAGACCTGGATACGTCGGGGATGAACTTCTGGGCAAATAGGCATGATCACTAAAGCGTTCACCAGTTCGTAGATTAATTTCCGAACGTGTCGATCCAGTACGCGTATCAATATCTTTGGCCATTTGTTTCACTTTCGTCGTGACATGCGGAGTTACGTAATTTGTTGAAAGAAGAATCGGTGGTGTTGGATTGTTAATTTCCACGACATCACGTAATTGCCCACTGGTATGTTGTCCTTCTTCTTCCAAACTATCTTTGGAATCCAATCGAGCACGTCGTTCGCGTTCACGCCAGATGTTGAAGACATTGGCGTTCTTTTCTGGTCTCGCTGAGATGACATTGTATTTAACAGCACGGCGTGGTATACGTTCTTGAAGAAAGATCAATGCACGAGATCTTGTTTGTAACGGACGGTGTAATTTTAAATAATGAATGACTCGTTTTAATTGGTCTCTAGAAAAGGTTTCTAAATGTTGAAGACGAATCAGCTCATCGATTAATGTTTGAAGATTCTCAAAATCTCGTCGATCAAATAATTGTTTGTTGGATAAATGACGAAGACGGCCGATTAGATTTACAGTTTCCTCATCTAACGGAACGAAACCTAATCGTCGAGCAATGTTCTCATCACTTTCCTCGTCTGTATCACCATCGTCGCTGTTATTTTTATCATCATTATCATTATTTTCGTCGCTGCCATCATCATCATTGTCATCGTTCGATCTAAGAAAGAATTGACATTCGACATCAACATCAAAACAACAATCATCAGTCAATGTTATGTAATAATGAAATTACTCAATCGAGTTTTGTCGATATCACCTTGGTAGAGAACCTATGTCAACAATATTTCGAATTGTTTAGGGGAAAAACAAATTGTAGAGGCATGAAGAACTAATGAAAATTGATATACTGTCTAGTCGGGAAAATTTAATTGCTCTAATTTTGCACGATGTTTTTTTTAGACATCCTTCAATTTCGCATGGAAAATTATGATAAGATCTAGGCGGAAGAGAACTCCATGTAAGTCATTCATATATGTTTTCATGTACCTCAAGTATCCAAAACATCTAAACAAGTTTTCAATGTCGTCATTTTGTTCATATTACATATGCTTATCGTTCTACTCAAACCAATTTTACGGTTTTATACAAATTTCATTAGAGTAGTAAGAGATACGGGCAAAGTCAATCTCGTAAACAAGACTATTTTCGAAACGGACTATTATTGTACAACGAATAGACATACCTTCTTGAATTGTTATTATTTCGATTTGGATTTGCACCATTTCCGTTTCCATTGTTGTTCGATGAACTATTGGTTCGACGATTTCGCCGATCAGATTCATCATCATCATCATTATAATTTCGATTCTGGGAGTATCCATTCGTTTTTCCATGATGATTCTCGTCATTGTCCATGTCCATATCGGTTGTTTGAGATGATTGATTAGTTTTAAACAAACTAATCTTGCTAGTTAAATAACTATTATCAGGGTTTAAGATCGAGGAGAAGACTCCGTAACGAACAGCCGGTTGTAGTTGTCCGTGAGTCACTTGAAGTTGGACATCAAAGTGACTCAAGGATATGTCCATATGACTTAGACTCGACTCTTCATTATTATCTTCCTCCTCGGCTTCGAACTCAGTTTTAAAAATTATTTCGATATCGTTCGTCGATAAAACCTTACGAACCATTGAATCATTATCATCAGATGTTTGAACAAAAAAATTCATCGGATGATAATTATCAACAAATTTCTCAACGCGGAGATTGTCATTTCGATTTAACCACTTGTGACTTCCACCTATGATCTGAAGACTTTCATTAGAATTTGAAATTAGATCGAATTGTTCGAGGGAATCGATTGATGACGCCCGTTCCACATTCTAAAACGAATCTTTAACTTTGTAACGATTGCAGTCATGCAAACTTACTAGTACATTCATTTCACCATCATCTTCACGTTCATAATCCATTTTCATGAATTGAGAATTGAAGTAATTCTAAAAGATCAAGATTCATTCGAATTATCTTTCTACGCCTTTTTCTCTCTCTTAATGTTTATTCTCGAATCATCAATTGAGTCTTAGACGGAAAAGAGAAGGAAAGAAAGTCACACGAGATTAACACTTCTCGATCATATTAGAGGATAAATCCTTTCCTACATACCCGATCAATATTGACAAAATCTTTAGGTGCCATTTGATAAAGGAGAGAAAAAGAACAAATAAAAAGACTAGTTGAACAATGTATACTTATTATTAGTACATAATAATGTCAAAGAGCAAATAGATGTGTATGTGTGCTTATGTAGCTAGATATGTACTACATGAAATAATAAAAGACATGTTCCGGGCGACTGAATTGAAAGGTAAAAGACAAGAGAAGACGTAAGAAAAATATGTATATATATATACTGTCATCGGATACATAGTACCCAAGGACACACTTGCGTGAATCTTTACATAAAAATTATTTTTCTCTCTCCTACATATGTATATGTATGTCAGTGGCGAAATGTCCGAATGTTGACTAATATTTTTATTCAAAGTCATTTTTGGGAGATACTCAGAGCAAGAGACAGAGGGAGAGAGAGAGAGAGGAAGGCGAGAGAAAATGTAACAGCAAATATGTCATTACTTGTATCAGTTGACTGAATGCTTTATTTCCTTACCATTAAAATTGGTGAAGGAGAAAGAAATCTTTTTTTATATGTATCGAAAAATGCACGTAAAAATTGAAAATGTTCTTATAAAATTCGTCCTTTTATCTTTAATGATGGTACATACCATTCGTTTGTCGATGGTGAATCGCTCCTTTTCTTCTTCTTCCTTATTTGAACGACATTTCTTTTCTTCTTGTTCGCGTTTTTTTCGAGGTTCTGCCTGATTGAACATCTACGTTCTTTCTCTCTTTCGCTTTCGTTTTTGGCGATAATCATCGTTCAAACTGAATGATGTACAATGCGAAAATGATCTATCATCAATGAAAGGAAAAAGAAAAAAGAGCAAAGCGTACAGCAATCAGCCCTTACCGACCATATCTTAAATTGAAACATTTATTGAATGAATCGAATGAATATACAAGTATTTCATGCTCTTATATGTAAGATAATGGCGAGACATCTTTGTGTACTGGACCCATTTCATCTATACTCATAACCCTCCTAAACGTCATATAGATTCATTCGAATGATTGTATATCAATGATTCAATATAAAAATATAGATCATTTGATATGTATATGTATGCACGTAGATGTAGGTTAACATCTTCGTATATATTACAACTAAGTAAGAACATTAGCGAGAGGCGAAATGTGATATGAATGGATTTTTCAAATCGGTTACGACATGATGAGCGTAAACCTTGACGATGAAAGAAGCAAAATAGAGCATGGAAAATGCAAAAGTGATAATTAATGTATTTATATAATATCATGGCAATGAACCGATGCATTCTGATGAGATTCGAATCGTTCGATATTGAACATGATCGAAGAAAAAAAAAACATTTCGTGTTTGAACATATTTTGTTTGACTTCAAGATTTTCTCGTCCCGTTCGCCTTTTTTTGTATTCATTCAATTGAATAAATATACCATCAATCATTGTCAATTTCGGTTACGATCAGAATTTCGAAAATGAACGTCATTTAGACTTGCACTGTAGTGACCATTCGCGAAATGAATGTACCAACACATTATTAAGGTTAGAAAATATTAATCATCTGACAGTTAATGAGACCTTCGTTTTTGACAAGGATCGAAATGTTAATAAAGCAAAAGGTTGCACGATTACAAATTTGAAGATAAAGAATAACGTTTTTCGAAATGAACGTTTTATTGTCGTTTCACAAAATTCCGACGTTTAATGAGAAAAATATCGACAACGAGATGACTTCCATGCGAAGAAACTTTAGATTCGATCGTTACGAAAAAAAAACTGATCGAAACGTCAGATATATTAATGATAAATAGACATTTCATTTTCATCGGTCATTGTATATATGATTCAAGTGTTGTCTTCGTTTCGAATCTCCTTAAGTACTTACGTATACAATTTTCGAATTCAAACTTATATATCTATTTCAATAATTTAAATCGTTTGAACATCGATCAGATATTTCGTCGATTAAACTCTCTCTCGCTCTCCTCGTGTTGTATGCGTGTAGTTGATATCGTATGTGTGACAATTGTGGTGATTATTGATGAACTACTTATCACATAGATCGATTTTGACAATATACACTTTCATGTCGAAGCATCTCTTCTCTATCAGATCTACTTGTCAATCGATTGAAACTTTGTTTGAAATGTCTTCTGGTAGTCCTCGGATTAGCGTCGGAGGAATTCATCATCGATATCAAAATTGAAATGGATTTTATGATCAATATTGACTTTCTTTTACGATATTTCCTTCGAACAAAATAACTTTATCTCAAAGATCGAAGTACCGTTGTCACAACAGAAATCAAGGTGTAATAGATCCAATCAGTATTTTACATATTGATTTTTCAACAAAATAGTTTCTCGTTATCAGAAGCGAATCTTTCAAGAAAATATGCACAATATTTGATGTCATCGCTGTCTGACAAATAACGATGACGATGTCGTTTTTTCTTCCTTTTTCTTCTCTAAAACTGCTCTATTGATGTTGTTGCTGCCATTGCCGTCGTTCGTTCTCTGTTACTACTTCTGCACTAGATTGCCGTTGTCATTTGAATCGCTGTAGCGTGCAATAACGGCAGCAGCGGGAGAAATAAGAAGGAAATCGAATCGGCTGTTACTTGTCCTGTACTCTCGTCTACTAACAATGAACGTTAGATGTTCTATGCATACACATATATATATGCCATTCGTAAAGCAACAAGGATAGTAAGAATTTGTTCTCTCACTCGCCTTTGCTTCTCTTTTTACCATAAGCACACGCAAGCAAGTAAGTAGGCAGCAGCGTGCAACAGAAAGGAAAGAGAATATATGGCGACTACATGCATTTACGTGTGTGTGTATGTGCTTGTTCTGCCTATGTGTTTGCGCTTGCTCTCACATAAAGCATCGCAAGCCCGACGACGACGACATATATACAACGTTAAGCAAAAGGAAAGAAAAGGCAGACACATACACATACACACTCGCTATTGCTCTTTCACATCGTTTCTTCTCTCTCTCCCTACATATTCATCACTACTAACACTCCACACGCACACACACTGCTATTACTAGCCGACGCGCACACTGTAGAAGACAAGCAAGCAGAGCAAGCAAGCAGAGCAAGCAAGCAAGCAAGCAAGCAAGCAAGCAAGCAAGCAAGCAAGCAAGCAAGCAAGCAAGTAAGTAAGCAAGCCAAGCAGTATATATATATACTTGTATATACATGCACATATTTTCTACCCGATTATTACGACATCTACTTTTTAAAATCGATATTTTTCGAATAAATAAAAGTTTTCTAAATAAATATTTCGTTCTCAAATTGATTAATTAATTAGTAAAACCCGAGGAAAACGCAAATCAGTTTCCAATCGATTAGTTAAGCGCGAATTGAAATTCTAATTTGACTGTTGATTTTCTAGAAAATGCCTCGTGTTAGTAAATCTCCAAAAGACCCCAATGCTCCCAAACGACCATTATCAACATTCTTCTTATTCTCACAAGATGAACGACCAAAAATCAAAAAAGATAATCCATCATTATCAGTTGCTGATATTGCCAAACTTATTGGCGAACGGTGGCGTTCAATAGGTGAAGATAAAAAACGTCATTACGAAGAAAAAGCTCGACCAGAAAAAGAACGAGATGAGAGNTGAAGATAAAAAACGTCATTACGAAGAAAAAGCTCGACAAGAAAAAGAACGATATGATCGCGAAGTTGCCGCCTACAAACAACAGGGTGGTGGCAAATAAATCCAGATCAATATTCAAGTATATCTACTAACCATGATTCCGATGATTTTTAGAAAATAACCGAAGATCGTTTAGTGTGTACATAATCATCATATATTGTAGTTAGCATGACCAAAAGAAAGAGAACCACATTACATCAGAATGTTGTGTTGTTGTGCTTTGTTCGTTTTCAGCTTTTTTTTCTGTGTTCATCAGTTTTGTTTTCTCCATTTGCTTCTTTGTATATGTTGTATTCACTAACTGAAGAAGGGGTAAATAAAATATGAAAATGATTAACTAAATCCAACTTCAGTGGATCATATTCTCTGAATGCAGAACTTCATCAAACGAAAGGTTATTCGTTTCGAATTGATATATGTATTTCGTAATGTTTTTCATGTGTATCATAAAATCGACAGTTATTTTAGTACGAAGCGATCGAACTTGCTCTCTTACGATAATGTAACCTTTTGGTGAAGAGATGATGAACGAGCATAAAAATTCAACTTGTAGAAATTTTCCTAGAAAACTCGAGTTTCCCTTCGTTATGCAAATTTTCATCAAATTTCGAAACCGCAAGCGACATTGCAACAACGACTGAGCACAGCATTCAGATTTCGCATGAACGACCTAACTCTAATGCGCATACGTTTGTTCTCACATTGATTCTTTGATATCAAAGTTAAAGGCATAAATACCCAAAAATCATTTCTCCTGTAGATGTCAGTAACACCCGATCTAGATGTTTTTGTTTGAAAAAGACTTTTCCTAATATTATGATTTTCGATGAGGAATTCATAAAAGTAAAAAAGAAATTGAAAATCGAAAAATAAAACTTCTTCAAACTGTTGCATGGAGGTTTAAACATCACAACAAGATGGTTTCTCATCGTCAAGCGAGGCGAATGACTTTTCTTTTTCTTCCTCGATTAATGAATAAATGGGATGAAATGAAACAGAGGAAGAAAGGTCGCATTATCCGGACTGAATCTTGTTCAAAGTTTTCTTTATTTCTAGATAAATTTATCATGTCGAACGAAGATGATGAATGCGACTCGTCGAGTCTATTTGCCGTTGCAAGTCAATCGGACGTTAGTTCGTTTTTGCATTCACAAGCAGCCAAAATAACACGTGTCACGTCGAGTATCAGCGATGATGAAGACAGTTCCATGGATGGTAGTCTTCTTGCACGTTTTACTCAATTGCCACAAGAAAAGAAGCTCATCATTTCCAATCCGAATGTTCGCTCGGCACCGCATAAACCTTATCTGAGTCGTTCATGTTTTGCTTCCATAGCGAGTTCATCACCTGTGAAACCTACGAATGCTCAAAAAGTCGCCGTAGCTGACGATCTGACTGAATTGAAATGGTTGAATACGTTCAAATTAAAAGAATTTAAAGACGATTTCAATTCGAACGAGACGAAAGACAAGGATTCCAACGAAACACTTCAGTCATCATCGCGACAATCTCAACCACAAGAATCAATTAATAACGATGAAGATCGTCTAGCTAAATTAATTAGTGAATTGAAGTCCTACGATCATGAAAGTACAAAAATTACAACGACATCCTTGGGCATACTCATCTTTCTTGCACTTTACTCTAAACGTGACGAAAAACAACTCACATGGTCTTTGACCATCAAACAATTGTACGAATTTGCCCAACTCAATGCCAAACAAATCACAAGCAAACGCGGATGGAAAAATCTGCTGCGACAAGCATTATTGACCATACCATGTTTTGTAAAAACAAAACGTGACCTGCTGAAATCTCGTTCACTGTGGACAATCGATCCGTATTATCGACCATTGTTAACAAAAGCTTATCTCACGATTCCGCCTTTGCAATCATCAACAACAAACAAGTAAATAGATCTAATTGATGACAAGTGATGCTATGTGAACGTTTTCCTTTCTGTGTAGAATGTTGTCGGAAGCTGCAACTAATCGACATGATGATCAATTGTAAGTTATTTGTAGTTAAATGCAGTTATTGATGATAGAATATTCTTGTTTTCGTTATAGAGAAGGTAATCGCTCATCACAATCGATTGTGAGTAATTTTGCACCGAAAGCAACAGTGAAAACTAAAGGTAAAAGTAAATTGACTGATGGATTGTTAAGAATAAGTGTGTTTTGTTTAACAATTAGTTCTTCCAAGACTTTATGAGCGTCTTTGTGAAGAAAAGGGCGATGAAGATGGTGATGAAGCAGATTCTAGTAATCTTGGAAAACGCCATCGAAGTTTAACACTAGGTAAAGTATAACACTGTTATGAAGATACATATCATAAAAGTATCGAGATGATGTTGTCTTTGATTCGTGTCAATGACAGATAAGATGATCTTAATGAATTTCTAATTGTCAATGATTTAGGTCAATATCTGTATAAGGGACAAACTCTACTTGTTCACATTCTCACCTATTAGTGTCTTATAAAAAGTATGAGGACCAAGAGAAAACTTAGTCGAGGAGATTAATTCCCTGTTTTCAACGATTTGCTAATTCATATGACGACAACATTTTACGCATGATTTCTCAGGTGTGTTGAATTGACGATTTTATTTATATTTTAGGTCGTAAACGTCCTCGTTCTTCCTCATCATCACGTCAACGATCATCTGGTAAAAGTAAGCGAAAAATAAATCAGATTATTTCTTTATTGGCTTTTTTAATCGTTTGACACAATAGACGATAATGGAAAACGTCGGTCATCAACGTCTCCATGGGCATCAAAAATACTCAAACGACACAAAAATCGACATCATCGTTCTTCGGACGTCGAACCGAAGACATCAACACCAAACAGAGGGTAAGAACCATGTTCAATTCACTGCGTACGCTCGATACATTTCGAAATTTTCTTGTCTTGATAGAGCGAATGCTGAAGTTCGCTTACCGATAACATCTGCAGTTGTGACACCGTGTCCTAGTATGGATCATAACTATCTAATTCATTCTGAAAAAGCGAAAATTTCTGCACAAAAACAATCTTCCATAGAACGAACCAAATCAAGTGGGTCTATTGAATACGGTACGTTTTCAATGATTTATACTCATTTATATGTTTAAAATCGACACTTTTGTTGTAATTTCAGACGATCCATCTTCGGAAGGAACTGAAGAAGATGAAGACGAAGACGAAGCAGCAGATGACGACGACGACGACGACAACGATGATGATGATGACGATGAACGTGATAGTAGTTCGCATTTACGCCCAGGACGTAAATCAATCATCACAACTCGTGCTCAAGCGGCAGCTCGTAATCATTCGAAACACCGTCGAAAGAGTTCGCCGCCAAAGAAGCGTTTAGCACTTCAATTACCATCACATCGTCCGAATACACGAATTAATCGACGAATCATTGAACATGATCTTAAACTATTACGTCAAGCGAATGTGTTGCCACCACTCTCACCTCCAACGAATCCACAACCACTCGATCTCTCTTTAGGTCCGAACCGTTCATCTTCATTCGAAGATACATATGAAAAACCGATTTCAATCGAGAATAAAGAAGAAATTTTGCCGACAAAAGCAACTCCCATCGAAGGTGTTCTCGATCTCTCTCTTTCCCGATGATGAAGATGAAAGAATATTTATTCGTGAGTGTGTGTTTAGTTTTGTACGTGTGCAATATAAACGTACCAGATAAACTTATTTATTTCACTCATTTACTCAGGCATCTTTTGCCAATACCAACTGTATTCTACACATCTATTCATTATGAAACGTTTTTTCATTCTCTTGTGCATTGTTTTTTGTTTATTCTTCCTCTCATTTTCTCTGTCTCATTGTATTTGTCTTCCATTCCTCGAACTTTTCATGTTTTTGCTCGCTCTCTATCTCTGTTGTTTATAACGATTATCCATTATTAGATGTCAAAAGAGAAAAAACTAGAAATGTTATGATAACTTGAAAATACTTTCTTTCCTTTTTTTTCGAAATCCCCCTGCTACTCAAAGATAATATTTAATCACACATCAAACACGTCGGCTTTCGTTTTTATTTTTCTATTGCTTGTCTGATGCGAATTTGAATAGACAATGACGTGGGTAGCACACATTTCGTATACAAAGCAATCTACCGAATGAAGTTATAGATTCAATCGTTGCGTTTTTCCTTGGTGAAAGCGAGAAACTTATTAAAGCGGAGAAAAGTGAAAAATAAATTTTCATTTGATTGATTGGATAATGAGATGTGACAGCAGAACCGAAGTAGTACATTTATTATCGCTACACGTCGAGAATCGAAGTTCAGAAAAGGAAGTAAAGAATAGGGCGAAAAGGAGATACATATTAAAAAAATATTTACTTTAAATCGCGAAACTGCTTTTTTTGTTGTTCTCACTTCCTCTTTTTTTCGATTTCTTTCGATACTATATGGCATTTCGACGCGTTTTTACTCACAAATGATCGACGAAGAAAAGAAAGCAATTTTGACTTGTTGAAGAGCTTATCTTACAAAGCGAATTTTCATACGGCATGTTTTTCTCTCAGTTGGCAGTTGTATAGTAGCTTAAATGTACTTTTTTTTCAACAGGACACAATAATGTGACGATACAAAACGTATTCGCGATGAGTAATATCTGTAGCATCCAATTGGCTTGTTTCATGACTTCAGGTCAGAAGGAGTAACGAAAAAGAATCGTGATGTTTTCGTTTTTACTACTATGATTATTCCGATTACATCACTGTGATTGTCTTTTCAATTGATAGTATTGTAAATTTATACCCAGCATAATTTATTCGCGGATTTTACCCAGGACAGATTAACTTAAAAGCAATACATTTCTGCACAAACGTATATGTATATATATATATGTGAGTGAACTGAGATAGAACGAATTACGAATCGAGACCATCCAATCTGGGGTAAGCCCGTGTTTTTATTAGATTGTGAAGAAAGAGCAGTATACGCAACTTTTTTCTCGTTCTTTTGTTGCTTAGAAAGAAAGAAAAGTTTGATCAGGTTCGTTCGTTCGTTTAACCATCTATTCAAATAAACTGGGAGACGATGGCCAATAATAAACGCATGCGTTTTCATAGTAATGAAAATCACGCCAATGATAGTAAGAGTTCTCGTTTCTGTTTATATATGTATCTGTTTAGACGCTATTTTAGATCACCAGATGTCAGTCGATGAGAAAATTCTTTCGTCAGATTTTAATTATCCAACTCAACCTCAGACAACTAGTAATTCCAACACTCAAGCGTACCACCTGAGTGTATGTGGATCGATACTCTATTCACCACCCACTAACTCCCCATCAGATATATTTACATTCTTACGACATGGTAATTTTGACGCATTCCGACGTTCATTAGATATCTATCATAATGATATCATCCGAATGAGAAACGACCATGGCCAGGTATGTGAATATATTTAGTTTAAAAAAAAGCAAGTCTATATATCTATTGGCTCTATTTTTTCTAATTTTTAGACTGTGCTACATGTATTAGTCATTCACGCCTATCCATATATTTGGGTACGTCTACTGATGTTACGTGGATGTGATACATGTGCACAAGATAACGATGGGTACACAGCGGCCCACTACGCTGTGGAAAGGGATGACGTTGAAATGCTGAAAGCAGTCACACTCCGAATTCATCCTCAAGTTAAACCTATTCCTGAAGAACAAATAGTCGCTATATATGAACAATGCTGCCGAGCGCTATCTATCAAAGAAAACAATGGTTTAACTCCTTTCATGTTAGCTTGCCAACATCAATCCATGAAATGCTTGGACTATTTGATCGAAATGAATATTAATGATTGTCATCTACAAGTAATTTGAATACAGATAAAAAACAACCGATCTAATTAACATTTTTTGTTGAAATTTTTCAGGATAAATTCGGTGATACTTGTTTGCATTATGCTGTCGGCCGACGGAACTTAAATCTTGTACAGAAATTAATTCAAACATGTAAAGCTGATGTAAATGGTGGCGAACAACTACGACCCAGTACACTCGATGTTCTTCAACATAATCGTGCACAGCAAAAACCGTTCGATCGTAACTTAGATGACGAAATCGAACAAGTACTTCTTTCTTCCAAAGCCAAAAATCGCTGTTCAATTCGCCGTATCATTAGTAAACGAAAAGATTCTCTTGAGAATGATGATTCTGCTCTAACGAAATTGGCTTGTCTTTCAATTGATTCCATGTCAACCAATGAACAACTCGAAACCGCTCGTGGCCATGCTCGATTAGCAACGACCTTGCAAGCGAAGAACGATCCAAGAGGTGCACTAGAAAGCTTTAAGAATGCTATGACATGCACGCCGGATAATTCGCTTGACTGGGCAACGTATGCGTTACAGTCTGCACTTATTCATATGATGTTTGGTGAAAATCAAGCAGCACTTGGCTTGTTACACAAGGCGCTACATATTCGAACGGAATTAGAAAGGACAAGTGACCAAATTGATCAAATCCAACGGGCTATTAATCAGATTCAACCATCGACATTTTGAATGTCGTCAATTAGCTGATATTAATATGTTCATATGTCAGAATCAAGTACTATCAATTCTCTAGCTAATTACTGAAGACGAAATATGACATTCAATTCAATTTCAATGAGCTCATACTGCTGTATCAACTGAGATGAAGAAGACTACCGGTTATTCGTATTTGATCGTTAACGAAACTATAAACATGTGTTTAACACGCTTTCTTTTCGTTTTTTTTATCTGTAAAATTTGTTTTTATTTTATAAAATGTTATCGAGGATTAGCGAAATGATGATGATGCAATTAATTTTCATTACTATTATCGATCGAGAGAAAATAAAACCTGAGTATGAGAAAGCCCGTTCACTGGAATCATGTTGGCAGCGAAATTCGAGCACTAACAAGAATATACTTTAGAAAAAGTACATATTTTCATTGAAGCTTCGTGACTTGCAGCTGAAAAATATTCCCATCATTAGTTGTTATCATTCATGTTGTTTTTATTATTGGATTTTTCTTCATTATGGAATCAGTTGAAAATACTCAATAGTCCACAAAAACATACGAATCGAAATGTTAGTTAAAGTTACTTTTTTAGTAACATTTTTTGGATTGAGTGTGTTAGCGACGGATTATCCGAAGGGTATAAGATGATAAATTTGATATCAATCTTCGAATTATTCTTTTGATTAGATGCTTGTGGTCTTCGTCCTTTGAAAGCGCGATCTGATGATACAGCGAGAATAGTTGGTGGTACAGTATCAACACGAGGTGATTGGTAAGAAGGATCTTAATTGAATGTTGTCGATTTTCTTAGTAATGTTCTTTCGTTTAGGCCATGGCAAGTAAGTTCAACGGGTGAGAACGGATTTTTATGTGCATTTACAACTTAGATATCGATGGAACGCAATGGAAAACATATCTGCGGGGGATCATTGATCAACGATCAATGGATTGTTACTGCAGCTCACTGTGTATCGGGGTAAACGAGTGCGAACTGTCTGTTTTGGAAGCCTCTCATACTATTTCACTTAAGAAATACAAACCCAAGTGTTTATCGTATTATTTTTGGCGTTCATGATCGCTTGATATCGGACTCGTGGGTTATTTCACGAACTGTTCAAAGTGTCATTGTTCATCCTTCGTACGTCGCTTCAAATTTCAAAAATGACATTGCTCTGATGAAATTATCCGTAGGACGATTTTGCTCGTTCGCTCCACATACATGCGTATTCGATCTGTTCTTTAGACCAAGGTAGAACCGTACACTGAATACTACATGCCCGTTTGCTTCCCTAATGCTACTCAAACATTTGAAGGTGCAACCGGTATCACCACTGGATGGGGCGCACCTGTTTATGGTAAGATAACAATTCCAAATCGAACTACTTGATCAATACATCACATTTAGGTGGTAGTTTATTACGTTATTTAACAGAAGTACCAACACCAGTCTTATCTGATACTGCATGTAAAGCACGTTACAATACAGGTATGATCAATTCAGCCAATCAAATATGTTCAGGTGGAAATAGCAAGGGTGCTTGCCAAGTAAGAGATACAAGGTTTCCTGTTTTCTCGAACTTTTCTTCTCATTCTCTGCGCATAGGGTGATTCTGGTGGTCCTTTCGTCGTTTCTGATCCAACACGAAATGGTCGATATGTCCTTGCCGGTTTGACTTCTTGGGGTATAGGATGCGGTGATGGTGGTGTTTACACGCGTCTGTCAGCATATAAAGCTTGGATTGAATCTTTAGCTGGTGCTACTCTGTACTAAATATGGAGATAAAAAAGAGTTTATTATATATCATCATCTACATACAATAATTCCTGCGAGAAAAAGTGAAATATGAATAAAAGAATTTTCTCAACTCATTAAACCCATATGTTCAACATCTAACTGAGCGATGTGATCTCCCTCAGCTACTAGTCTTTGCTCATTGCCTCTTTGACCGAAAATCGGTCTCGTTTCTCGGGCTCCGATTGGTGACGATGGTTCCGTTCGAAAATTCACTAGACCACGTATGCGACCTATAATATAAACGAACACAATCTAGAGAAGACAAATAACTTTATTTTTCTCTTACGCATTATTATACACCCTACAATTATCGATATCCAAATGACAATTATTAATAGACAAATCAATAAAAACACTAAACATAACAAGTTCAAACCACTTAGATAAAAGACATCAATGAAATGATTACTTGTGCTTGAATCTACATTGGACAATATCGATGGACGTGCAGTGGTTGATACTTCATCTCTCTTTGGTATGAGTCTAACCAAAGAAGATCAGTCGGTCATATGTGAGATCAAAATAAACCAATCATACTTAAATAAGTCAGGATAATTATTCTGTTGACAATAATGAACATGTTCAGTCGATGATTTCGACAAAGTATTTTTGTATGCATAGAAAACTAAAAAATTACAAGTGAATTCATGTTTATCATCACATTCTCCAAGAATATAATCTCCAGAAACTAAGAATATGTCCGAAGAAAGAACTTCAACATCGCTGTTATTCAGTTCGAAGAAAGTTGTCGAATCAAGCACAGGCTGAATAATTTTTCGACCGAAACTACGATTACGTATAACGTAAAGATGCCACCAATCATGTTTAATTATTGAAAATAATGGTTTTACGGAATATAATAAACGTGGATAATCCGACACACGACATGAAAGACCTTTGAACGAATGTATGAATAAATTTCTTTTATGTATGATACACTGATATATTTACGTGTTATTCTATGTTTACCCTCAATTTCCAATGAACCTAGATGATATCGGGGTCTAAATGATACAAAACAAAATCATTTGAGAGATTTTCAATATCATTGGAGAATGAAATCGGAAAACATGCACGTGAATCTGTTCGTATAGTACCCAAAATAGTCATCTAATGGTATAATATACTATCGGATCAATTCAACATTACTCCTGTCCTGTCAATCATACAGCAAATGTGATATGACAGTCGCATACCACTTAGCCTATAATTCATACGATTTTATCGGAAAATGACATATGCACAGACTATTTCGCTTTCCTACAAATCAATAAATACACATTTGATGACAGGTACTCGTAAAAAGTCTGAAGAGCGAGTTACTATTGAAGGATATGAAACATACATGAGACTAGAGATATAGAAGACAACTCTGGGTTGCTCTTTATGTACATATTGTTCTTGAACGTAGATTACAGTTAGTACAATTGATTTTGATTTGTCTAATTGAAATCCGAGATCTAGAAGCTCACACAGATGGAGAATAAGAATCTATCCAGTCACATACTGTTCAAGGTTTGAAATTTAGTTAAAGGTGACGGTGCTGCCCAGTGGTAAATTAACATTGATGGACTCCCGCGACAGCTTGTTCGGTCATCGTACCTAAAATAACGATTATACATGTGCTATTTTGCTTGTAAAACTTACCAGACAGAATTTTGTTGTCGAAAACTATTTGTAAACTGACAGATATGCACATTTAATTGACGAACCGTTCGATTAAATCGTAGAATAAATGGTTCAATAGCGACTGCAAGCAACAAATGATTTAAGTCTTTAAACGAAATATCCAAATCAAAGGGCGTATCCCTGTATGACAATATCCGTGAAATAGCTCGATTTTCAACGATATGTTGATCTATTTCACACTCATTAGTCTCGATTGAAGCAGTATCGTATATATTTTTACGAAAAAATATTTACCAATATTCCAGCGATCTTTATCGTTTGGTACTGTATATTGAATATGCACAGTTCTCTAAAACACAAAAAAGTTAAGAACGACGTTAAATACGTGGTTTCTGCACGTACGTATGCCATCGGAAGGGGCGAAGACAATGTCTCAGGCGCTTTCAATGTTATATTAAAATTCGTTGATGTTTCTTCAGTTGCATCCAAAATTGAAAGACTCATTATGTACACGTACAAAAGAAGTTGCATGTTAATACCAGACATTCGTCTCGACGAATCATCCATAGACAATATTTCTAGTTATGCCTAATAACGAGCAAAACAAAAAAGAAAATGCTACTAAACACAAATAGCAATAGCTAAAAAGGCGAAGAGAAAAAAAACGATTATTTATTAACGAAGTTTTGCATATGTCCTCAACCATTATACTTTAGTTAACGATAACTTATATTTGTAGACACTACAGGTATGCGCGTATAGATTGAAACATGATGATTTGTTGTTGTAAAAGAACACACGATGTCAGTTTTCTTCCTCACGTTGATTTGATAGTTGTGTTTTTCATTAGTACGAATATTACAATCAAGACGTCATTAGAAGTTAATTAGAAATATTTACATCATTGAAAATGCCAAGGACATCTCTTTCAACTATTCGAAGTCACACAGAACATTGTTTGCTTTTGTCATTCATGTTTATTTAAATAGAGCAATACATTTAGCATTCGCAAAGACATACAAAATGCTGATTTGGAGGAGAACCACTAGCAGCTCTATTGCTTTTTTGACATCATTATGCATGTGTATGTAGGTACGTATGACGAATGCTTATCTGATTGCTTTATTTCGGTCAGAATGAATTCTAATAATCGGTTGCTTGTTAATATGCTAGCATTTTCTCATTAATATTCATGAAGTCGAATCTGGCATCGATCGTGCAAGTGGGTTAATACGTCAGTGATATAAATCATCGTACGGATGAGTACATCAAGTAAACATCGAGACTCTCGAAGTTTATTTTTTTAAAGCAATTACAGAATTACTTAACGGATGAAAAAGTAAAACAATAAAATGATATAAAAGTTAGTAAGAGCCTCTTGCTTGAAATGTTTCATGCTGTTGAGCACATGCGCGTTCAGTGAATTCATCGCTGCATGCCATACGAAGACGTTCGACAGTTGCTGGAGAATTCATTGGAAAATAGCCGGTAAAACCTTGTTGTTCGCGATAGGCTGTACAAGCATTTTTCAGCGCGAAAAACGTTGCAGCACCAAGAAACAATGGCGGCTCACCGATTGCTTTAGATGAATAAACCGCACGAGGATTGGGCGCATTAGAAAGTAATTCCACTCTCATATCCAATGGGACATCGTTGAATGATGGAATTTTATAAGTGCCAGGACCACGAGTGAATAACGCACCTGGTTTTGTCCATTTGTGTTGAGTATGATCACCCCATATTAGCTCTTCCATGGTAAACAGACCAACACCTTGAACATAAGCACCTTCAATTTGTCCAATATCAATTTGAGGATTGAGCGATGTACCGACATCCTAAAATTTAACAGAAAATAGTCCGTTAAGGAATAGAAAACCATTTCAATTGATAATACCATTAGAATGTCAACACGTAAAATGTGCCAGTCACCTGTCAGTGTATCTAATTCAACTTCTGTGACAGCTGCTCCTTGTGTAAAGTAATTAAAATGAGCTGTATTCGTCAGAAAATCAGCTCCCAATGGATCAGGTGTAGCATAGAAACCATGAGCACACAGATCGATACGCGAAAAATACGCTTTTTTAACAAGATCTTCCCATGAGAGACTGACATCGTCACCAACGAGCAGTGCATTCAAACGTCCACGAATCTGTTCACATGCGATCTGTATGGCCATACCATTCAAATCTGATGACGCTGATGCTGCTGTTGGACTCGTATTAGCTACTTTATCAGTCGCTGTCTCACTGATACGCACTCGGCTAACATCACAACCGAGAATTTCTGCCGCGATGGAAATCATTTTGGTATGCAGTCCTTGACCCATTTCCGTACCTTGAGTGATTAATTAAGAAGCATAATTTCCAAAGGAACTTTTCTTCTTCTTACCTCCATGACTGACTAAGACAGATCCATCTTTGTAGACATGCACGAGCGCACCTGCCTGATTGAGAAATTTGGCCGTAAATGCAATACCAAATTTCGTTGGAAGAATAGTAATACCACGTTTTCTATAAGTGCTGGATTGATTGAACTCTCCCACAGCTTTTCTTCGTTGTTGAAAATCGCTCGATACTAACAGTTCGTCCATTAGTCGAGGAATATTCCATCGTTCTAACGGTTGACCAAAATGTGTTGTGTCACCTTCGTTGTACATGTTCAATCGACGAATGGTCAATGGATCATGTTTTAGATAGGCAGCAACATGCTCGACAATTGTTTCACAACCAAATAAACCTTGTGGGCCGCCGAAACCACGAAATGCTATAAGAAAATTGTGTTTAAAATCGATCGTGTTCATAAAAGTAAATACTAACCTGTATTTGATGGTAAGTGGGTTTTACACAAACGTCCACGGACTCGAATATTATTGAATTGATAACAATTATCAATATGGAGCATTCCACGCTCTAACACTGCCATCGAAAGATCGAATGAGCAGCCGGCATTGTTCCATAATGAAATATCCAATGCTGTAAATCGACCTTCTTTGGTAAAGCCAACTTTGTACGCTATTTTAAATGGATGACGTTGACCGGTGATACTCATATCAACATCACGTTCAATATTCATACGAACGGGACAACCGACCTTGACAGCAGCCACTGTTGCCGCAATGCATGGAGCAATTCTAAAATGCAGAATATAATCGTTTACAGTTTAAAGAATTGAGCATACGATCGGGATTCTTTGCCACCAAATCCACCACCCATGCGTTTAACATGGCAAGTCACATGACTGACATCGTAACCAAGTGCATATGCTGCTAATTCTTGTGTTTTACTCGGATTTTGTGTTGACGAATAGATTGTCACTTCTTGATCGTCGTTCGAAGGTATAATCATACAACAGTTTGTTTCCAGATAGAAATGCTCTTGACCGCCCATCACTATTGTACCTTCGAGTGTATGTTCAGCTTCAGCTAGAGCCTTTTCTACATCACCTTTTCGTAAGCATCGTTCTTCCCCTAGATAAGATGCATGTTCAATCGCGTCATCGATTGTAAAGATCGTCGGTGTTAGTAGTTCATATTCGATTTGAACCAGATGAGCGGCGGCATGTGCAGCACGTTCAGTTTCGCACAGGACAACACCAATCACTGCACCAACACATGGCGTGATTGAGGAAACGAAAACTTCTTCATCATGAACAACGTCACCAGTCATATTATCACCCTGAATATCCTTATGGTTAACAAACGTTACAAAGCCAGGCACTTTCGACGCTGCACCCAAATCTATACGACAATAACAAGTCAGCATCGTATTATAACAACCTTGTCAATGTCTTACCAATATTCTTGATTCGAGCATTTGGCTGTGTAGCAAGAACAAGTGCAGCATAGAGTGTATTTGGTAATGATGGCATATCGTCAATGTATTTCGCTTCACCTGTTGTTTGTAAATATGCAGAACGATGCGGTAATGATGTTCCAACAACTTTCTGCGATGAAGGTCGTTCAGGTATGATTTGTTGACCATGTGAAACTGGCCGATGGTAAGGATGAGCAATTGACAATTCTTTCGGATCGACACTGGATTGATTCAATTCAGTGCAAACATAAACATAAAATTTGTATAGAAACGATTGAACTAAAGTACGTCTAAATAAGATCACATCAATAGTTGATTTCCAGTCTGCTTGCCCTGATATTCGTGTCTTACCGATATTCTGGTTGACCACCCGGGGTTAACTCGTTCAGTGGCATTTCTTTTAATGCTAATTCACACGCTTTACTAATTGTTACCCTTGACCATATTTGTCCAGCCATCTCTTGCTGTGTATTTTTCGCCAAGATCGTTGTCGGTCCCATTCCACCAAATGAAAATCGAGCAGTAACAATGCGCCATTGTTGTTTCTCAGACGAATCGATTGCTTCGAGTTGAACTTGCAGACCAGCACTAACGATACCGATATCGTCATCGCGTCGACGTGCTTGTTTGTATGATCGAAGAAATGTTCTATTCGTCGGTGAAATCGATGGTAGTGGAATGTGAATACTGACAAGCACTTCGTCATCTGTCATGGCTACACGACGATAACTAAGGAAAAATTCGCGTAGAGGGACAAGTCGAACAGAATTTGTCTCTCCGCGATGTAATTCTAAAACAGCATCAGCAGCCTGAAGAACTGGATTGACATCCGAACTGAAAACAGTTAAGATTCGGAATAGAAACAAGAAGAGATTCTGTACATACATAGGTGAAGCATTGACAATGTTTCCACCAAGTGAAGCAACATTACGAATCTGTGTCGAAGCAAAATATTTCAGTTGATCGATCAGAGATTGACAAATGCCTCCGTCTAGTTTTTGATCATTCCATTCGGAGAGTTTAGCTTGTAAACGTGTAAGAGTGACACCAGCGCCAAGAATTAAACTTGTTGATGTACGTTTGAGTTGTTGAAGCTCATCAACATGTGTTACGGAAATGAAACGTGGGTATTTTAAACGTTTAAATTTCGTCTCAATTTGAACTTCAGTGTTACCAAAAATGAGCTTCGATGCACCACCCGGATACATAGAACGGAGTTGAAGTAATTCATTTAGAGTTACCGGACGGTACCATTCGACTAATGAACCTAAATGATAAGAATAAGTGAGTGATATGTAAAGATGGTTGCACGATTAACCTTTTATTTGAATTGATTGTGGAATATGTTGACGCAGTTCATTAGGAAATGCTATCTGATTTGGTTCCTTGTCAAGTTTGTTCACGAATGAAAGGCATTTATCCAATGTTGTTGATGTGGGCTTTGATGAACACGGATCTTTACATGGTAGTTTGTTAATATCTTTAGCAAACGACTTAGCAGCATCGAGAATAGGTCGATAGCCAGTACAACGACAAAGATTTCCATCAAATGCTTCTTCAATATCGTGCATTGTTATTGACGATGGGGAATGATTCGATGAAGTCACCGTTCCATACAACGACATAACAATACCCGGGGTGCAAAATCCACATTGGGAACCATACATTTCAGCTAATCGTGATTGCGCCGGATGGAGATTAGACTTCGCAACAGAGCCTAAACCTTCGACAGTTATCACATGACAACCGTCCACTGAGCAAATCGGCGCAAGGCAAGCATTCACCGTTCGATGTTCAATATAGCCAGATTGTCGATCGATGCACTGGGATATCATCACTGTACAAGCGCCACACCCACCCTCACCACACCCTAGCTTTGATCCTGTCAAATTCAACTCTAGTAGAAAATAATGAACTTAGCGATGATAGCAATCAAATAAAAAGCAATGCAGCCTACTATTTCTAAGGTACCATAAGAGAGTCCAATCAGGTTCTACATGATGTTCGATAATCTGTTTACCATTGACATAAAATAGAAGGTAATCTAATGGTGGAGGCGTAGATTGTTGTATATTTTCTTTAACCATTTTCTTTTGAGTTACACAGTTTGTATTGTGCTCTTCTTTCGGATCTGAATATCTGTATGTATTTGTATGTGAAAGAGATAGCGCCGGTGCGAAAAAGAAAATGTGTAAAATACTGATTTATCAAACAGCAAACAATTGAAGAAGATAAGAAATATTTCGTAGTTTATGTTTTTATTCAACTTGTGATTGTGAAAAGATATCAGTTCAAATCCGACGCTGTAAATGTCTCTCTAAGAAAAATATTTTCTTATTCTGCGTATGTGGATCGATTAAACTAGTCTCGTGCATCCAGGTATTTCTGTATCATACTTTATTCATCGTACAGAAGACATCTATCGTTAAAAAAAAAGAAACGATTATGTAAAAGCTTGAATACTATCTCCGACACGAATTAAAGCGTGTGGATATATTTCGGAAAGATTCAATAAAATACCAAAATTTGCCCTTAAAGTATTTGCTTCTCGCCGTTGTGTTTGTAAACGGGTAAATAGATGACTTTGATTTTTGCCTGTCGATGGGTCAACATTAACGGCCGAACAACGCTGGCATAAACCACTTGTTTCTAATCGAATAATTTGGTTTTCATGGAAGATGAGCATGCGTTTCCATAAATCTTCACTGTATGCTGGACACACTTGTTTTGGACTCTGCCCGTCGACAACTAAATTCGGGCGAAAACGTTCGTGTGTGATATTCTCATAATCAGTCAATTCAGATTTGATTTGTCGAACACTTTCTTCGTGTACAAGAAGAAAAGCGCCTTCGTTCGCTAGAGTCATTTGACTATCAATTGTTCGCCGTGCTAAAGTTGCATATATACCCAACACACGAGTTAGCCATTGTTCAATTTCACCTGAATAAACATTACAAAGAGCTCTGTCCTTTAATTGAACCGATGATTTCACAATTGCTGAATCTAAAAGACACGAATAGGAGTCATCGGTTTTTTTTTCGAAATACTTGAAGCAAACCGCGATGAATATCAATAATAAAAGACGGATGATTACTGGCACTGAGTATTAATTGTTTTTGTTTTAGATCAATATGAGGTTTGATTTGAGATAAACTTGGTAAACGTTTTAATGTTAATGGATTCATATTTTGATCAACAATCATCCATTCTCGATCATAGAGAAAAGCAATCGATGTCAAAGGCCATTCTGTAACTGACATAGGTGCGCAAGATTTTATCGGATAGATGTAAATATGTGTTAAAGTTAAATTAAGATTTTCAGTCAAGAGATTTCCATTCTCTACTGACGGTGGAAATAATGGTGCAATTCCAATGCCTTGTAGAACAATTTGACAGAGAAAGTCAATCCAGATTTGAATATCTTCATATCGGCTCATCCAACCAAGACTTACACGGATACTACCCAGTGGTTGTCGGCCGAAATCGATCACATCTTCGCCATCATGGTTCGTTCCACAGAAAAGTCCACGACAACACTCATGATTCGTTTCAAGCGACCTTCTCGAACCAAGATAACTTTGACTTGCACCTGGTGCACAGAATGTTCCAACACGTAGAGTAATATTATGATCACTGGCGATCCTTTGTATCAAGCGACAAGAAAGAAACTGGCCATGCTTATTATACAGATTAAAATTTAAAATTGGTCCGTATGAATAACCACAGTCTCTCGTTAAATCACCTCTTGCATCATAAAATAAACAAAGTTTCTGTCCATTGGAATAAGCCAATCGAGACATTTCATTTCGACAGTAATCGATTAAACATTGTGTATGTAGAGAAATTGATTTGTAAGTTAATTGAGATGTGATCAACTGAAAACCATGATAAACAGACAGAATACTTGTGAATGGAATCGTTCCATGAATGAAACCATTGATATTGGATTTGTAATCAACACGAGTTTCATCATATGGTGAGACATATTCAACACTTCCACCGCCAAAGTAATGTTCTTTGTTTAAGATTTTTAGTACATCATTTCGAATAATCAATGCACCTAAGCCAGTTGGATAACCAAAGATTTTATAGAATGACAAGACAACAAAATCAACAGGATACGATTTGAGCGAGAACGGTTTTGTTGAGAGATATTTCGCACAATCAACCAATGTTAACCATCGACACGATTTCGATGGTTGATTTTTCACTGGAATTGGAAATTCACTCGAAGAAGCATCTCGTGCAGTAATAAATGGACGCACAAGTTCATTCAATGGCGGTCGCAGTCCATTAAAATTATTCTCTGCTGGACATGCGAATAGACAATAGGATATTGATGTGCTGGTCGATTCTGAGTCTGGCGGTGAATGGCCAACACAATGAAAAGATTCATGAGAGTCAGAGTTCGTTCGTTGATTGTAAATAAACGAAGGATAATCAATAACAGAAAACGAACCACCGTGAAGTTTAGCTTGTTGTCGAATGCCGATGAGACTATTATGACTGTCGATCATATACGCATATTCAGATTTGGATGAAAATGGAAATAACGTAGATAGTAATTGGCACGCATGTGTCGTATTCAATGTGAATACAATCGAATAATCTCGACTGGATGTTTCAAATATTGACAAGATCGATTCGATGCATTCCTGAATTAATAGTAATGTTTTCGAGTCTTCTTGTTCGCTATGAGGATTATTTAAGAATGACGTTCGAAGTTGACGAAAATGAGCATCTAGTTGAGATTGAGTATATAATGTTGTTCCAGCATGATCGAGATAGACTCGATCGGTAGGTAAACGCGATAAAAACTCGTTTTGATAGATCTCATCGATCGTTCCATTGTAACCATCTGATCAAAAGAAATAAACATCAATCAATGCGAAATCAAAACACGAAAACTGTGTGTACAAACATGCGGGATGATTTGCAAGAAACGTTTGCTTATCGAGTGTCATATGTGTCGACATCGTATGAAGTTTAACTTTACTTATCTTTCTCCTTCTATAATGTGATAGCAGATCTACCTTTTACGCTTATTTATCTCGTTCGAAGTGACGAACGATAAGAAAAATACATGAGAAAGTGATTTTTATCGATGATTCATGAATCATTATTGAAAATATTGACATACAGAGGACACTATCATCGAAGACGCTATTGAAAAGGTCCTTGGAAACATGTGTGTTTGTTGGCTATCTACACCCGTTGGTATTGATATAAGCTTTGTTAACTAAGTACTGAGGCTTTGCTCGGCAATTGAGCACGTTCATCATTTGCCCGCAAGTTCAGTCCTAATGAAGTTTTAAAGAATTAATATCACATTGACTAAACTAGTTATTATATAGAAGCGTATTTCATGATAATCATGATCATTAGAAGATGAAAACTGACATTTATCTTGATAATCTACTTCGACAATTAATTTCATTTGTTTGATATTAATAACTTGAAATTATCGATGTAACTAGAAATAAATCGGTATTAATAAAGCCATCAACACGACACAGAACATGTCAATGAGAACCAATCGCAACAATCTTTGCTTTTAGAAATATTTTCTCATGTTTCAGAATTTTCATTTGTTAAATTTGACCTGCGGGATCAGGTTATTTAATATTGCATTTATAAGCACAAATTTTCCAGACATCACAATTCATAATTGTACACTTTAGAAGGTAATCCTTGATGTAAGTTTTATGCATCACTTCTGCGCGATGAGCATGTTTAAGTTGGCACTTTGTTCTATATTTCTTATCTATGTGTCAAATAATTATAAGATTTAAAGGACAACGTCAGCGGTCGTTTACTCTTCAGATAGGAAAGGAAGTCATTTCATTGGTTAGTTCATTGTTTCTTGATAACTTTAAACAAAGAAACGCTAATAGCCATATGATATAAGGAAGTTGAATAGGAAATATGACATTTTTCTTTCTTTCTTTTTTTCTTCGCAGCACAATTACCGTTGTATGTTGTACTTACAGCGTTTATCCGATCAACTATTATGATGAATTTACATATGAGAAAAGCTTCTTTTCTCCCGTAGTGTTATATCGGAGGAAAAGCGCCTTTTCTTCAATGCTACTGACAGGTGAATATATAATGAATGCTCGTGAGTTTTCTTATTAAAGACATCGTTGATTACATTCTCGACATATGAAATCCCGTCTTGAGTTGCTCCAGTAATGATTAATGTTTTATAAATGAAATAGTCGCAGTATCTCGTAGTATTACAATCAGTTATTCATATTTCTCTTCTGCGCTTCTGATATGCAAACTTCATGGAACACTAATTACAGAGTAGAAAGTCGATGTTCAAGGTAAGTACTGGGCGACTTATTTTTAAACATAATAACAAGAACTTATCTGTGTCTGCTGTTAAACGAAAAGTGAATATGAACTTTATGGATTTATTTGATTGGTTTTCTGCTAGTGTTACCTGTGTCAGCGCATAGTATTGATTTCTATCCACGAAAAAAGTCTTCTTATCGCCTATTTCTTGTTGAATATTGCTAGAAACATGTCATGAGAATTTTGTCTTTCTTAAGCGTCCTCTACCGTTGCACACAAATCTCTAAATATATATCTATTGGTAGGAAAAGATCTACCAATGAAAAATGTTGTCCTTGTTGACCTTCAAAGGAAAGTCAGTCAAGTAATTCCAAAGAAAAAAAGGTAGAGAAGAGAATTAAAGTAAGTAATTATGTTGACAAGTGCTTACATTGATCATACTTTGTTAAAACCCGAAGCGACGTTAAAGCAAATTGATCAACTATGTGCAGAGGCAACCGAACATAAATTTGCAACAGTTTGTATCCAGCCTTGTCATGTGAAGTATGCTGCCGACAAGTATTCGGTACGTGTTTGTACCGTCATTGGATTTCCTCTGGGAGTAACAAGTACGCAAACAAAGATATTTGAATGTCAACAAGCTTTAAGCGATGGTGCCCAAGAGATCGACATGGTTATTAATATTGGCAAAGTCAAAGACGGCAATTTCGAATACGTACAGAATGAAATCGAACAATTGGCTAAACTGGTTCATTCATCCGGTGAAAACAAGCTTTTAAAAGTTATTATCGAAACATGCTTGTTGAATGAAGTTGAAAAGCAGAAGCTATGTCAAATCGTTGGCGATGCCGGTGCGGATTTTATAAAAACTTCAACGGGATTTTCAACCGGCGGTGCGACGTTGGATGACATTAAATTATTACGGCAATATTCACCGAAGCATGTGCAAGTCAAAGCATCTGGTGGTATACGAGACAGTAGTTTTGCGAAGGAGCTGATTCAAGCCGGTGCCACGCGTCTTGGAACATCATCTGGCGTTGCTTTGATGAAAGACATTCCTACAACATCGAATTATTAGAAACAAAACGAATATTGCATTGCTTTTTTTTTCCTCGCAATGATTTGGGAACAAAGCTTTTTCTAATTGTGATTCGCTTTTTTTAGATAGTCCCTATTGATTTTTCTGCTCAACTGATGAATTAAACTAATGTCGGAATCAAGTAATAAAGAGTTTTTAACGTAGAAGACGCATTAATCTACCGATCGGTCTCGTCTTTTTAATAGGTTTTAGTTATGGTGATAACGGAGCGTTCTCCCCACCGATGGATGTTGGGAGCCAACTTCAAAACGGAACTATACAGATTACAAGTGGCAACTCGAATTATTCGAGTGGGTCGGGTGGGGATTCGCCTTCATCATTGAGTCCAGGTAGAGAATTATGCTTTGTGAAGTAAAAAAGTCTTTTCTTGTTTTTCCGGATTGTAGTGCCGATGTCATCCGGCGGACAATTTGGAGGCATTGGTGGTAATTCAAATTCGTCAACAAGTTCGACACCAACGGCTACATCAAGTGCTGGAATGAATTTAAATCCTGCATCTAAATATGCTTGCGCTATTTGCGGTGATAAGGCATCAGGCAAGCATTACGGTGTGCATAGGTATGTTAATTTTGTATGAAGAAAACCATTCAACCGCAAATAATTCATTCTTCGATACTTAGCTGTGAAGGCTGCAAAGGATTTTTTAAACGTACTGTTCGAAAGGATTTAACATATACATGCCGAGATAATCGCGAGTGTATCATTGATAAACGACAACGTAATCGATGTCAATATTGTCGCTATCAAAAATGCGTCAATGTTGGCATGAAAAAAGAAGGTAAGATGATGTTTTGACATCAGAACTATTTTCTATGCGTTTCTTATTCAGCTGTTCAAGAAGAACGACAAAAATCGGGTATGAGTGGCGACGGTGATTCACCATCGTCACCAAATGCAAGCCTTAGTAGCAGTACAAATACGAATACGGGTTTTGGCTCTTCGAGTTCCCATTCTGATGACGAAATGTTAATTGAAAAATTGATTGCTGCCGAATTATCTGTCGAACCGAAAATAGAATCATTTCATGAAGAAGACTGTTCATATGATCGGCTCTTGTCAACAACCAATTCTCAACTAGCACAATTAACTGATTGGGCCAAACGTGTGCCTCATTTTTCTACCTTATCACTTGATGACCAAGTGGCATTAGTCAGGGCTTCCTGGAGAGATATCCTCTGCTGTTCGCTTGCGTACAGATCTATCATGGCGCCAGATTGTGGCTTGATCCTTTCGGTTTGTTATTTCATATGCAATCGTTCTCCAACTATATATTATTTATATAGGATGGTTCTTACGTTCGACCACATACAGCTGTCGACCAATCTCTTCAATTTTTCATCACACGCCTTTATCATGATGTTGTCACGATTATGCGTGAACTGAACGTCGATAAAGTCGAAATAACGTGCATCAAGGCTATATTTCTTTTTGATCCAGGTTTGCTCTGAGAAAGTTAATATAAGCTATAAATAAATGTTCGTACGTTTTAGACGCCAAAGATGTCGTCGACACGGGCCGTGTATCAGAACTACGCGAAAAAGTGTGTATGTCTTTAGCAACATACTGTAAGAAGGTTCATAGTGATGATGTGGCGCGTTTTGCTAAATTACTTCTTCGAATGCCACCGATACGTGGTTGGTGCATTAAGGGTATTGAAAATTTATTTTTCGCTGGAGCAGCTCGATCAGCCGATTCCGAAATCATCCACATGATCCGCAATCGCCAACTTTAAGGCAGATGGAAACGCTATTTTGCAGACGCTGTACATAAAATTTGCTCTCTTTCGAAGTCTTCTCATCAGTTGTGAAAAAGTCATTAGTCATAAAAGGTTTGAATAGATGAAGAAAGATGGACAACTGACTTTCTTTTTATTTTGTTCATTTCCTTTTCCGTAACTATATAAACTTATATACATAAATATACATATTGTATTGTCATTGTTGTTCGTTTTCTTCTTGTTGCGTTTGTCTCTCTTTCTGTGATATCTTTCTTGATTGTTTAACTCAAGCATATGGAAACTCGATGGAAAATTTCGTCCTCATTTGGTTTTTTTTTCGTTGATTTGTTTGGCTTTCTTTTCTTGCCGGTTTATTCTCTCCTAGTTCTAATTGGTTCACTTCTGTGGTTTTTTTTCTCAATAGTCTTTTGTTGTGCATCATCTTTATTGAAACTCGTTTGTACTCTCTTTTTTCTCTGAAAAATACATATGTTTCTGTGAGAGTGTTTCTATATTCGTATACATATTTTCACACCCATATATGACCGCTGATCACGGCAACATATGTTCAAATATCCATTTGGAATATGTAGAGAGGCGAGTGTAAACACCGGCTGAGCCTTGTTTAGAACATCCGGAGGAGCCGAACGAAACTTAACCTACAGCATACCTTAAAATATGTATAATGATCTTAGTTCTTGTTCTACAAAACAGATAAGCATACCTGACCAAGCTAAATCCTTTGTCAGTTTGACATATCATCGAAAAAACTTTACACGAGCTTTGAATATTTGATTAATGTTCGTTCTATGTGGAAAATATCATTCCTTATTTTTGCTATTTACTCCATAAATCACAATGAATGCGCATATTATTGCATCTCAATAAAGTTTATATTTGTTTTTCGTAAAAACACTATCTGATACATCCCATCGATGTTTGCGTTGGATCAACAAAGGACCACCAGAATTTCCTTGGCATGAATCTGTTTTGAAATCGTTTGACGAAGAAATGTCCCGTTCGATAGTCTTTTGTTTATATAACTCCAACCGATGATTTCTACTTGATCATTCAATTGAGCATCTGACACATGAAGAATATCTGATACAAGACATAGATATCGAATAAAAGCTGTTTCGTGCACTGAACGTGAAAGACGTAGAATTGCTAAATCATGTTGACAAGTTTTCAATGAACGAATTCGATAGTTCGGATGATTGAATATATGTTGAACAGAACGTTTTTCAACAATACCTTGATTCATTTCATTTCCACGCTCGTCTAACTTATGTACATCGAACCACAAAGTAAATTCCCGAGTGTCTCCGACGTATGTACAATGCGCAGCTATTAGAACACTCAATGCATCGATTAAACTTCCACCATACCAACCTTGCGTGCCAATTTGTACATAAACAATATAAGGCCAAGAATTTCTCACAGCTATTTCACCATTTATTATACGATCTGTAGAGATATTTGGTTGAATGTATGATTCGCCACATCTGACTGAACAATCTCGACTGCATGTGTCCAATTGGCATAGACATGACTGGTTTATTGCTAGAACAATAAATAGCTTGATTGATACAAATCTGGTTAGAACATCGAATATCGACTAGGACTGAAAAATGATCATATTCGATGAGTAAAAGCAAACAGGTTTACCATGTTTACAATCAGTGCCGATAACATTATCTGGCCAAATACATTTTGTCTGTCCTTTAGCTAGGGTTTGATATAGACCGCTGCATTTCTACATCTTACTCGACGTGTTTGACAAGGATCGATTGATGAAGATAACACTAATTTTTTTAAAAAGAACATATTCGTTTTGTTCGAAATAATTGCACAGGCTTTGCCGAGCTGCTGCATTCGTATTTTCGTTATTCGATGTGTAAACAAATTGAATTCGTGATTCCGGTTCGATTTGAAAGCATCTCTCATCGTTAAACAACCGAGATAATACTGGCGATTGAATATAAAGTTAACCATGTACATCCAAACGAATAATTGCATTTGCATTAAGAGATTTCAATTTGACTGCATCCGAACCAGATGTTGGTTATATCACGATAGCTTTCAATAGACTAACATTCACAGGTGCATACACAATTGTATTATTTTCAAATAGTTTTAATTTAGTTGAATACAACCGCTTATTCATTTCAATCGTTGTGATACAATTAATGAGAATTATTGCGACGATCCACATTATTTGAATTCGTCGATATACTAAACTGGATTGTCTTCTCATCGATTCCTATTCTTTTGACGAACATATGTTTTTACAACTGATACTTTTTCAGAGACATGGTAACGAACGTGCTGTTATGTGTTTATATTTTGTTACAATCAATGTTTATTCGCAAGGAAAATCTATGGTAATGGCCAGCAGTTCTTCTTCGCCTGAGCAATATAATCGATTAATGCAATTGTGCATTCTGTCGCTCGATATTCAGGCAATGCATAGTCTTTCATCAGCCATAGACGAAACTCTTCGTCATTCGATCGGAATGTATGAGCAAATTCTCTTAATAAATCTTCGGCTTTTGTCATTCGTTTCGTTTTTTGAAGTTTTTCAGAAGTATGCATGCCTATACCTGGTATTTTATCCAAGATCTGATCTCCTATCGGTTTGGACAGCATTCGAGCGAATTTATTTGACCGAAGATCGCATGGATCAAATTTCGATGGAGATTTTGACATGAGTAAATTAAGAAATAAATTAGTAAAAATAAGCGCGTGTTGCATTCAGCTAGAAATCGATTGATTAGTTTATTTGAAACTCTCAAGAATGTTCATTTCATCTTGTACAAGAGAAAATTCTTGTAAAAGAAAAAGAAATACAAGTCTTTTAAGCACATTTCCATACTATGATGGCCGTTGTACCACCAAAGAACATATATAAAAGTGATTTGACTTGATGTTCAATGAAAAATCTAAATAAACAAGAATTATTCCTCAAATGCCTCGTGAATCTATCTTGTTTACAACTCACCCATATCCTTCGCCGACAATGCACTGCCAAGTGGGCCCAAATTTCTTATCCTAGAAACAAAATCTCTCTCAATCAAATCTCAAACATTTCCTTTCCTTTTTCAGACTAACCATTGTCTCTTTGATCATGCGTGCAGCGTTCTAAAAATAAATCACAATGATCACCAATGTAAACATGTCCGTATTCATCAAACAAACTTCGTTGTTTTGTGAAAACTTTTCACATGCTGTCACACACAATTCCATACATTCGGTTTTCACTTCTTCGTTCATATCACTCGTCTAAACAGATACTTATACTATGCGAACATACGTTCAGTCTATCATACACGAATGAGTGGATAGGTGTGTCGTTTTGTTTCTTCTTTTTGTTGAGTTTCTCCATCAGCAGCGTCTGTAGCCATTGTCTAACTTGAATATGAAATAATCTTAGAAATAACCATTTTTTCTACACGACGATTTCTATGACAACTTCCTTTCGAATTAAAACCGACCGCGAGTAAGAACGAGTCTGGAGTAGACGACATCTATTCAAGACTTTATTTGTTCTCTTTCGAACAAATCATTTGTTCGCTTTGGTTTCATTCATTCATTCATTTATTTGAAATAAAAGGAAAGATTATTATCATTTTGATTTTTCTCTTGTTGACAAACAAAGACGAAGATTCATTGGAATTTTCAAACGAAAGAATGCCTACGAATTCGTCAGAGTATATTGAAAAACCTGCGTTGAAATCGAAAGCAAAATCTTTTCATCTCTCATCTAGAATCAACTGGTCGGAAATGCCTTCCCCACTGCCAACAAATTTATTCGAGAAATACACACATCAATCATGCCCTCCACCTATTCAATCTTTAGGTATTGATGAAGTACTCTGGTCACAAAGTCGTTCATTGGCATTAAATCTTCGTAAACAGGGTTGTATTGATCCAATATCAATCTTATACACATCATTCAAACGTTACTATTCACCAACGATAAGCTTACATTACTTTACACGATGGTTAGTCTTAAATGATGAGAATAAACGAGATTTTCCTGTCAATTCCTTACAATATTCGACATACCACTCAGCAACTCAGCTATGCAAATTGTCACCTACAACGAAACCATTGGAATTTACTCAGTCACTAGACAGTATCGAACAAGTCTGGTTTCTTTTCTCAATTTCCATGCTCGTGCCGATCAGTGGCTCAACATTAATCCCAGAAATTTCAACATTGGACAACGATGTCACACGTGTGTCTATCAATACCAAGAGAACGACAGCATCTCGTTTGCACTGCATTTTCGCCATGACACCCAGTGGAAAGTACTCGAATCAAATGATCATTTACAAGCCAGGACGGCATATGAAAGTCAATACAGCATCATCACCATGTACACGAATTATTGAATCAAATAATGGAGATTTAACATGTGAACATATTCAACAGTGGTTGGACGAATTTCTTTCATCGTCACAACTAATCAAGAATAGGTAAAACTTTGTTTAATTATTGAAAATTCCCAAAGATTTTCTGTTTGTTTTCAAGTGCCTTGATCATCGATCCACGTACAACTCTTATCACATTAGACTTTCAACGAGCATGTGAAAATGCCAGTGTGCAATTGATGACAACCGATGTCGATGCATACAATACATATGTCTTAGTACCAATTTTTACTTTATTCGATAAACTATGGTCGAGAGCGAATCGCATCAACAAAATGTTCTTGAGATCAGCTGCAAATCTGCAATATATCGTTTATCTCTTGTGGTTCACACTTCGAACACTCAAACAGGACGATCAGTTATGCAAATTATTCAGTCAAACGATTTTATGGAAAACAAATGATCAAGCATATGTACAATCGCTACAACCATCGGTGCAAAACTCTTTGCCTAAAAAGAAAAAGAAGAAGATCTTTACAAAAGCAGGCAAGACCTTTGTAACATGAGCACTTTCGTTCACTTGATGTCTCTGCCATCTAGGTAGCAAAGCAAAACTATCCCCAGTAACAACATCAACAGCAAACAACATGATGTCTGATCCACCTGTGGATTGTAAACCAGAGGAAATCCTCTCCTACATCATCAATCGACGTATCTCCATATCACGTGCAAGCAAACATCTTGGTGGAATGAAATTAGATTACTTCAAATATTGTTTGTCATACAAAATGGATTCCTCGTGCATAACTGGTGCTCATCTCGTGCAGCTGAATACGTTTATGCAATCGAAATCGACTATCGATTGGCTACGTCATTTGAAATCGTTATATTTTTGGCCGTGCACTAAACAACTGTTTCTTCGAGAGATTTACCAGCTAACTGGTATATTTACACGTAAGCGTTCGATGAATATCTGTGGAAGCAACAATATGGGTTCAATCCGAAGTTGTGATCAGCAATCGCCGGGAATATTCTGGCGAGCTTTCGAAGATATCCACCGAATTCAATTGGACAACGAATCGATTATTGATGATAAACAATGGCATGAAGATTTCGAGCAATACCTATTCAATAAAGATATCGATTGCGAAAAAGTAAAGTGTTCTTTGATTAGAACTAAATCGAACTTTCACTATTTTAGGCTCAATTATGGACAATTGATACATTTGAATTTTCTCTAACCAAAAAATCGACTATATTACAATTACCAGAGTGGAATGAATTACGTCCAATGAATCTAACACCTAAAGTATCTGTTATTTATGCTTTTTCCAATGACGGACAATCAACTGATCCATTCTTCATCTTTCCAAATTCACTTCGTGACGAAACTCTCACTGATGAACGAAATGCTTACAACGAACTAGGTCATTTAACACCTCAAATCTTTCAAATCTGGATTGAAAAGTGTTTCCTTAGTCAATCGCCGAATACAACGAAAGTTCTCATATTTTGTTCACGATTACCCATACTTTCGTCAAAAACCTTAGCATTTCTCGAACAGAATCATACCTTTCCATTCGGATATCCATTTACACGTACATTACCATTTCGTTATCTGTTTGAACGTCGTGTACGTAACAATCGTTCGACTAATTTAATCAGTGAACTATGGAAAAAGAAATTATTAGATGAACAACGTACACATGTATTAAAAGGTTCAAATTGTACAGTTAAGAATATCAAAGATATTTTCGAACAGATTTGGCCTGTATTAATCAATGAAAAGCGTGATGATGACGATGAAAATAAAACATTCCAAGAGAAATGTTTACAAGCATTCCAACAGGCAAACATTCAATTGGTTATCAATCGCAAAGATCAATTGATGACGAAGAGACTCGAAGTGAATAAGAAGAAAATTTACGAATGGAACATGAAATCGGACGAATATGTTCAACAATTGAATGATTTACTGAATGAAATTAATCGGATGAAAGAACATGTCAATTCAACCCAAATTCTCAAAATTAAAAATAATGATGGTAAACAGTTCATTTCATTTTATCGACTTTGGTGAGATTTTTCTCGTTTATTTAGCATCGATGGTGGATGAAATGACTGAAACCAACGAATTAACGTCCACTGAACAAATGCAAGTTGCGGATGATGCTGAAACTTCAAATACGGATGCAACTGTACAGCTAGCAACTGATAAACGACCAAGTGATGAAAATGACGAGCCGCATGCATCGAAACGCCTTCGCTCATCGTGTTTACATCCAAATACTCTATCACCCACAACGATACATTCTACTCAATGGACTCCACCATCCAAACAATCCTTACTACTGATGCAATCTCAATCCTTATCATTATTTCAATTTGCTCTCTCACTCGTACAAACAATCGTAACTTCATCCGAACATTACCTTACAGATGAACATCATCAATGGCTCCTCGCGACAATTAAACAATATGATAGTAGCTGCAATAATGATAGATTGGAATTTATCATTCAAATAGCTTGTATGGTGACAAAAACCAGTCTAGTCAGATAACTGATCTTTTCTTCTCTTGATATAACCTCTTTTTGCTATGTATGTATGTATGTTGATTGGAAGTAATAGTCTTTATTTTAATACCTTGGTCAGATACACTTTCGACCTAGTTTTGAAAAAAAGATTCTATTGAAACAAAAGAGAATTGTTGAATAAAATGAATTGTGATTCTAGATGTTTTAATCGCTTCATTGAACGGAAAAGGATCAAGTGTGATATCGATGGCTTAAAGATTTAGTCTTCTTGCGAGTAAGATATGATTTAATCAATACGATTTTATATACAAAGAATGTGATTTATGTCAGATTTTTAGTCTTTTTTAAACTCCGTACAATATTTTTGATTCATGATATTATCTCATCAATCGTGTCTTACTTTTTACTGCTTTGCAATTTATTTGTACTTACATATATTTGGCAAACTGTGATCCCCGTACAAGTTTGTGTTTGGAACAACGCGACTCACGCATTCTTGACAGGTCATTTCTTCCAACATGCTACCGAAAATGAGTGATCCAAGTAATCATAATATACCTTCACCAATATCCGTATCGTCATCAGCATCATCATCGAATGGTGGAATCAAAATTCGAATCAAACTATCGGCGACTTCATTGGCAAAACGACGGTCTCAACGACGTCGGATGGTAAGATCGAAAGAAATTTCTACTGAATCTTTTCGATTAATCTTTTCTCCTAGAACCCTCAGCCACCTATGCGAACGAGCTCGTTAACAACTACGATTCTTCATACCAACAGCCATGTAAACAACCCTATATTTGATAGCAACAATGACCAACAAATTGAAAAATATTCTCCGAACAATCTCGTTTTCACGACGACATCAAAAGCAAATACCAAATCATCATACTGGACAGTAACTGACCGAGAACCTGAATGGTACAAACTAGGAATGCCTGCGAATCTATCGGTATCGGACACTGTCAAGCAGATGGCATCATACAGGGAAATATCGACAACATCAGAGCGGAATATATCCAAATCGAATCAGAATGATCAAATCGGTCAACCAATGTATGTGTATTATCTGATCTTGTTGATAATTTATGAGATTCTTTTTGCAGAGATACAACACAATTGATTATGAAGGCAGTCATGCATGAATTAGATTATGATATTGATGATAATGATTTGAAATTTCTTCGCGAACTCAATAGTCAACGTAGGAAGATTCTTTTTTTCCTTAGCTTGATTTCATCGATTTTTCTTTCTAGGAAAACGGCAAATAACCGAAGAAGAATTTGAAAACGCAATAATTATCTTAGAATTCTCCACTGCTGAAAAAATTCGTTCGTATTTAAAGCAAAAATCGTGTGAAAACGATGATATTGTCTGTGATATATGTCTATCGCCCGATGCTGACGAAGGAAATGAAATGGTATTCTGTGAACGTTGTAATTGTTGTGTTCACCAGAATTGCTATGGGATTCCACTTGTGCCAAGTGGCACATGGCTCTGTCGGCCATGTTCGATTCTACGGCGGCCATCTTGTATTCTTTGTTCCAAGTAAATTATACCGGAATTCAGTTTCATCTTACTTTTTTTTTCTTGTTTGAAGACTTGGCGGACCAATGAAATGTACTGCTAGCGGAACAATTTGGTGTCATTTGACATGTGCACTTTGGTTACCTGAGCTGAAATTTGTCGATTATGTAACCATGGTAAGATGAACAAATGATATTCATCGAAGGAAGATTAATTGTGCTTTGTTTCTTTAACTAGGAACCAGTTTTGCATCTAGATAAGATTTCTCATGCACGTTGGTCACTTCGTTGTGTCGTTTGTTCGACATTAGACGGTGCATGTGTGCAGTGTGCGCATAAAAATTGTCGGACACCTTTTCATGTATGTATTTTCCCTTGTGAAGTATAATCAATCGAAGGCATAATCAACTGTAGAAGACACTTTTATAGTTTCTTGATGAACTTTTCATGAAAGAAAATGAGTTCAATCTCCTGAGTCTAACGAAGCCTGATGAATGCGAAAAGAAATGCTGCAATAGACATGAAACTTTTTTCTTTCTTATATATGAAACAGAATTGAAGTTGATATTCGGCTTTATAATATTATTGTTTCTATGTTAAGGTAACTTGTGGCCTTGCCGCAGGTTATTTTCTCGATATTCAACAAACGACTTCAAAAGAATCAACATCAGTGCGTTCACAATTTAACGCTTACTGTTTCAAACATTCAGAAGAAGCGCGAAAACGTTCCGAGCAAGATCCATTGACGTATTCCTCTCAAAAGAGTATCGAAGATGATTCCTCCTGTTCATCATCCTCGTCGTCCTCGTCACCATCCTCATTAACTCCTCTAACTGTCTATCGACGTGACCAACTACGAACTGAACAATGGATCAACGAATGTTACAAAAACTTTTCAACATTCATCTCTTCGTCTTATCTGCATGAAGAATCTTCGCAGGATTACGATGAAAATCTTTCGAAAAGGATCTATGAATACTGGATCAATAAGCGACAATTCAATCGAACAATGCCGCTAATCAAACGGATTGACTTCGTTCTTGAACAGCGTGAAAATGCCGAACTGTTGATCGCCCAAATCAATACATGTCTTAAAGCAAGGCAGACTATACGTGACGTAAGTGCATATTATTCAGTAGAAGAAAACAGGTGAATAAACAAGACCGTTACGCTTGATTTTTTTTCTTAATAATAATCATCAATCAAATTAACTAAACGATTTTTTTTCGTTGAGAATAGATTCAACACGAAAGGCAAAATAGGAAAATAAGATTTTGTAATTGACTTGTTCCACAAACCCCTTGTTACAAAAGTTATTCGAATCAAATACTATGCACGTCGAAATCAACATCAGATAGAAAGCATATCATCATTGTTGACAAGTTCTTGAGTTTCGAATATTAACATCAAGATCAGCATGAACATTGATTATCAGAGAGAGAAAAAACGATTGAGTTTTATTAACAACTGTCGATGAAGTGAGAGAGTAAAAATGTAAACGCTCAAATCTTTTGTTTGTGTTCGCGCTTTTGGTAAACTTCAGATAGAAGTTGTTGACGTCTGAGGGCAAAAAAACTGTCAACAAGGCCAGTTTTGTTATTTCAATGTTGTAATCATTTCTTTGATTGTTTCGATTTGAATATTTAGCTTCAAAATCAATGTAAAACAGTCTTAGATTCCCATCCATCATCAACAATTCTCGCTCAACGCTTCGAATCATTAAAAAAAACTTTCTCATCCTCAAGTCCTTCTCATCGACAACGCTGTCGACGTCGTCACCGTCAATCATCATCAACGTCATCTACATTTCATGGTGAAAATGACCATGGAAATGTAAATGAGTTGAAAGCAGTTAAACGACGTCGTCGGAAACTTTTTTATTCAACCGAACAATATCAAACAATTGTCAACGCTAAACGATGTCGAGTTTCATTAGAATCAACCTATCGACATAGTTTACAATTAAACACGACGTATCTAATTCGAACACTGAACGATGGACAAATGATTTTATTACCGAAAGAACTTCTCGAACGAATCTCAGATAGAAGCATTTTGTCATCAACAGATAATTCGCAAGTATCTGATGATGGCGAAGAGTTTGAAGCATCCACAAAGCCTTCACTATTTCAATCGAGCAAAACGTCGTATGCATCTCACGGAAACGTTGTCACATGTGTCACTGGATCTTTTAATTAATTGTCTTTAACTTTCACTTGTTTTCGTTCTTTCTCGAATTGTTATTTTATTCGATACCAAATATAAATAGAAAAAAAAGAAACACTACAAGGAAACAGATTGAATTCGGTTTCTCTCTCTCTCCCTACATGACTAGGGCCCGAAGGCAAGAACATTGATTGTAATGATAATATATGGATCTTTTTCTTTTTCTTCACTTTCGCTATTCTGGTTGACACGAAGAATATAGAAAAAAATATGTATATATATATATATAGATGCAAGTATGTAAAGAATAAAAAAGAGGATCGATAGGAAAATGCTAGGCACAAAGCTTACAATGGTATGCAAGGCAGCTCATACAGAATTCAAAAAATCGAAGCGAAAGGAAGGAAAAAATGACGAGAAAGGCGACAAATGCATAGAAAGAGGCATGCAAAAAATCAAGCTTGTTCTCTGTTTTTTTTTCCTTCTCATTCCTTCCCTATTGCGCTCTCTCTTTTACGCTTTCTCTTTTTATATTCGAAGAGTGAAAAAAATTGGTAGTTTACCAACCATTCTCATAGGTTGTCATCGTTGTGTTACTTTCTTCTATTTCTTTTTTTTCTGAAAAGAAAGGAGAGGAACGAGACGTACTAGTAATACCGGTGTTGCTTTTCTAAGCGATTCATTTACTTGCTTTGCAGATATTGAAAGACAAGCGATCAATCTCCATGATTTGGTCGACCATACTTGCGGTTTTTATCGGTAAGATTAATTTCACTTTGTTTTTTTCAAGGTTATATTCATATTTTCTTCATTCGTTATCGTTTCGTTGTCGACTATTTAGCCTTGACAAATACACAACTAGTGTCAACACAAACGAAATCTCCAAGGGCAAAACCTAATCTATTCGATCCTGTTCTCTCCGCTGATGCTTATGCTGGTCATCTGAAAGAAAACGAACGGATCGTTCAGCTTCAGCCCCGTCTCGCGGCGTCTGACGCTGATTCAAGTAAAACTGTGAATGGTGTGTTGACCGATTTTTTTTTCTTATTCTTTTTCGATTTTTGTCAAGTGTTTATTTACTTTAATCTGCGTTTGCTATTTGCTTTAGGTAAAATATGTGGTTATGAATTATCATTACACAAACATGATGATATTCTCGCCGAAGCAACGCCCAGCATTCCATTCACTGTTGAACTGATCGATAATCAGCCTGTCATACAACTGAAATCTACTGCTGATCCACTCGATTGTGAAATAAAACAAACGCATCGTTTGTTTGTTCGTGCTTACGACTGCGCACCGACAGAAAAACGTCGTTATTCAGAAAGGTAGATAGTCAGAAATACTTTAGCTTTTCAATGAGGTACTCTCACCTCCGAGGAAATTGTTGGATCGTTTGATCGAACAAGAACAAAAGAATATTGAGACGAAAATAAACACACGAGACAAAGAACTTCCTAATCTATCTTCTGCTAACATTTAGATCAACATTAACAATAACTGTCGATGATGTGAATGAATATGCACCGGTATTTACACATAATAATTATTTATTCAAGTTACATCAAGATGAAACGTGTGATGCCTCGTCGTGTCGCGTAAGTTTCAAAAGAAAGCAAGATCTTATAATTGCCGAGGTGAAGTTTGCTAAAT